ATTTTCTTTTCTGTAATATTGCAGTGGGTTGCTTTGATACTTATAGATGTGTAATTAATTACAAGATGATGTTGTTCTTTCTCCAGTGATGTGACCTGACCTTATTATATCAAGGTGCACATTGCATAAGAAAAGTCAAGAATCATGGGCTAAGTGCTCAGGTCAGAGGAAGGTCAACAATTTTGCTATTCAGCTGTAATTTTCTACATGGCACCTCTTCATCTTAAAGGGTCCTGCTTTGCAAATATACTCTGCTCTCAGAGGAAAATATGCCCTTCGAATCCCTCAGACAAACATAGCTATGCTCACTTCTACTTCCTCCTTGCTTGCTCTCAAAGAACAACCAGAGGATAGAAGAATTAACACAGAAGCCAAAATTAGTAAATCACCACGCACATGATTACAGCAAATGGCAAAGGCCGCTCCTATGCATCACTATAAAAAATAACACTAATTGGGATGCTTTGCAATTTCCTGTACAACCCATAATTAGGTTAGATAAGAAACTAGCAGTGTCTAAGTGCTATAAATGTCTAAATTAAGTTATTTTGAAAGTGCTTGGCACTTTGACATTTGAGAGTTCAGAGTAATTGGGGTATTGAAATAAAATTGCTTCTGTTATTTAAAAGGTCATTATCTTCTTCGAGTAGATATATAAGGACTATTTTCTACTCTACTGAGCTGGTCTATTTGGTTCAATTAGACCTGCTTCAGTAGATTTCTAGTGGGCTTCCTCCCACTTATCAGAGCCCCAGCACTGGCACAGAGAAGGGCCTGTAAATATACAGCCCAGATATGCAGTATATATTCAGCTCATAATCAGGCTCTGAAGAGCCCCCATGAACACCACAGGCTGCTACACAACAAGGTGACAAATGAGTCCTGACACAACAAAAGCCAACAAATGCTGGCTGAAGCCAGCCTGCCAGGCAGACAAAGACTTTGGAGTAAATCAGGATTTCACCTTCCCAACCAAATAATCTCACAATCTGGCAGCAGCTCTGGTTATTTCCATAACTACTGGAATTCCTGGTTTACAGCATCCACAGTCCCACTGTCACACAAAGCCTTTTCCTTGCTTACTAGATCTTGTACTCTGCAACTGTGTAAGTCAAAGAGGGGAATTTAAATGACTCCACCTTGACTACATTTGATTTTGGTCAGTCCAGCAGTGTCAGTAAATTAAGAAGTAAAAGACATTGACATTGGCTGAAGAGACTTAACTTACCACCACTTCTCCTGGAGATGCCACAGCCAGGAGATGGCAGGAAATGGGCTGAGCACTGGAGGGGCCAAAGAGCACTCTCGCCCCTGTGGCTCACCTCATGTTCTCTCCTCAGGGGAGCAGAGAATTCCATCAAAACTGGAGTAGACATAGGAACAGGAGAATTGGTTGTCTCTCTTGGCCAGAGAACATGTGTGCAAGGGAGAAACAAAGTCCTGAGAGCCTCATGTCCAAACTGAGCAAGGAGACAATTCCTGACCTGAAACAAGGAAAGTTCCCATGCTGCTGCTATTCCCATGACTGCTCTACACCAGAGTCTCCTCATGCATAGAGTTGCAACACCTGAATATGAAATACATCAAGTGATTGCTGGACAGAAGCACCACTGTCCCCATCAGAAGGGCACATTTGCTCAGTACTCATTACAGCAAATCTTATGGTCACTAATATTCCAGGATGCTGCTGAAGGCTGCCTGGTTCTGGGTACCACATTTCCATAGGACACTTAAACCTAGTGAAGGGAATAAGGGTGAACCCTTTCAGATGAGCCCTTTAAAAATTTAATGTGGCAAATTTTCATGAGCCTCATGATGCTTGGGAAGAGCTCTGATGGCAAACTCTCTGTCAGAAAAAAGGTATAGAGAGAGCTGACAATCCTCCACAGGAATTACACCAGCCTGTACCCTCTCACACCTCCCCATCAGCCTGGGTGACTTCAGTGACAATAATTGGCATGCACACATCTGAACAGTGACACCAATAATGCAACAACTGATCCCTGAGTTGGGAAGAGTGGCACATAGTGACAACTACAGGGAAAACTTCCCTGTGGGAATTACAGATTTCCTTGCATAGTTTTATCAAAAAAGGTTCAAGCAAATTCTTTTTTTTTGAGGATGGAAAGGCCTTGCAGCATAAGGCAAATATTGCCTCATGAGTGCTAACTAGCCCGGAGGATGCTAGAGATCAGACTCTACTTAATGCTCAGTGTAACACTTACAAGAGTTCTGTTGCTGAAAAAGGAAGCAAGATAGCCTGTAATAACCAAATATGTGTAATTAAGGCATTGTAGGGTTTATGGTACTCAATTAGATTAAACTAGTTTTTAAAGTCACAAATGTTCGGTTGTTCCACATTTCTCTTCTTCATTTCCCTATAGGGCAGAGTTAAAACTTATTTCTGCATTTCTTATCCTAATGGCATTGGATTTATTCTAAGGATAATTCTAACCCTGAGCTACTTTTGCCCATGCAAAAGTAGATTCTGAGATAATTATAACAGTCTGTTGATGTTCACACTGTTCCATTTACAGTAACAATGGAGTTGTGCTAAAAGTATTTGCTGTGGAATTGCTAGATTTAATTTTCCAAGCATATTCTCGATCTGCTGCCCCTACATCCCAAGCAAGCGTCACATCAGGATATTCACAGTTCACAGCACTTCTGCCCCTGACCTAGCACCAAGTCTTTTCTATGTATCAATCAAAGCCACCTCCACATCCAGAGCTGATGGAATGTCCTGGACATTTTCATGGACATTCAAAATTTACCAAATACACAGGAGACCAAAACAAATATTAAAATGGGTGATTGCAAGAGGGGTGGTTAGAGCTGATTCTTCAACCACTTATTACAAATTTTGAGCAAAAATTTTGTGTCCCAGAGACTTACCTGTAGAAAAATTACCTGGTAGCATTCTACCCCTGTCACACACACAGGCTGTATCAGGCCTAGAAACTTGATGACTGCAGGATGCTGACATTTGTGCCTTAACTCTGCACTCTGAGTCATGCATTTGGTACTGACAGTATGTGTTTCTTCCAATGATTTATGTCATTGTGGAAAAATTCTCTGGAGCTAGAGAAGAACCCAAATTTTTTTCAACCAAGCATTGTTGCACAGCAAATCATTCCTAATGAGAACTTCTACCAGGACAAAATTGCAACCAACTTATATTCATCTGCCTTTTATATCCTCCCAAATTACAGCTCCTTGAAGATGAGGAGAAGCTTGACTTGGGAAAACATTTAACATGCTGACTTCCATTCACACATGTACACTCTGGACCTGGTCTCTGTGATTGAAAACAGGTGTTGCTGAAGCAACTATTGAAGATTTAAGAGAACTGATGTTAGGCACAAGGAGCTGAGCCTGTCAAATACATGCATGGCCAGCCTACAGCTGGGCTCTTATTCCAAACAAAGCCAGGTTGATGTATGGAGTATTGGAGGCATTTGTGCAGCTGCCCAGGCTGCACAGTGAGTGCCCCTCCAGCTCTAGAACAGGGACCACCTGCTCTTGGCAAACAGGCTGCATGGAAAGGCTGAAGGAAGAGACAATTTGCAAGCTATTCAAGATGCTTACCAGGTAAATGAAAACACAGGTAGTGACCTTTTTTCACTGCTCCTAATCACCTTTACCATGGTTCAGTAAAGCTGTATTTGCAGTTGACAGGAATCCAAGTCTTGCTGTCCGCATATCCAAATCCCAGCTTATTTCTAAGGAATGTGCAGAAGGAAGAAGAAAGAAGTAATATATCTTTGTTGACAATTGATCTTTACCTGGTTCCTCGGGAGAAATAAAGATAGGCAGAGTTCACATTTGCTCCACATTTTGATTTAAATATTGGTGTGTCCTGGCCTGTGTTCAGTGTACGTTTCCCTGAGCACAGAAAGACTTTTGACTCACCAAGTCATGCACGTGGAGGTCAGAAAGGAAGACCAGACATGTTATCTGTGTAGACATAATGCAGACTTCCTTGTATGCCTGCATCATGAGCTTACATCTAATTACTGCATTTTGCACAAGCTATTACCTCACTCACTGTGGAGATCAGGCCAGCCCGGGGGGGCTGTGGTGGGGACATGTCTCAGCACTCTGTAGGGAAGAGGAGGCTGTTTGCTACAGGAGGATTTGCTCCTTCAGCAACATAATTCAAAGGAAGAGTCATTAGCTAAGCAGCGTCCCATAGGAAGAAGTAGTTGATCACGTAATTAAAAGAAGACTGGTAAAAACCTGTGTTCTACTCCAGATTCCTCCTGATGATGCTAGCAAGTATGTAGCACCAAGATTTTGGCATACAGCAGCTCCTCATCTGCAGCACACATGGGGCTTCATTCCTGCTGGCTATCCAGTCCCAGTGCACTGGAAATCAGGGAACTATCTGCTCAAGGATGTGTTTAGTGGTATGAACAAAATGCCCTTAGTGTCCTTCGTGTTCTTCCTGGCACATCTCTGACCCAGTCTGCATGTTCAGGTTGCTGCTCTGCCTGTGGGGCTGTTCAGCCCTTCTGCATGTGAGCTAAGGTATTCAATCTCTTCACCAGGTCAAGGAGGAGCAGAAGGGAGAGGGAGTTATCAATTTAACTCCTTTCAATTATGCTAAAATGTTAAAGAGGCTGATTTTTCACTGTTTTTCCATCCCCACTAGGGACACAAATGGCAGATGAATTTATTACATTATAGTATCAGCCCTCATTTACTACAAATAGTCACTTTTACCATAAAGGGAGATTGTGGAGGTAAATCCTGAAAATGTCCTATATACTGAACTTCCAGAGAGTACAAAGACAAGGTTAGAAGGAAGACAGAAAAGAAGGAAAATTAATGAATATGTTGACCAGCCATGTCAGATCTTTCTCCTCACCAATTCCTTACATTTTGCCTGCCTTATTATAAAGAAAAAGTCAGAGATAGGAAACATTGCACCATAACACATGTTCACAGAGGTGCTGGATAAAAGCACTAGCATCAGGCTGGGAATTCCAAACTCCACTTTGCAAACAAAATAGCTTTTCAAAAGGCATGCATATATTTTAATGCAAATTCAGGGAGAAGGAAAGAGTAAGAATGGAGATATTAATATTCTTGCATGTCAGTGAAGAACAAAAATACTGGGACATACTCATTTACCTGTTTGAAGCACAAGTATTTTTTATCCCATTATATTAAAAATACAATATGTTATTATTAAGCTACACTGCTCTTTGGCATAATCAAGGCAGTTTTATTTTCTAAATAATATTTGTGAAATACAATGTATTATGTCAAATTCAGTATCTAAAATAACATTTTAAATACAAAAGTTTTCCCAAGACAAATACTACAAAAAATCTCATTGTCTATGTGCATATGTGTCAGTTTCTCTCACAACTTTGGGGTCCAGTGTCTAATTTAAATTATGCTTGACTCCAGGGTCAGTCCAACAACTCCCTTAACATTCAGTCCCCAACCAGAGGCTTCCAGTTTCTCTGCTTCTCTCATGCTCTGAAGGATAAATTTTCTCTCCATCCAAAAGGTTGAAAAACCAAGAAATCTTGACTGTTTCTTCCTACCCATCCACAGACCAGCAGTAGAGTCTTCCCCAGTCATCACCAACTAGGAGCTTGGAGGAATTTCTTGAGAAAGAGAGAAAAAGAAAACCATGTTGAGGGAGATGACACAAACAGGATCAAGGATTTTTCTGTATGTGCAGCAATTAGGAGGATGCAATATTCAGGGGTGAACATTCTCTTTAAAGTTAAAATTGAAGACCCATGTTATTAAATATTCAGAGTTTGGTAGTTCAAAGATTGAGCTTAGAATTGGATCCAAAATTTTCTAGAGTTCAGTGGGTGAGTTTGGGACAACTAAACAAGCTCAGAAGGTCTTAGCCTTCTCTGAGAGTCTATGGATGTTAAATAATCTGCTGTCCAGATTCAGAATTCAGACTTGTTAGCACAATGTCCTGGTTTCAGCCAATGAAACCTCTGCTGCATGCAGTGCCACCAACAGTAATGCAAGTAACCCTCACCCTGAATGTTCCCCCTTTCAATGCACATCAACATCACACTAACTGCTCTAAGGCTGAGCATGCAGAATGCAGGGACGTTTTATCAACTGTCAAAATTGCAACACTTCCAGAGAAAGAGACAGTAAGTTTTTTTCAGTACATCATAACATCCTGGACTAGGAGATAACAACAAACATTACAGCCAGATGACTGCGGGAGGGGCTTCAATAAACAAAATACTGCTGGCTGTGCAAACTGAGAGGAGTTGAACAGCAAACTGTTGTTTGGCCAAAAACTTCCTGTTCACATTTTAAGGAGGTAGTATCTCCAGCATCTCCAAAGATAGGAGTTATTTCCATGTTGCAGAGATGGTGTAGCAGCTACTAAGTTCTACAACTATTCTGGCCAAAACCTGCTATTGCTCCTGGCTTGTCTCCTACCTATCCAATGACTCCCCCAACAGCATTCATTAATGCACCTAGCCAGGCTAGCTCCTTGAGGGACTGCTTTTGGCTACAAGAGGTCCAGCTGAGCTCTCAAAAGCCCCAACCCGGAGGAGCAGCAGGAGCCCAGCCCAGGGCCCCTCTGCTGGGCATTTTCCCTACCTGGACACGGCCAGCGCCGTCACCGCCGCGCTCGTCCTGCTCGCCCGGCCAGCCAGGGCAGCGCTGGGGTTCAGCTCCCGACAGAGAACAAGATGTTTTCCACACCTGTTACCTGTTGTGTGGTTTAAAAATAAATATTTAGAAAGCGTCTAGGGGGCAGCATGGATGAGATTGTTATTATTTACAGTCAGCAAGTTGTTAAGTTGAGAACAAATATATTTAATCTTGGCCTGTGCTGTTGCAAAATAGGCCCATCCCAATTTAATTTGTGGCTATGATAGTTACATGTGCTGACGTGCGGCGGTATCAATTGTGTGCTAAATTGGATTTGTGTATTATTGCTTTCTAAATTGCATGCCTAGTTCAGCAGAATTGTTCATCAGTTTTCACTGGCTCTGTGCTTAATAAGATGCCCCACAATACTTTGCTGCCAGGATATAATACAGCCTATAATTGCCTAGTAAAAAGAAATTACATAAAGCCCTAGTATTATCAACTTATTTAAATCTGCTCATAACAGAACCAATAATTAAATGCTGTGGACATTTTGCATACACACACATACATAGACACACCTAACAACATAACGCAATCACAGTTACTCTGGTCTTTCTAATGACTGCGTTTCGTATTAATTTTATTTTCTTTAATGCACAGAATGAGATGTGGGAATATTTGGTCATTTGAAATAATTCTGTAGTTATCTGAATAGGTTAAGGGAGTATGACCCTGCTTTGATTACACCTTTCAACTCTTTATTAAAGAATGCTGTTCCTGTATCCATCTGAAAACACACAGTCTTATGCTCATGTGCAAACAGGTGCTGTCTCTACACGTCACTGGATACCTGGGGTGGGCACAAATCTTTTATAGTCTTCTTGGACGAAAACCACAAACAAGAATGTTCTGCTGTGCTCCCATGGATGGCTTTTAAGTCCTCATTTAGAGAGTTGCTTAAGATATACATTTTACAAATAGCTAAAATATCAATCTGTTAAAAAACATGCATTTGGAATTATGCCTGGAAAGACCTGCCATGGGAAGTTATAGACAAGAAATTCAGATATTCTTAAATCAAAGGAGAATTTTCTATAGGTAAAGAGAATCCACAAAATGACTACAGGATACCACAGGGATTTTGGAAAGATGTTAAGTCTTTAGCTTTGACTTATTGACAAAACATTCTTCGATTAGAGATGAGAACAAAAACAAATATGAAGTTACCACAGCCAGACTATCTCATATCTGGCATCTCAGGTGTTCATACACCTTTCTTAGAAGGATCTGGCTCTGGCTACTCTGAGGCATGACAAAAGGTTTGATAAGCATCTGGTTAGGCCATTAAACATACAGAAGCATATTGGAAATGTTTTCACATAGCAATCTAAGCAATGCTGATGCCAAGTTCCATGAACAGCACTACTGAAGATCTCTGTGGTAATGCCCAATTACTGTATAATATCTTTCTTTTTGGAGATGTTACATCTATAGCTCTACATTTATGCAAATTGGGTGCCTAAAATTGAAGTAATAGAGAATGTCTGTAATGAGGACCACAGCAAATAAGTGGAGTAAATTATACATAATAACACCACAATTCCTTTCTCATAGAAAAAGTGCTGGGAAAAGAAGAAAGCTGTGCTATTTAGGCTGTGTCTTTAAAGCTTTCTGACAGGTTTCAGCTCCTGTATTTGTTAGCACAGAGAAGTGAGCTTGAGTTGTTTTTAGTTCCAGTCAGCACCATAGTCCCACCATCTCATTAACCTCAGCTCTGTGAGAACTCCATGGTATCAGCTTCAGCTGCACACAGCCTTGAATAAACAGCTCCAAGCACTAGGCCTGCTGCTGGCCTCCCACGAGTGTGAAGGACCTCTGACTTGTTTTAAGGTGGCAAAGACAGCTCTGTTCCATCCCAGAGCAGGATTGGCACTGCCCACTCTGCCAGGATACTTTAGTACAGGCCATCAGCAGGGGTGCCCAGGCAGTGGACTTCCTGGAGCCAGGACTATTTCCAGCCATTGGTTTATAGCTTCATGCAGAAAGGTCTTCTGAGGTTGACAGAACCCCTGGGAGAGCCTGTGAAAAAGCCTTCAGCTTCATCCAGGTGTGCCCATGAGATGGCTGCCTCAGGGGTGCTCTCTGTTGCCACCCACCACTGTTGCTGGTCACAGTAAGACTGCACAAGTTGCCCACACCATCTCCCCTTCACACCATGGTGCTCACATCCCCTCTTCCTCCTCACCACCAACCAAGGCCAGTAGCACTTGGTCCCAGTAACCCCGCTGTGGTCATACCTGTGCTGTCCAGCTCTTCCATTACCCCGCTCTGTGCTCTCAGCCCAGCACCTTGCTCTGGGGTGTTGCTGTATTTCATCTTCCACATCTGTGCCAGTGAGGGGGCAAACATGGAAAAAGCATGAGTTGTAACTATGAGAGAAAGATTCAGCTTCTGCTTCCCAGCAAGGGGTTGGGAATTGGACTTGTAACACCAGGATTTCACAGCTGTCTCCCTGTCTGTCACTGTGCTGCAGGGCGTCACACTGGAGGAATGTATGCAGGGAGCTGGTGGGGTTGCAGGGCTGACATGCTATCAAAAATACCAGTAAGTTCACCTACCCAGGAAGTTCACCTACCATACTGGAGGCAGAATCAGCAGTAAATTCCTACTCATGAGAAAGTAGGTCTTAATATACAGAGATGTGAACTCTCAGAAACCATATTCAAACATGTTTCTAAGAAGTGACAGAAGTTTTGCTTTCAGAATCACCCTAGAATGGAGAGCACATTTTCAAAATTCTCCCTGTATGGCAAGAAGTCCTCTTGTCAGGAGGATAAAAGTTGATAGGAAGATAATATTTTACTCTGATTTTCATTTTTTGCCCTCTGCTGCACTTAATAAAGTGTCAGGGGTTTTTAGTAGCTCTGTCCCTCCATTTAGAATAAAAAATCTCAATCTCTGGCATCGAATTAGGATTCCTTTTTCCCTCTCCCATCCACCTACCCTGACCACTCCATCTGTGCTTCCTGTGATGATGATGCTGCGTGTGTCCCAGTCCATCACTTCAGCAAAGCAGCAGCAGGTCAGGCAGTGGCAGCTGGGGCTGGGGGCAGTGCTGGTGCTTGCCAGGGGCTGCCCATTGACTGTCCACAGGTACAGCTGAGATCCCGCACAGGACACAATGTCACCCTGGAACACAGCGAGAGGCAATTTGTCTCCAAGCCCCACACTCATCATCCTCAGAACTTTTAAATGCTGATTAGAAATTGCTGAACTCCTCTGATGTAAAGTCTGACCATTGTTTTCTCCATTGGGCAGAAGATATAAACCAGACAAAGCAAAAATTACTTTTTTTTCCATGAAAAATTCTGACACTTTTACATCACAGAAACCTGAAATAACTGTCTCAGATTTAGCAAGTTAATGCACAAAAAAGGGGCTTTCTCCCACATTTTAAAAATGAAAATATTTAATGAAATGTTCCCTTTCTGTTTTCCATAAAATCCAGGCTTTTAATAAAAAAAGCAGACTGACAGTCTGACCCAGTGACCATCAGGGACTGTGCACAAGCAGTGCCTAGCACAGGTTCTGGGCCAGAACTAGTGCTCTTATAAGTTTTACAAATAAGCATTCCCTGACACAAGGACGTGGTGTTCACCTGCTTAGCTAGGAAGCCTTTGGTGATTCCACAATCCTCCTCTGCCCCTCACAGGGAGCTCACTGTCATCGCATTTCTGCACCGTGTTTTGCATTGGACCAATGACCAGCTCTGCATCCAGTGCCCTGCACTCGTGATGCAGAAAACCTCCTTTGCACCTCTCCCCTCCACTCCCTGCAGGTGCAGCCTTACCAGAGGCTGCTTGTAAGGAGAAAATTCTCAGGTTAGTCTTCAGGGAAACACAAAGAACCAAGAGCTGATGCGGCAATTGTAAATGATCTAATCAAAAGTGCATTTTGATCAAGTTATTAATTGAAATTCTACATGACTTTTCTACTCTTGATCCATAGCAAGAATCAGCTAAATAGAACCTCAACAGCAATGTCATCTGATTCTGAGAAAGGACAGATATTTAATTGTGGACACATTTAAGTGTGCCCTTAAATTAGCGGCATGCATCTGGTTTAAGTCAACTAACACCTTACTTCACCCCTGCCTCAATTGGGGCCAGGGCTCTTCACACTGCTGGGCTGAATTCTGGAGATAAAAAATGATGGCATGTTCAAAACAGAGCTGCCAATAATTCAAGAGATTAAATTTCAGCTACGTTATCTGCATGAGAGTACATGATGTCCAGGCATTTGGCAATAACCTACAGTGCTTTTCAGGTCTGGATCAGGGATTTAAAACTAACTTAAATAATTACAGCAAGCTTTTACAATCCTCCTTAGTTTATGAACTTTTCAGGACAGTTCTTATTTTGCACCTACACTACACAAATACCATGGGGTTTGGATCTATAGATGGAATTTCTAGATGTTCAAGCAACTCCAACAATCATATAATGAAGAGCTATACAGGGTTATTATTTCACTGTTTGCCTTTTTTTTTTCCTTCAAAACTTTGCTTTGAACCATTCTGAATTTTTCAGGAAAAAACCCTTGCTACCAATCATGTAATTTTGTGTCAATCAAAACACTGTAGCACAATGGAAACAGTTTGTTTCTATTTTCATGTAGCTTTACATAAATATATAGAGAAGAATTAAACAAAAACTTCATTTCAGAATTGTGTTCTGTTTTGCTAAAAACAGAATCAAACAAACATCAAAACATCAAAGAAACATTAAAAACATCAAAAAGAATTTTTTAATCCAGAAGATATGGACCTCTTTATTTTCCTTGAAGCTTCAGTCATAATTTTCTAAGGTTTTTCCTCTATTAAATGAACCTTTTGGTACACTATTATCCAAACAGCTTAACCCTTTGCACTCCAATAAAGTGGACATCACTCATTTGGATCAGTCACCAGACTGTTCCTGGCACAGGCTGTCTCAGTTTTGGACAGTTCCAGGAGTGCAGGTACCTGAAAAGGCTGCTGTACTGGCTGGTGCAGAATGGAGAGAGCTCTGTTCCCTTGGGATCTCCAGCAGCTCTGTGCCCGCCCTCCCTTCATTTCTGAGTGCTTGGCACTGCTTCAGCTCACTTCACAAGGGACCAGCAGGATATTCTGAGCTGGCCTGCTGAGGCCACTGGCCACTTTACACTAACCAGGACTGCTAGGGCTGGGGGCTGAGCTGGCACTGAACAGACAACTGAATTCCCACCCTCAAATTGCCAGCCATCAGGCTGCATGGTTAATTAAGCTCTGATAGGAGATGACTGCTCTGGCACAGACCGAGTAGAGAAGATCTGCCTGGTTTCTTACTGCTATGAACTCAATTTTGCTCTTCTACAATATCCAGGATTCAACCTTGAGTTGCCTGAGCAGCTGAAATCCTGTTTTAGTGTATTAGCAGAGAGAAAAAAACCCCAAACAAATACGAAAGCAACATTTTTGGGAGGTAGAACGTTGGGAGAATAAAAATCTCATCCAAAGTGTTTGCAGTAAAATCCAACACAGAATATTTTCCTATCAACATGCATGCAATTCTGGCCAGGCACACACCACAGATTTGTACCCACTGCTATCAGGAGCTCTGCCTGCACCTGGGAGTAGAAAGGAAAGGAAAAAGCCAACATATCACTGCAAAGGCGGAAGGCAGTTGTCACCTGAGCTGGCAGACTGCAGTCTAACGTGTCTCAGCTGCATGAATGTGCAGCTCAGATGTGGCTCTGCTGCATGAATGTCAGGAGAAATTAATGAAACAACAGGGGCAACAAGGTTATGGGTGAGCCAAATCCAGGAGGTACTAGGGTAATACTTCATGCTCCATAAACTTCTTAAAGTTGTTTAATCCTGCTATCTATCTATCCACAGATGCTTCTTAGCTACTTAGCTGCTCAGTCTAAGATGTTGCTTTTAGTGCTCACTCTCATCATTAAAAACACTATTAGCAATCTCAGTAGAAAGAAAAAAAAATCAATGTATCAGACTCTCAGGATGTTTTTATGTTGGGAAAAGCACCCATTACATTATCATGAAATGTTCATGGATGCATCAGAAGAAAGATGATAAATGAAGATCTTACTGTTGAATTGTTGATGGCAACAGAGCAGAGGCTCTCCTCGTGGGCAGGAAGCTGGTTTATGAACGTCAGCTGGTTCAGGTCCCAGATGATGCACGTTCTGTCATCAGAGCCACTCACAAAGATGCTGTAGGCTACAGATGCAGCAAGGCAGGTCACTGCCTGAGTGTGTCCATACAAAGCCTGGTGAGGAAAAACCAACCAATAAACCACAGCAGACGGTGGGTGATTTACTAGGGAATACCTCATTTGCTTAGTAAGAACAAGCAACCTAGTCATTCTTTGGAAAACTGAAGGGGAATGAGGGGGAAATACCAAAGGATATTACAGAGAAGCATCCTTGTCCTCAACTCATAGCTGAAGAAAGCTGAGGGTCCAAGAGATTATTATATGACTTGCCCAAATTACACAGTGATTCAGGTCCCCTGGCCTACTCTTCAGACTCTAAGACAGTGCTTTGTGCTCAGCAAGAAAAAAAAAAAAATCACTTCAGTCCATGCAGTTTTAACTAATATTTATGCTTGGAAATTTCTCAATATTTAAAAAACTTTTTGAAATACAATTTATCAGGATGCAATTCAGTAACCTTCTGAGTCCTATTTTTATGTGTATCTGAATGTGTATTTATGTGTATTTTTATGTGTATCTGAACAAGTACTAATACATTTCTAATATTGGTTAAGAGGAGAAACAGCATTTATGGAGAATTCTTGCTTTAAAGCCATGTAGGAATGCCTTTCTCTTTCATCATTACACAATATTCTATTGTTGTTGTTGTTGTTTTATAGGGAGACATAAGGAGTGCCCCGTTAAACTTAGTTTTATTTAAATAGTTTCTTTAAAAAAGAAACATGCTTTAGGCAATTTAACAGCACAGAGAGAAGGCATGGATTGAAGTATGCTGCTAACAATTGTTTTATGCAGTGTTCTCAATATCTGCACACAATTACAGTATCAGCTTCAACACAGCAGTCTCAATACACATTAATGACAAGAGTTTCATGCTTTTGACTCCCTACATATTTTCATTATCGCTCTGCAAAGATTGACAGATTTTTCCTTAATGGGAAATCTCCTGGAGCATATTTGCATAAAGATCTCGAGGCCAATCTCCATGGTATTTTAACAAATATCAAAAGACAAAAAAGAGGGATGCAAGGATCACCGCAAGGATGTTTAGTCCATGAAAACTTAAACCAAGTTTGACCATTCTAGTTAACTGTCTGACAAGGACACAGACACATTGCAGATAAGCTCCACACCTTCCTGAGAGGTCTGTGAGGCAGAGAGCACACCTTGCTCGAGTGTTTTGTTCAGCCCAGAAATTCTGGCAACTGGATTGCACAGATCCCTCTGCTAGTAAATTGCATGGATCAATACTGAGGCTATTATGCTCAATCTTTAGTGTTCCACAAAACTGTGCAAGCAGATCCCACTAGAGAGGAAAAAGCTACTTTTTCTGCAGAAATACAGTTTCTGTACTTTACTACATTCCAAACCAGAATGTGTCAGTCCCATGAGACAGCTGGTAAGTGAATAGCATCCACTTTATAGCACGTAAGCTGTTCTTAAGCAAAGCTCACTCTCTCAGGAAATTTTTTTGTTCAGCAGAAAAAGCAGCCACCATGAAACAGTGAATTACAGGAAAGCAGAAAGTAATTCACTGGAAGACATTTAGAACCATAGTTCAAGTTTACATCCAGTCCAGACAGTCATAAAAAGGAAAAAAAACCTTTGCTGGCAAAGTAAAGGAAAAAATACAAAATTTGTAATTGCATGATCTCATACCACTTTGTGGATTTTGGGTAATACCAAATTAATCACAGTGGAACACATCAGCAAAGCTGATTTTGGATTGTTAAAGACATTATAATGCAGATAAAAGACAGCATCTTGGATTGCCTGAAACTGAGACTGACCCCCAAACTGTTTAGATGCTGATGAAAATTATTGCTTATGATTTTCTCTGATGCTATTTCTTCCATTTCTATATTCATGTCCTCCTTTGGAATAATAACCAGCTGAATTAAAAGGTCATTAGATCTTGTCTCATATTTCTGTCTTCTACAGCATTTAACATCATAAACCTCAGAAGAGAGGCTGCTCTAAAACAGTTTCCCCCGCTAATTTCAACACAAATTACAACAGGAATTTCTGGTAAATGAAGATCTAAATACTTCTCTGGCATTCCAGCAGACAAAGAAATTTTCACTTCATTTAATGATAAATAAAATATGTTTTTGCTTAAGGTAGGAAAAACATTGAAATATCTGAATACCTCTCCAGAACAAACAAACAGAAGAAGCTTCTAACACTTGGAGACCTTGGTGATCAATGAACCCTTTGTCTTCCTAAAAGTAGCAGCGTTTTTTAATCAAGAATATCTTCATTTCTTTCGGGAAAAATGGCCCCATGCTGCCTTCCAGATATGATAGTGGCATACTCTAGTTCTACTTGTAAAGCTGAGAACTCATCACACATATGTTGCATGAGAATTCAATTCTGTAAATGAAATAGCGTGTATACAGGTGGTTGGTGACTATAGATGAGCTCTAAATCAACAACCACTTCAAGGCTTTGGATAATGAGGTCAAAAACTATATTCTTATTGGATGCATACCTCTCACACAGAGTGACAGATACATCTTTTATGTTCTGAATTCAGGTGAGAAAAAAGAATCAAGAACTTTGCCTGGCTGAGGCTTCATCTCCACCAGCTAAGTTTGCAGGATATTTTAGAGATCCTGTCTATTGCTGCAGCAGCCCAGAACAAATTATAAGCATCTCTAGGTGATACTTGTTTCTGAAAATAACCCAAGGGCTACACTTCAAGAGAGGAAAATATGCCTTATCTTCATTATTTCTTTTATCATGATGAACTTTGAAAATGCTACTAAAGGGAAAAAATCCACCAAGTGGCACTCATGGCTATGAGCTGTTGGTACAACGCATATTATCAGCTCCTGCCCTGAGACAGGCTCTCACATGTCACATGCTTACTACTGCCTTTCTCCTGCCTTCTTATTCACCAAGGTGGTTCTTCTGACAACCATCTGAGAGATAAAAACCTTATTTTCTGGGTTTCATCAAGTTTCCGTAGCAGAAAAGCCAGAGCTTTACCTGTCTCAGGTTTAGACATTTCACTTTGTCCTTGACCAGGGAGAACTCCCAGACACACACAACTGAGCTTGTTCCAGATGTGATGATGGTAGTTGCTGAAGGACACACTGCACAGAGGCACTTTCCCCAGTCTGCCATGCACTCAAATGTAGTCACATTCTGTTCAAGAAAGCATCTTTAAGTCAAATTCTCATTGGGTGATACTATGCACTTATTATTACCAAATGACAGATTCAATTTTCAAAACGGACCCTCCATATTTCAAACATAAGAAAGAAAAGCTCATCATAACCAGTCTCTGTGTGAGGCCAGCTGTGAACATGTGGACCTGCATGCAGCCATCTTGCAGGGACCAAACAGGAATGCTGAACAAAGCTCAGTATCTCATGTCTTAGGAGATCTGGGTCCCAATTTCTTTCACAACTTCAGCAAAACTCATTCTGCCAACCATATTGTAACAGAAGGCAAACATTCCACGTAGATTAAAAAGAAGTCTCAGGCTGTGATGGCCACTGCCAACAGGGTTACTGCCAGGCCCTCAAACCCTCCCTTATTTGGATTGACAAGCCAAAAGACAAAGCACTAAATTCCATTCTGTGCTCTCTTAGCAGCACCCAAATCAGTCTAAAGCCGAGTCAGGTCTATTACACACTGCTACAATCACAGCACAAGCGTCCTCCTGCACATGCTGCATTAGCTCTGCCCCACACAGCTGGGACAACACTCTGGTGCCAATGATTCTGGTGGAGTTGGATGGCACAGACAGAACAAACCTTTACCTGCTTACAACAAGGACTAAAGTTTTTTATAAGCTCATGTCCCCCGGCACTGCTGACCTAAAGAAATTCAAGTTGGACTCCCAACTATTACTCACAATGGCTGTGCAATCACACTCACTATGCTCTGCATCACCCTGAATTTTGAAGGGACAAACTGAATAATTGATGCCTGCAGCAACAATATGAACTGCTAAGCACTGATTTTATTAGACAGGGAGCAGAAATTAAAATATATCTCATGGCTTTTTCATTTCCATAGACTTTGGGTATGTCTGTAAAAACATAATGAATGCCACTTGCACAAATATCCAAGTCAGTATCTTGCTGAATTACATATTATGCTATTCTGATAACTAAGCTAACTCAGAATTCTTTGCATAGCATTGTCCCAAATACATCCAAAAATCAGTGTATTTATGGCAGAGGAAGAAACTAGATCTGTCAAGTGCCCTAACAAGCAGTGTGATGATATAGACCATTTATTTTTAACAGCAAAGAATTAAGAGTATTAACTTCATTATTTTGAATGAATGCACTGGGCTATGCTAGAGCCTGAGGGGAACTGACAGATGGTTCTGCCTTAATTCCAGCAGAAATTTCTGCACAATGAAATTTCTAATCAGTGACCAGGAGACCTTGTGTTGTCCTTACGACCTATGGACAACACAGTCACTAGATGGAAAACTTGAGATAATTTAGAGGCAAATGCCATGTTTTTGAGCAGTTTAAAATCATTTTACACTATCTTGGATATCCAACTTGAGATTCTTCAAGAATGTTGACAGTGTACTGTACAGCATCCTCTGAAATCAGCTCTCCAATAGCCTCTGAAATGGGTGCCCAAACCAGTCAAAGACCACAACACATAACTCATTTCTTGAATTCTTAGAGTTTTTCTTATTTACCTTCTCAGATCCATAGGTGCCAAAGCAGCAGGTGAAGTCCTCAAATCCCCAGCAGAATGTTTTACTCCAAAGAGGAGGAATCAAAATTTTATTTTTTTCGACAGCCAGAATGCCTTTCTCTGTATGAACAATGTGCCCAATAGCTCCCTTGGGATAGTCTGGCAAGACAGAGAAAATATTTAATTCTTTTGGGTTTAGAGCACTTATGTTTTCTCCTTGCACAGCTTGGGTGGTGAGGCTGGCAAGTCTCACATCTGGGCTTAGTGCTGTGGCCAGGCCCACAGACAGAAATCCACTCTGAAACTGAGATTCCACACAAAACAGTGGGAACACTCCTCTCCAGTGGAGAGCATAAATGCATGTGGAGAGGGTGACTTAAAAGAAAAATTGTTCCAAACTCTACAATAGAAGTTTGAAGAAGTTTTCAGTGCCCATTCCTAATACAAGCATACAAAAATCACAGTTGGCAGAAGGGATCTTGATTGAACCAGCTCATACAAAGCTGTGTGACTACTTCGTGATCTTGAAAACCCAGATTCATCCTTTCCAAAAAATGTGTACTTAGTAGCTCAGAAAATGGAACACAGCCACTGAGGTACCTTTTATGGTAACTGGTGAGAGCTTCAGATTTTGCAGACTGCTCACAAGAGGAGGAAGAATTCCACTTGAGTGAAGGAACAGCCCAGACTCTCTTGCTGCTGGACCTTTCCCTTGAGCATTCCTAGATGGATGTGGCTTCGTGAAGAGCTAGAACAAATGAATGTCATTGAAAAATAAATCTCTATTTGCAAGACCATGCAAGAGAAACACCTGTTTAAATCCTTAATCACAGAGTCAGGACCACCATACATAAACCTCTTAATTAAAATAAAACCTTACACATACTGCTTTTTCATCAGACTACATCCCTCCACCCCTCAGAGAGACAGAAAGTTAATCCCAACAAGTGGATGAGAAAGAAAACACAGGTGACACTTTGAGCTGAGGTTTAATTGACTATACCCATCCCTAGACTAGTGATAACTTGTGTGTCTGTACTGAAGGAGCAGAACCCAGAGCTGATGCTGCAGCTGTTGGGGATACAACAGGAGCAGCATGGTTGAGAAGTGGGGGTGAATACTGAGGTAGTACCCAGCCTGGAAAAGCCTACAGCTCATCTTTCAGCAGATTTACATCAGATGGTGCTTCTCATTTAAGTTACTATTACTGGTTTGCAGTAAAAACACTGTAAGATCAAGATAGATTATGTTCTCTACTCTCATGATAAAGTGGTACCTGCTTTGGTATCTGTCCAAAGTTGCTGATAAACCCCAGGATAGTGCCCTTAATCAGAGGATCTTTAATGTTGTTGAGGTCTGTCTTGTCTCCATAGAAGTAAGGGTGATAGGTGTTAACTGCCTCCACTGCAGCTGAGCCATGCTGCTTGTGGCCAAAAATCAGATCGATCCAGCGATGAAGGTGGGCACTGACATAGTCACTTTCCAGTGCCTGGAACCAAAACAAAATGACTGAGTTCACCAGATGGTATCCATTACAAATGCATTACTGCTTCCCAGTCCTTGCTGGAGACAAATTCTCTGCAAGTCAATCATCATACTTCTCCACTACCACCATTGTCAGCCCATTCTCATAAAACACTAAAAGAGAGTGAACGGGACCCCCACAGGAAACAGAAGGAGAAGGTGCCACGTTTGACTTAACAGACACAAGAAGCAATATCCTCAGAGACAAAGGCAGGTCCCACAAAGCAAAATGAAAGCATTCCACAGATCTTGGCACCCACAGTGATTGGCAAGTGGATTAATAGGACCAGAATGAACAATTACTACTGGACACACTGTAAGAGATGCTACAAGGTAACATATACACCTAAATGTGAGCTTCATAGAAAGCTCAATGCAATCACAGAGGAAAACTTCAGCTTGGAAGACCCAGACAGCAAGTTCATAAGTAGGGGACATGAGTTCAAGCTGAACCTGTGCCCACCACCAGGGTAGCCAGCCTTACTCATGAGGCTTCACTAAATACCACTGCTCCTGCCAACACCTGCCTCACCAAACTTTTGTGTTTTCCCAAACAGCCTTGCCCAGTGATTCAAGCAGCAGTGTCAAGCTTTATTAAAAGCACTTTCCTATCTCCGAATCATTTGACTGAGTAATCCCTGATGTTCAGTGAAAGGTCTTCCAAGCAGACCAGCCCACCCAAAGCACAGCAGAAATAAACAAACTAATGGGATCCAGAACAATGGCTCATTTCACAGAGCAGGCAGTTGCCCAGTGCAGCTGGTGTAAATGACCGTGCCCACAGCTATAATGATCACAGGGCAGCTCACAGAGCAAGCACAGTGCACAATCTGTCCCTGAACAGGCTCAGAACTCATTAATAAAAGCAGTTAGTCCATGAATTACAAACTGTAAATTTTGACTGGCATTCCTGCCAAAGCAAAACAGAGCAACTAACAGAGCTGTAACTGTGCAGCCTCGCAGAATTTCACTGAGCACTACGGCAAACCCAGCCAGGGAGGGAGAACTTGTGGTTTAGGGAGGAAGTAAATACATTTATTTAGTGGACTAGATTCCTAACTTATTAAGCATGAAATAGGAAGCTGTTCAGAGTTTTATGTCAAGAACAATTATTTGCTCTCATATCCCCTCAGAACAGTGTCAACCTCAATCTGTTTTATGCACCAAACTCATTGTGAAGCCTCCCAAAAATGGCCACAATGCCAGTAATTGGTACCTCCAGCCTTGTGGATATCATCAGAGGAGACAGAAACCCTCATGTTTCAGAATTCAAGATCTCTGACTCTTCACTTCAGGGTTAGACAAAATCTTCCAGGCAGGTTAATTAAGATTTCTTGCACTCCCCTGTGTAGTACCTAGTATCAGCTATGGTTGAAGAGACAATATTGCACTGACTGTACAGGAAATCTGATCAGGTCTGGCAAATTATTAACACAAGTCTATAAACATGATCTTTCATTTGCTAAGCTGTTCCTATTTGAGATTTAAATTAATTTATCAGCTGTGCCAATGTTATTAAATAGTACAGCCCAGTGGAAGCAGTTCTGTAAACAAATGGTAGAGAGCACCCAGTATTCACATTAAATGCACTCTGGGGGTTTTACTTCCAACTAAATCCAGATTGTTCCTGCAGGCTGAATGCTACCAGCATGTGGAGCACACAACTGGAGTGCAGTTTTTCCTTCATTTCATCCAAAACAAATCTAGTTCACACAATCTGAGATCATTCTACAGTGACACCAAAAACACGCTATGCAGTGATGACTGTAGTTTGATTTCCAAACTGCACCATTACTCTAAAGCACAAGGCAAAAGCAGATTTCTCCATTGTATCCAAGTGCCTTTGGAGTGTTCATCATTACACAAGAAGTATAGAGCTCAGCAGCTTATACTGCAAACAACATATAGAATAGACAGGATGTCTCCCTGTGTTTCTCTTTAAAAAGCATCAGTGTAAAATTGCAGCATCTTTCAGTCACACATGGCTTTTTTTTCTGCAGCATAGCTGGTAGGGAAGGACAGTGCTGCCTTTCCCTTATTTGGGGAACTGGGAAACAGACATTGAGCACCTTGGAAAGGCCACAAGACAGAGTATAAATTCATAACGGCTGTACACAGCAACAGTCTGTGTGCACTCACACATGCAGCTCACCCTAAGAAATCTGATGCGGTAAGGCAGGAGCACTAGAGACACTTGCACCAAGATATTATGCTGCAAAGTCTGAGTTCACTGCAACAATCTTCACACAGAATTGCACTTGCATTCACTTTTATGTAGCAGATGACATCACATGGAAGACTTTCTAACTATTAATAGACAGCAATAATTGCAATAAGTCTCAGGACCTTAGAGCTATTTGCTTTCAAATTGCCAAGGCTGACTCCATTAAGGGCAGAGAATTACATTAGGTTTCCTCCATCCCAACCCCCCAAAATAAAAAAGAACCTTTAGTTCTGGCATGATTCAGAGATGGAAATAAATAATTTAAATAAACACACAGATTGTTACCAACAACATGGAACTGTATGCATATAAATTCCTGTGCATTATATTATGTTCTCTTACACTTGTGGGTTGAGATATGTACATGTCACAAACCTACACATAATCCACATCTGGTCTGGAAAGTCTGCCTTGATTGAAGGTGAATTGTTAGGCAGAGAAGCAGTCATACAAAGTTCAGAACCAACACAAACTTCAGAAAGGCAGGATGCATTTGGATCCAATGTTTTCATTTGTGACTCTGGCCTTCAGAGCTTCATTTTAAGTGGGAACCAGACAGCAATTTATCACAAATCTTTATATTCACCTACCTGTCTGTGCAGAAAAATGAATTTATGGGGGTCCCCATCTGCCCAAGGAGGAAGCTGCACATCTCCCAGCACTGTTCCATCCTGCATGCAGCCTGCAGGAATTACAAAGGGAGAATCCAAAACAAGAATCAGACACGTTGAAAATAGGGACAACTTTACTAAAACAATGAAGTCAAAGGAAATTGAGGTGGTTTTCCCACATGCAGTTTCAGGTTCATCAAATTTAGTGCCATAGAAGACTGAAGAACCAGTGTTCTGGGATTTCTGATCCAGTGAAAAAGCAGTGAGAAGATGTTCTGGTAATTGTCACTAACACAGTAAAAATGTGCATGTCTTCAGCACAAGCCATTTTAGTACAGAATGCAAATGCAGACAAGACAAATGTGTTTGCACAACTTTCTTTTTATACATAATCCTGCAGGCCTTACTGCCAAATATTCTGACCAAAGCAGCCACTGAGAGGGATTTTGTTCTCAAGTCCTTTGCAACCTGATCCCTTTCAGAAGGTGAGCATATGTTCTTAATTCAGAGCACAGTGTTGTGCAACTGGATGAATTCAAATCTAAATTGAGGTTCAGCTCTGGGACCACAAGTTTATGTACAATTTAGCAGTGAACAGATTCGGGTTCTTGGCTTTGCCTATTTTAAAATCTTCCTGTATATTTGCTCTCTACTGGCAAGATTCTGGTGCCCTTTGGGTCCCTGCACTCTGGATTTTGATTTCAGCCAGACTTTGTTTCTTGGTCTCCTCTCAGGAGGAAACTACGCTAATTCCTTCTTATCCTTCAACAAACTTTTATTAGATTTTTTTCCCTTATTCTTACATAGAAATATAGAAATATAAACATTACTATCTTTTAGCATGCCTCATTTCACTGATACCTTAAATGTAATAATAGCTAGATTGCAATGGGTTAAATTGCCTTTGCTATCACAAATTCAGGATGATTCTTCAGGTATTTTTCCTCTGCCTTAATCGTTAACCAACCAGTGTCTATTAAAGAAAGCAACTTTGCATTGCAAATGGTGTGAAAGTCCTGTAAAATGAAGTGAGTCAGAACTGCCATGCCTATTTCTGACTAGTCTTTTTTCTGGATTCTCTCTGAGCCTTCATCATGGATGCAGAAAGGTCTAGAGACAGTGTACATTGAGAGGGGATTGTGATGCTGCTTGAGAATAGGGAAAATGTATCAAGTTCATGTAAGTTGTGCAGAACCTTTGAAGATGAGCATAAGGACATTTGGAAACTAATCACCTTGTGATCCCATGCAGAGTGAAAAAAACAAAAACCGTTCACCAACACCATTTAGCAATTGACATATCTCCAAAAGAAGAACACATTTTCAATAATTACACAAATATCATAATACAGCCAAACTTTCAAAAGCAGTCACCTAGATTGGCTATATAAAAATCTACTTTTGTGTGACAAAACATGCAATTCTTTTGCCCAGAAATTAATAGGAACTACTTGCTTCTTTTCTTAGGCTGGAAATTTCTGACATAATTCAGTTTTAGAAGCTTGTATTCTTTTAGTGTTATTTGAATAAAAACTGATCTTGTGGTTAGAAAGACTCATCCTGTCCAGAGACCAACTCTTAACATATGATCTGGATCTCTCCTTTTGGCAGGATGCTGGAAGAACACTTATGTCCCTTCTAGAACTTACCAAGTTCAAAGTGATTTGCATTTGTCAGGAACTCTGGCAAGTAAAAGAACTCAGGGGTGAGCTCCCTGACATCACTCATGTTGTCCCTTGATGCTGATTCCCACGTGTTCTTGACACTGTGAAACATCCGGTCTGCAACATCAAAACTCCCACCCTGTGAAATGGAGACAGACAAAAGGGCTTCAGTATGAGTATTCTGCTACATTAAAAGCATCTTAGCCAATTTTGCAAGAATCACTGCCCTTTTGACTCCCCCTGAGTACTTGCACACTTAGGTTTCAACTCCTTTAGATCTGCTCTGCTCAGTCTGGCAACTGCAAGTCAAGAAGTAATTTTTGCCATATCTTTTTTTAGGGAGAAAATATTCTCATGAAACAGTTATCAGAAGACAGTAGTCAATAAACCCCAAGTGCTGAAGCCCCATTCCTTGCTTGTTTTTTGAGATAGACTCACACCAAAACTCAACATATATTCCAGATGGAAAGATCCCTCCCCTCTTTCCCCTAAGGTGAATTCTGGTCAGGCTTCTGGTCCAGCCTCATCTCTAAATGACAGCACAGTTCTGCTTTAGCTCCTCATCCTTCTTCCTTATACCAGTGACAATTGTGAAGCCTTCCCACACCCATTCAAGGGACAGAGTGAAAAAGTGGCTAATCACATGAGCAAGCCTATCTGGAGTTAATCTGATGCACAAGGTCATCTTGCTCTTGATCATTATTAGGCAGGGACCCTTGGAGTCAAATTCAAATTGAAATTAAAACAGAGTAGAAGGAGGACTATAAATAAATCAACAGCTAACAAGTATCTCATTGAAGCATATTAAAGGGCTTTGTATATTTAATCTGCACACAGTGTGCTGTGTCTGGTGGTGATTGATGCTTTTTCATCTTTTTTTGCAGCTTTTATGAGAGCTGGTGGTAATCTCCTGAGAAACAATATGATTTGTAATAAAAAGATTACCTGTATTAAATAAAAATAATATATACATAGGAAATGCTGTTAGCGCGACAAATCTGGTTAAAGATATTACCACCACGAAAAAATGTGATTTTTTCCCTGGCTGTCTAATTCATTTTAGGGAAAAGTAATATCTTTAAAACTTAAGCCTGTATTATTTATAAAGGAAGCAATAACTGATTTTCCCATTTCCTATATTAATAAATTTATTTGCATATATTTATATCAGAATTAATGAGTTTTCTCTCTCTATGAATGCAAAAACTGCACTGAAAGGGAAAAAGAGAATCAAGAATTGCTGTATGCTTTTAGATTGCAAGACAACGAACTCTTATGACTTTTCTACAGCTAGACAGAGTAAGTCTGTTTTCTTTCCTTTCAGTAGAGGCCTTACTGTCATCAAAAATACTGGAAAAAATATACTTTTTAAAACTACAGTCCAGCAGGATATATACAAAGCAAGTAGGCAAAATGATCTCTAGAGAAGTCAGAACTCCACAAATTTGTAACACTAAGCATCCATCACCTTGGTGGTGCCCAAGACCCAAAGACCTCTATGTTTCTAAGAGTTGCTTATGAAGGTGCAAAGATTTGCCCAGAGATGCCGAGAAGTTGTTCCCTGCTGGTAGTGACTGCTCAAGGGTCAGTAACACCATGAGTAAAGACCCTGCTCTCTATAAGTACTTTTGAGAGGGAAATGTCAGGAAAAGTCAACCTGATAGCTGAAATGCAAGAGTGGGATAAGAATATAAGGGGATAAAAGAGTTGAATTGATCAAAAGCAAATCTCAGTATTGAGGGCAGGTTCTAGGATGCCTTTCCAATAAAGACACTGAACATGGAAACCTTACTGCTCTTTTGTGGTGCTGAGACCATCTCTTGAAAAGAATTCCAGGAGGTACCAATCAATACCTGTTTGAAAAGCCAATTTTTCCTCTATTCCAGTACAATATGCAAAGCACATGCAAACTTTTATCCAGACTCAGATTTCAATGCACTTAAAAAAGGTGAAATAAGGTTTCTCCTGTACAGTCCCACTACTGAAAGCAATTCTTCCTCACTTCAATGCTTCTGTGGTCAGGTGCAAATCAACTGTTGGACTTGAGAGACAAAATGTTATGCCAACATCAATTTTCCACAGAGAGTGCACCCAAGTTGTTGCATGTCCTCGTCATGTATTCAGACCATCCATTTGCAGATATAAATGTAGCTTTTTCACTTTTTAAGAATCTGAGACACTTTCAAAGCTCCCAAAGACAGCAGCACCCTTCCAAGCGTTTAAGTGTGGGAGTTCTCTTTTTGCAACCTGACATTGACTTGATCACACAGTTCTCAGATCTGCTGTTTGCCTGAAAGCATCTCACAGTAAGCAATTCCTGAGCTACCACAGGACCAGTCACCTGGGGAACATGACAACACTGAGCTCAGCTGAACATGCACCAATATAAATGCAAAAGAATAAGAACAGGAGTTCAACAGTTTCTTTCAGTGGGTCCACACCCAGAACATTTTTGCGTGTTTGAGATCTCAGTAGCCTTTGAAGATAATTACGCTCACAAAACTGCTGGTTACCTGCTGCTCACACAAACATAGCCACAAAGCATTCACTCAGACTGTGAACTCATTATGCATGAAAAGTGTGCCAGGGAGATCCAACAGCCTTTGTTGTTTACAACAAGAAATAACTGCTCCACAGTCATTCATGACTGCAGCTAACATATGGCTCACAGAGTGTGATGGCAACCATTGCCTCAGGTGGTTCACTAACCCATCAGCTACTGCTGGTAACAGCCAATATCACAGGGCTTATTACTTAATTAACACAGCACTTTATTTGTATTACTTCACTGGAAAAAAACCCAAACCACAACAGCAAAGCAACATGGAAAGCTGCAGGAGACATGGCCATCCTACACTATGCATACAGCACTCTCCAAGTGTGAAATATTCTGGCCAAGCTATCTTCCTGTATTCCTCCACAAGGCTAGGTAGATTTCAGCAAGATACTCTCTACAAATATAACTTGGAGGATTGGTCCTCCTGGTAGACCTGGTTAAAACGCAACAAATTACGGAGAAGACAGTAACAACTCTCTGCTACAGCACAAGTGTATTTGCTTGAGCATTACCAACTGCCTGCTGAAAAGGGCAATCAGGAAATTTGGTGCCCCTGTATGCTGGGCAGGTGGGGAAGGTACACACAACATTCAATTTCCATAAATTCAATTCCATGGTGAAATCAGCTTGGCACTGTATAAATAGTAACAAATTCAGAACAAGATTACACAAAATATCCCTTCTGGAGCACGGGATGTAATCTCATCCTTCTTCTTCAGGAAGTCTATCCCACAATCCCTATAATTTCATACCTACCAGAACCTATATGTCCTCACCTGGCCCAGGAATGTTCTTTATGTCACTACAACAAGCTCCTAGTACTTGCCAGTAGCTGCATGGCTGTACTTGGGCTTAGAAGACCTCATCTTATAGAATATCATGCCAAGTCTCATCTGCCCCAAAGCCAGAAGCTTATGATCAGACAAGCAATAAAACATCTATTTGTTCACGTGCTTCAGCTCTCACAAAGCTAAATGATCCTTCTCCCTTGCATCAGCCATAGTCTGCTTAAGCTTTTTTTCTCTGAATTCAACTCTCATGGCATAAATGTTGCCCCAAGTAAGCCCCAAGTCCACATATGGAGTACATCAATTGTCAGGAGAACAAATCCTCCTTCACTACATAGCCACAGTAACTCACTGCATGGCTCATAACAAGGAGCAGGAGAGAAGTTATGTTGCCCCCTTACCTGAAGAGAACAGAAGGTCTGGGTAAATGGCTCCATTCGCACCAGGTAAGATGCCACTATAATTGCTGATGAATAGTGAGTACAGTAATGGCACTGGGCTGACAGGTCTCCTGGAAATTGCACACAAATCAGATTCCAGTAAAAAAAACCCACCATTTCCAGCCCATAGCATCCAGTTACCACAACACAACTAAACAGGGAACAGGTATTTTAAGCAGATGTGTTCAAAGACCTGTGAGCTTCAGCACCCCTTGCACTGACTACATGCACTGAATGTGCACAGTTACTACTGAACTATGTTCATTTTTTGACTTCCACATTTCATTCTCTGAAGAATAAGGCCTTTAACTTTCAAAAACATCCCATTCTCTAGTAGTGCCACTTGATCTCTAGAGGTCAACAGCCTCAAGATTCTGTTTCCTTTTCCTTTTTTTTTCTTAAGGTAGCTGTTAACCTGCGTGCAGCAGCCTCCTACATGTAGCTTAGCTAACAAATAAGACCAATGTGTGCAGCTTTGTTTTGTTACAGAAAAACTGTAACAGCACAATTTTTCCAGGGAACATTGCTTTCTGCTGTAGCTTTTTTTTCCTGTCAAAGGGAAGAGAACAGAATGCAGCAGTACAAGGTACATAAGGCAGTACTTGCATTTATTTCAAAGAGACATTTCTCTTTGAATTGTCAGTCAGTTTGTATACAGCAGTGAGAGAGGCTCTCCTCGGAATGGTGTTTCCCTTAGCCACAGATCTGAAAAGTTTTTGGGTGCTCTGACAGGACTCAAGCCTCTGTTGTCTATTAGCCTCCTAAAACACTCACCCTCACTTTTTTCCACTTCATGGAAGCGCTGGATAAACTTTTGTTTCCTCTCCACAGTTTGTGCTCCCATGGGCTTTGTCAGGTCTCGAAATGTATGAGGATCAGTGAGGTTTAGAGTCTGAAAAGAAACACAGCAGGGATGCAGATTTTAAGATCTTAGATATCATAACTATCCCAGTGACACTGGGAGGTGGCAAGGCTGTGTTGGAAGTTTCACTCATGCAAGAAGGTTACAGGTTTACCCTCCTCTGGAACTTCACAAATAAAGGACCTGGCAGGTTCTAAATTATTCTTAAGGCTTTTCTATCCAAAACTATTCCTCTGTGTTCACAGAAACCTGTCCATGCCTATCTGCTGAATTGATGCAGCATGTTCTTAACTAGGTCTGTATTAAACAGATGTTCATCCATGGAACGTGATCCTCAGTCTGTTGTATTGAAGATAAAGTGAATCTTATGGAATCAGTACAGTTCAAACTAACTACTTCAAATTTTAAACCTTTGGTCTAGACCCCTCTGCTTCAATGGCATCATTCACCAACCCTTTGTGCAGTTGTTACCATAGAAAGTATGGAATTCTGCAGCCAGCACTGACCTCAGAGTGGTAGTCAGCAAGGACCCATGGAAACACAGGATACTGCATGTAATCATTGTAGCTGCGGCCAGCCAGAGTGTTCAGGTACATGAGATAATCAAAGTTGCTGATCTCCCTCTTCTGCAGGGAAGGGAAACAAGCATTAAAATCTCCAGTCTCTGCCCCTAAAAACCCATGCAAAGGCACCCTCAGAGGCCTGTGGCTCCACCAGGACAAGAACTATGTAAAATAGTGAAATCAATCATCCTCTCCCATTCAGATCAACACAATACCTCTTACACAACAGTCCCTTCCACAGAACCTGTCTTCATTCCGTCTCTTCTTCAGACAGGCCATTTGCATTTGTCTATAATCACACAGTGCTTTTATGCTGTATTTGCATAACAGAGCATTTTTTCTTGATTTAAAAGTGAGCCAAATGCATGCAGACTGGATATTGGAAAATCCTGGACAACTGCCTATACAGAAAAGGCTGCACAAAGTGCTATATATAAGCAAAAAGATATGGATTTCTTCATTTGCCTTGAGTCACTAAGATCATGGCTACAGAAAAGTAAACATGTCTCCCAGCTCAGCAAAACAGTGCAGTCATTTAGCTGTACAGATGATCGGTGAACAGGCATTCAACTAGGTGGCTCTCTTTGGTCTCAATTTAAAAATGTGCATAAAATCACACAATCTGCCAGACAGTAGCACCATATGTTTCATAGCAGGAGGAGCAAAAACTCTGCAATAACCAGATGTAAATACTGTGCTCCTCTTGCCAACAACCTCACCTCCAGCAGTGAGAGAACAGCTTAGACCTCGAGGTACACATGTACACACACACACATCTCTGTACAGACATATCTGTGTGGTGGAATTCTTTGCTTATATATGTGCAGCCAAGATTTCGCTTACCTGCCACTTTTGGAGCATTGTCTTTTCCCCTCCTGAGTGTTTCCTGTATGGAACAAACATTTGATTGAAACAGCCTACTTCAGGACAATAAGAGAAAGTCAGTCATTTAACATCTGTGCTCCCTGTGCCCCCTGCTCCCATCACACAGAGAGAACACCAACATCAGAAGGCTGAAGTTTCATCATTGACCAAATAATTCCAAAATCAGAGTGTTGTTGATTAGGTTAGTGCTGTTCTGAGTTAAGCCACACTGCTCAGCCTGTATTCCCAGTCTCATGCCATTGTAGAACTATAGAGTGCTAATGACAGGCACCATTAAGCCTGCCTGATTCTATTCTGAAGCCTTATTCTCAAAAGCTCATGTTTTTCTGAAGCACTCAGGAAACACTGACTTAAAACCAGAACTCTCTCAGTCTCCCTATCAAAGACTTTTGTTGCACAATCCATTTTGAAACCAACGTCATTCTTAAAGAGTAGATTGCCATTTTAATACTTTTTAAAATAATAAACATGTCATTTCTACATTTTTCCTTCTCAAAATGCAACTTGATATTAAAACTTAAAAAAAAACAACCCCGATCAACAAAAAGCAGGGGAATTCACTTGAAAATAAGAGTCAAAGGTTCTGAGGAAACAAAAGTTTCATTTCAACTGCACTGAACCAGAACATATGTCATTATCTGAAGACCATGGACTTGTTCTTGTCAACATCTAGAGACCAAACTGAGACAAGTGACAAATGGATTATCATGGTTTAGCCCCAGCTGGTAAATGAGCCCAACACAGCCCCTTAGGCACTGTCCCTGCATAGGGATGAAGGAATTGCAGGAGGAAAAGTGAGAAAACTTGTGGGTTAAGGTAGTCTAACAGATAAAGGATAGGACGTGCACGCAAGCAAAACAAAACAAGGAATTCACTCACTACTTCCCGTTGGCAGGCCAGCATTGAGCCATCTCCATGGCTCCATCACATGTAACCATGACTTACGAAAACAAACTTCATCTCTGGGAATGTCCCGGCCACTTACTCCCCCAGGTTCATATGCCCAGTGTGACACAGTTTGCTGTGGAACGTGCCCTTGGCCACTGGGCATCAGCTGTCCTGGCTGCGTTCCCTCCCAACGTTTCACGCACCCCAAGCCTCCCCATGGTCCTGATGGAACACTTTGAGAGACAGAAAAGGCCATGACCCTGTATAAGCACTGCTCAGCAGTATCTAAAACATCCCTGAATTATCAACACTGCTCCCAGCACAAATCCAAATGTGATTATCTTCTACAACGCAGAAGATTTACTCTATACCAGCCAAAACCAGTACACAGATTGAAGATACTTTTCATCTGTCAAAGTAAACAGGCTTACTGATGTGATACTGGTGATAAGAGAGTCTCTTCCCTTCAATAGTAAAGCAAATCCTAAGGTGCCAGCTCAGAGTCAGGACATTTCACTCCATGAAGTGTAAGGAAATCTGTTCAGCATAGATTATAAAACTACTGCAGGAACAACTAACTGCTACTTGTTACTCCTGTGTTCTGCATTGGACCACACTAGAAATTCACAAAGCAAGGCTTAAAGTAGCTTCAAAGATCTAAATAAAACACCAGAATTCTTTACGATCATTACCATTTTATTGAATTGGCAGTAGTATTTTCTTGTCAACCACCTCTCATGCTTATGAATAATTTTGCTGCTTATTCAATCATGGACCATTTAATAGTGGACATAAAGGAAAAGCACTGTGGTTTGCAGGTTATTTTATTCCTTGCTTAGAGAAAAAGTGTGTGTCTGAGAGAAGGGCTTTGAATGCATAAACATGAAAGCCAGGAGGAATTCTAGCACATGGTCTACAATTCCTAAGCTTTGCTTAAGTCTCCTGCTAAGCATTTGAAACCTAATAACGATAGGCTATGTTTCTGGAAACCAGTACACACAAAGGTGTAGAGTTCATGTCCAGTACAGAAAAATATAATCTTCACTCTTTGTCCAAAAAAAGACTAGCATATACAATTTACACAGTGTAAATCAGAGGGAATTCTACTGAGTAGTTGTGTTGCACCCCAAGTTTGAGCAACACATGGCTCATGAACGTGGGAACTCCAAAGTACAAAAGCAGTACCATGAACACTTACCCTTTAAAATACAGTCCCCTATGTGCATTTCATAGCGCGTTGCCCCAGTGGCCTTTGTAAGGCCTCCAAGACACTTTGGAACTCAGAGAGGGTATCTTAAAGGGATGTAACAGGATCAGGATTCCTGGCATTACTTGAAGTGTGGTTGGATTAGGCTGTTTGTTACAGAGTGATCAAGTTAGGTTCTTCCCTTTCCACAGGGGCATACTCTCTCACTAAAACCATCCAGATTTATTTTGGATTTCTGGTTAAGTTAGAGAGCAGGGGAGAGCATTATAAAATGCTTCACTTGGGACTAAACTGGGCCAGTCTTGTGTGAATGTTATGCAAGTATACGTACATTGATTTGTGGGTGCCATGACCCCCTAGTGAAACACTTGCTCTACTTATCACAAGCCTTAAACAGCTAATAGGACCACACAAGGGTCAAAATAATTCTCCCTGCTGACTTTGGGAGCCACTACATAACTCAAAGAGGTTGACAAGTTCACCATGTCATGAAAATAAGCCAGGCTAAATGTAGTCTCTCCCCTGTAAAATTCATCCTTCTGGGTCTCAGAGGATGCTCCCTCTAATTCCCCAGAGATCTGAAATTCTCCACTCTCCTCTGTTGACTCAGGGTCTCAAAACAAGAATTGCATTGCATGCAGCTAAAGCCTATTCCAAACTTCTCCTTGATAATCAAATAACGTTTTTCCGGCCAACACCTCTCTAGTCAGCACAGCAAAAGCTCAATGTAGATGAAGGTCAGCTACCCAACTGCAGTAAGTGAATTTAAAAATAAATATATAATCAAAGGCTGGTTTGTAAAAGAAACTGAAGTGCTTTATCAAGATAAATAACTACAGTTCCAGAGGGAGTGAAATTATATGGACTCAAGAGAAGTACCTACAGATCTAGCTATATTTTAATTTATAAAGTATTTGTAGGATACCAGCCATGGCAGAATGTAAACACGATGTGTACTAATGATGATCCACCTTTGGCTACTCTATATGTGATTTATTAATCCCTCTTCCATTAACATCAGACTATGATCTCACCCTTGTGATAGTGAGTGTGCCATTTGCTAGAGACAGGTGGACCTCAACCCATTTGGAGATTCATTGCAGATGAGATAATCTCAAAGGATAAGATTTTGCTCTTACTGAAATTAATGTGAAAATTCCAATAAATTTAATAGATTCTTAGATTTCTGCCTTAATTTTCTTTTTTTTTCCTTCCATACCTCAGACTACAGTCTAAAAAACTGTGCCAAGGCTCTCCTAAACCAACTTTTCTTTAAAAAACTTTGCAACTACCAAGGATATTGTAAGAAAAATCTCCTTTTTGGTAAGCCACAACTTAGGTTTAAGTCATACTATTAACAGTGGAAAGAAGCCTTGAAAAGAAGTACCAACTTTCCCTTATGAAATAATCGGTCTCTCTCAAACTTAAAGGAGTGCTAGGTTAGATTACTTTATTCTAAAGGTACAGCATCTTCCTTGTTTAACTGTATCAGTCCACCTAGTCCACCTTCTGGTTATGTTTAATCTGTGCTAAAGAATTGAGATATAATTCAAAATAAAAAATAAACATCATATAAGTAGGGCTCCTTGAAGTTGGCTGTCTTGAAAGGGCTGGAAGGGGCCAAAAAGGAATCTCCCTCATGTATGGAATATGTGCATTCACAGTGCTTAAACCAAAGGGATAACATTTCCACTGTGGAGATGCTGCACTCAGGCATACTTCAGGTCATGAAGAAACACATCAAGTAAATCCAGTTAATTTGTTTAGGTAAGCAGAATGCAATCTCCAACCCTGGAATCAGACATCAACATCATCAGCTTCTTTATGCCAATAATATCCTGGTCCTATTACGAGCAAGAGAGGTCTCAATGTTGCATCTCCAGTAAATAATACCCAAACAAACCACTCAGCTTCTTCTCATCTATAGTAGGATTTCTTTCAGATATTATTTTGAAATTATTGTGATCAGTTACTAAAAGGTTGAGCTTGGTAATTTCAGTCATAAGGACAAATTTCAACAAATTCACATGCTCCAGATGGAAGTCATTATATCAAGTGCACTTTTGAAGGGTCACTGGTAGATATGACAGATAGATACAGATGAACAGATAAATTGAAGCTCAATACTCAGCTGCAGCATTGAATGAGCCTTCCTTCCTGCGTCCACATCTATCCCATTTGGCACATGGTAGGGATGATATCACAACATTGTGAGTTTGAGCACACACAGACAGGTATCTCTCACTCTGTTACAGTCAAGTAAAATGAAATAGTCAAGTGACTAAAATGGACAGTTAAGGCAATGTTAGAAGCTGACTAACAGCATCTAACGAGCTCCAGATGTTTTTTCTTTTGGCATAATTTTAAACACAACATTTCCAGGCAGGGCATGCCATTCAGTCCTTTTCCATCCAGCTCGATCTTGCATTCTGGAACCAACCATTATGCTAATGATCTCCAAGGGCATTGCACTTCTGTTGCTTGGTAACACAAGTTTCATAAGCTGCAGAAGCAACACTGAATAGCAGGACCCTGGGCTTGGGGGAACCCTTTAGCCACTCCTCACCAACATGCTCACACAAGCTTGAAGAGCTGCCATTCTCCATCAAGGAAGTACCATTCCGAATCCACAGGACTGTGCAAAGGAAACTGTCCTGCGTTTCGTGCTCATGGCTTTATTTACAGACTGAAAGACTAATTCATTATTCAAAGAAGAGCGGACAGAGGACACCTGCACAGTACCAGCCCACACTACTGAGAAAAACCGAGCAGCTTGTGACATCTGCACCTCATCCTCTGGGCCTTTTGGGCTACTTAGCTGGTAAGATCATATGCAGGGGTCAGCCTGGCAGGATTGTTAAGATGAAACAATGGTTTTGCTTACTCTTGGTGGGCCTTGGTTTTGCAAGTAACTTTGCACTGGGTGGTAGTATGGTGGCCCTGAAGTCATCTGGAAAATAAGAATATTAAGAAAGGAAACTTTTCTCAAACTACTTACTCATGCTGGAATTTAGTCTAAACCTGACTGCTTAAGACAGTAATTGAATTAATCTCTTCCACAACAGACCACATCCAACAACAAGAAATGGTAACACTTGTGAGCAGGGAGGTGAAACAGTTTGGCTTCATACAAAATCATTTGCTGTACGAATTATGGTTTTAAGCTCCGCATGCAAATATTTCACTGTAGATGATAGTATCACCTATTCCATGGGTGAATTAGCACATGTCACCTCACAGTCCTCCTGCCACAGAGGTGTGCAGGGAATGCAGAGCTCTGATGGGCTTGCCAGGCCTGCTCTGCAGCATGCAGAATTCCAAGAGGAAATTTCTCACAGAGTAGATCAAGATAGGCTCAAGATGGTCCTGTGGAAGCACCAGCTCTAGAAGAAAATAACAGGCAGAACCATGGAGAAGCAGGTCCTGAAGCACCAAGCACTGCTACAGGCAGAAAGCCAGTTCTGCTCCAGCCTGGGCTGGGAAAAGAAAAAGAGATGTACAGGGTCCAAATATGCAGTCTTAGGATCAGATCTTCTAAGGGCAGACTGAAGATACAATGGGTCATGACTGACCCCTGTGCAAGAGCATAAATTCAGATTAGGAATAATCCCCAGTCCTTCCTTGCCTCAGAGAGACACTGACAGTCTTAGTACTGATGCTCAGGTCTGTTCTATCCCTGCAGCTCCCAGCAACAGTGAGCACCACAGACAGCATGACATGCTTGACACACATTTTCTATTAATTTGTGTATCAGATCCACCTCTAAACTCTGGGCCTGTTAAACACTCCTAAAGTTCTGGTTTTTTAAAGCCCATCCAGGCCAAAGATTCTAACAAGTGTGGATAGAAAGGGAAAGAGTTTTCTAGTCAAGATCCATTTTAGTGAGACCTTACACAGAAATACAGCACCCTGCACCCGAGGAAAAGACTTGCCAACAACTCAGAGGGTGAAGCTAGCAGTGGGGTGCAGGTTTAGAGAAAACACGTGGAAATTTTATCACCATTTCTTAGATGGTAGGGCAGCACATGTGCCTCTCCCTCTGCCTTTCCAGGAGATGCACTGAGGCATAATCAACATTTAAACAAGGAGGACTCCTGTGATTCCTGAATTTTTTAATATCAGTGGCTACAGAACTAGAGCCCTCTTACACAGAACCAAAGATAATGAGACATGGCTAAGTAAGCTCCATTATCTCCAGCTACAGCCCTGTAAAACACTGATAATTAGTTTGCAAGCATGCAGAGGCAGGAGAGCTATTCATCCTCTTCAAGTTCTTAAACACACTAAAATGTTTCTGCAGTCCTCTAGTACTAATCCCTATTTTTGGAATTGCAAATCATATTTTTCTAAGTTTGAATTATGGCCCCAACTTTAAACTCAAACTAAGTAGCACTTAGAGTGAGCACTCCTTAGGGACTAGATCAGTGCATCTGAGAGGTTCATAGCTGGATGTAAAAAAAAATCTGGCTGAAGTAGGCTGTGGGAATAAACTCTTTGGAGTCTGTGCATTATGCAGTGCACCATACAAAGAGACCTGTCTTGAGAAAAATCACACTGATCTGTTTGTTTGGACTTCTTTAAAACTTGAAAGGTCCAGGTTCAAACTTTGTAACAGCTTGGAGAGGGCTATTGACAGAGAAATACTCAAACCCAGCAGGCTGAGCTGCAGCAATCGCTCAGCCCTGTACGCCAGGCTCCCTCTAGTGCTGCCAGGCACGCACAGCGCAGAGGGACCCCGGCGCCAGAGCAGGGGCACAGATGAATGATTCCTTGCCTAGATGGCATTTTGTAAAATAGGAAAAGAAAATATTTTGGCTCAATGTTCTCCTTTTGGATTTTAAATGAAAAGTAATGAAAAAAATTCGGAATGGAATACAATGTTTTCTGAGATTTAAACATGTTTTTAAAAAGCATTTAAAAATAAATTATAATTTTGAAGTTAGGAAAAAAATTTACATTTTTTCCTTGAGGCCCCCATTCATTTTTTAAAAGCATACTTATTTGACAAGCTTCATTTATCAAAAAACACTCAATGTCTTGGTCGACTCATCCAACACAAAATTCAAACAAAGAAAAAGTCAGGCCCAAAGCTCATCTGGTTCATGACAATTACAGGAAGCAGAAAGTCTCTTTCCATTCTGCCAGCACTTAAGAAAGCTCCCCTACAGTTCTTTTCCTAAAGCATGGTAGTGACTTGTGCACCAGAAAGGACTCAGGGTGTTCTGTATCAGCAGCAGGGCCCTGACATTCCACATACTCCTCAACTTGATCTTCACGGAATTACCAACAAGAATATTGCATAAAATCCTTAAAATGAGTGAGCTGTGATTAGAAAACTCTGCTGTTTTGATCTCCAGAACTTTCTACTCACTCCTTGGGAAATTATTTACACTAACATCAAAAAGGTGAAAAGGGTACTTATTTACACTGTAGAGTACTTTGCTTACAAAGTAACATATAGTCAACATATAGATAGAATAGCATTGACATTGCTCCTTGGTAATATGGTTCTGTAAGTACTCATGAGAGACAGAAACATGGAAGTGACACACAGAAACATTTAACGGCCAATATTTTCATATAAAATAACAAAAAAACTATTTTGGAACTCACCCTTAGGGCAAGACTGAATCCACTGCGCTGCTTCCAGTACTTTCTGAAGCATCTGCCTCATTACAGAGCTCTTGGGAGAGTGGGTGGTGGCTGGGTTAATGCTTCTGCATTATTTGGGCTATGGCATGTAATTGAAAAGAAGCTGAAATGCCTTAGTTGTAGCTTGAGCTTCCCCTTCATGTATCCACACATGATTAATGAGTAGCCAAAAAGCCTGAAGGGTTTGTAGTGCAGTCTCTGTAATAGGGCCATGTATTGTCGACAAATCTATATTTTGTCCTAAATAATCATTCATCAAAGCTGTAATTTGACTCTTCAAAATTAAATGCCAGATCACCAAGACCTGAGATTACTCAGCTGTAACCTGTGCTCTTCTCTAAACTCTCACTGGGAGGGACATTGCCATCCATTTCCAGGGAATCAGCCTATTTCCTTTGCCATTAGCCATAATTAGCAGCTATATTTGATGACCTTTGATTAGAAAGAGTTCACCAAACCAGAGAGTAAGTGGACTGTACTCTTAGAGGCCTCATTCCAGGAAGCATGTCACACATGCTGAGCATCACTGGCAGTCAAAAATCTGACTCCTACACCTATATGGATTTTTCTGTGGGCAGGGCACCTTTGCAGTGGGAGACTCTCTATCCCACAGCATGAAGAAAATAACAAGGTTAGAGTATCCAGAGGAGGAGACACTTAGCAAGGCCTGGTTCACATGGCATTAAGCAGCACTGACGTCAATTCCTGTTGCAGTTTGTCCTGTAAGTGATGTATGAATTGCCAATCATTCTGGAAATCCTAGGAGCCCACCATGTTCCTGAGTCCCAGTCAACACAAAATTCTTAATAATTTCCTTTAAAGTTTTAATCTTCCAATAACATCCAGAGCCCAAATCTCAAGTCCATTACACAAGAAATTGAACCAACATGCTAGTAAATGCTAGGCCTGTAAAGATGGCAAGTGTTGGTTTGGCAGAATGAGACAATTTTGGATGGCTTTTTTTTAATGCAGTCTCTAGGACTGTGTTGAGACCCACAATATATTTTTCTCGTCTCCTCTACTGGCTGATGGATAATAATGTATTTCATTCAGTTTCTTTATATCCTAAGCTCAAACCAGTATTTAGGAATGAAAGACAGCAAATGTGTCCCACTTGTAATTTCACCCTGTAATGTAACATAGATGCCACATTGCAATGAAATGACATTATAAATTATTAGAATTTCACCTACTGAAAATACTTCAAAGAAGAATTTTCAGAGTTGCAGATTTTCAGTTTAAAAGTTCTGACCTCAAAGAAAACCAACTTCAGAAAAGTCTAGCAATAATATTAACATATAATTGTGTGATTAACAGCCATGGCTTTCAAAGGCCTTATTGGAGTTCTCACATTCTACCCACAGGGTCTGGTGTCTGTTTGTCAGCAGAGAGATGCCCAAGGGAAAAGGAAAAGGTCCACAAGGGAAAAGGATCTCCTTGAAAGCGGCCAAAAATTCAATGCGAGTACTTTTTAATGGAAGGCGCCGACTTGAGCTAAGCAAAATGGGCATTGCTGTCTTCCCCAAGGTCCTTCTGCAGCTGGCTGATGTGGAGGAAATTGATTTGAGCAGAAACATGATAAGAAAGATTCCAAACATCATTGAGAAGTTCCAGAATCTGATATGGCTGGACCTGCATAGTAACCAGATTGATGAGCTGCCCCCAGAGATAGGCACACTTCGCAACCTTACTTTCCTGAATTTATGCAACAACAAGCTGACCACAAAAGGTCTGCCAGAAGAGCTGACCCATCTCAAGAACCTGCGTACTCTCAACCTTGGCTTAAACTGTCTTGAGAGTATTCCCACCACTCTTGGGGCCCTGAAGGAACTTATTGAGCTAGGTCTTTTTGACAACTCCTTGACCATCATCCCGAAAAGTGTGAAAAAGCTCCCCAAGATGGAGAGAATGAATGTAAAAAGGAACCCTTTACCAGAATTTGCAGAGGAAGAGGAGCCAATTGACACAATTAAACGTTTAGAATCACTTTACTTAGTAGAAAAGAAAGACCTGTGTGAGTCCTGCCTGCTGACCTGCCAGGGTGAGAGGGACGAGCTGCACAAGTTAGAGAACATGACACCCGTCCCCCCAGAGAAGCCAAATTTCACTTCACTCACCACACCCAATTCTACTGCAATAGATAACCAAGAAGAATGGAGAATAAAAGAAGACAATCCTTCAAATACACCAGAAGAAGACAATCCTTCAAATTCACCAAGGAACTCTACAGACCTTGAAGCTCCATGAAGTCCAGCCCAAGCAAATAAAAAGCTGACTTCCCTCCTCCTCTGTTTTCCTGCAGTTCTGCTCTTTAAAGATCAGCTTGGTTTTAGAACACAACATAGATATCTGTGGTCTCTAGAATGAAGGCCATAACAACTAAACCAGATGTGTATTTGGAAAAGGCTATTTATATCTGGGTCTGTCCCTACAACTTGTTCTCCATGTTTGGGCTTTTTGGGGTCTTTTGTGTGTGCAGTGTCCAATGAAGGGATCTTTTAACCAATAGTCCTTTCTAGTAAATCCATTCCCACCATTAAGCCCCAAATATTATTCCCGCTCATTTTCATAGAGTGAAACACAGTTGAACTATGTTTCATTTGGAGGAAAAGACCTGGGAACTTTCTGCTGCTGGTGGCTGCCACCAAGCTCTCAGAGTCTCACGTAGGCACTGTCAGTGTAGGAACTGCGAGCCTGCTCCAATTCAGCAGAGGCAGCAAATCCAAGTGTTCTGCTCAGGAGTAACTAGGCAGTACAAACACAATGCTTAGAGATAGCCAGTGATCCTGGTTGCCATCAAGAGGCCAGATTATGCAAGTTCTTTGGGATTTTGAGTGCTATACCTAGGTGCAGCAGTCTCCAACTTGTACAACACAATCAGCATGACTACTTGTACTCATAGCATTTTGCTGGCCTCTAAGACTCTCTCCAAGGAGGATGCAGAAGGGGTAGGAAAAATATTTATCTTTTTAGGGTCTCAGGTTTATCTCTTCAGCAGTGACTAACATGATTAAGACAAGAGTCACTGACTTCCATGATCCAAGAGTCAGCTTCTGCATTGACAAAAAGTCTGGTACCCCCACAGCATTTTTAGCTTTCTGTTGGCATGTGCATATGGACATGTGCACCTCAGCACACACATTCACTTGCTGAAATCACATCTGTAGGGCAGAGAGTGCTGACATCCTGAAAACAGCAAAATACAGGGACAAGCAATGAGCAGATTGTAAAAGCACTCAGGCATGACATGAGAAAGGCTGGCAGTGGCCATAATAACCTATGGTGACAGCAAATATTTAAGTATATTTGAATGAGGAATAAAGTGCCAGGAGCACTTCATTTTTTAAATTACTACAGTACAGCCTGGGAACTCCTGTGTGTTGGACTAGGTGGAAAAACTGATAAGGGATTTCCCAGAAATTCTATTACCTCAACGTCATATGATGCATCAAACTAGTAATTTCTTCTTTCCATGCTTCAACTGTGCAATTATTAATAGTATGTCTGGGCAAAGAATTTAATCTGGCCTGCCTCCTTGTCTCATGTATGGCAGGAAAAGCTGCAAAGATGTGGAAGTTTGCCATTGTCCCCTTAGATGGGGAAGAAGCCCCAAATGCTGCTTTTGAAATTTTCCAACTCTGAAACAGCTCAACAATTCAAACAAGGGAAGAGTAAACGCATCAAGTCCTCAGTCCATTAGTTCTGACTGGTAAAGGGAAGCACAGCTACTGAGGTAATTTTCTCTAACTTTCCACTTTAACACAACTTTTCTGGCTTCAATACTTAAGCAGGGATTAAAATAAATTTTACATTTATTTTATTTCAGTTCATGCTCTGACATGGTCCAGCCAAAGCTATGCCAAAGACCCTTTATATTCTCAGAGTGAATAAGTTGTGCAGGGGCTTCTCTCAGCTAGTGGAAAAAAACCTAAAGGCAGAGCCTTACCGGAATTCAGGACAGGCTGCTTTGGATCTAAGCATGCAGCCTCTCTCAAGTTCTGAGATTAATCATGAGTCAAGTGTTTCTTCCAATAACCACAAGCACAATTAATGCCCAAGTTTCTTGAAGCTCTAATGCATCTTCTCTCAAGACATTCTCACCTCCTGAGCTCCCAGCAAGCAGGGGGAAAGGAAATCCTAGAGCCAGTTGCTGTTTACACAGAACAGATCCCACTCTCCACAGCCAGCCATCACCTCTGGCTTAGGTTGGGCTCTAGCTGGAGCTGGCTCCACATTGCACTGGTACTGTTAGCCAGGTGAGAAAAGTGAAAACACTTTCAGCACTGAGAGTGCTCACTTACAAGATAGATAATGACCTGCAATGGGTAGGCTGAAAATTAAAATGGAGATAGCTGACAGGCTGCAACAACTCAGGGGCAATGTGCACCTCAGGTCTCAACACAATTCCTGCCTCAGCAATCATTTCAGAGGACACTAATTAGGCACTTAGGGTTGTGCCCCTCAGATACCTAAATTGAGAAAAGTTACTCTAACTCACGGAATGCATCAAACATTCTCTCAAGCACCTCCCACTAGGAGAAAACTTCTTTCCTGCAACAGTAAATCTAAGAGACAAGTTAGAATCTCTTCTGTGCAGCTAATACAACATGCCAAAGCATCCATATGTACATCACTGTCTGTCCTGAGCATGCAATGAAGATGTTGTTATGCAAAAGCATTATGGATTAGCTCTGTCCTCACCTCACTATCTCTTCCCACAGAAACCATTTGTGTAGAGTTTATCAATAAAGTGATACAAAGGAGATAATAATTATTAATCATCTATGCACAGTCAGCTTTTTGACACATCTTCATATGGTGATGAAGTATGCTAGAATACTTTTTGAAGTCCTACTAACACATTTGAATTTTTAAAAGGATGGATACAAATAGGTATGTTTCTATATGCTTTTTAAAGGTGTAACTTATTCACATAATTGCACTTATTACAATTATCCAATATTTGTTATGTTTTACCTTATATTTAGGGATTCCTCTGTTATCCCCTTCGACTTCAAAGCAGGTTGGAAAGAACAGAATCTATAGGAGATATGAAAAGTCACATTATTGTTATGCAAATGGTTGTTAGGACACATTACATATCTATGTAACTGCTTTGTCCTCACAACTTTATTCAGGAAGCCCCAGCATTGCCCTGAGACTCTAACCTAGGACAAAGCTATAAGACAACAGGCAAAAGCATACATTAATATTAAGGAGTTGCTATGGGCTGGATAAAGGCCATTTCTTTCCCCAACAGGACTTTGAATTTACATACACGGTTGTGGATTTTTTGGTTTAAGATGCTATTAAAGTGGGGAATAAGAACCCACTCAGACATTTATTTAGCAGAAATGGCAGAAAGAGGCACCAACCCTCATCTCAGCCATTCATATTTACAATTGCTGTGGATTTATGATGACTGACAAACTATACCCTTGACATATACACTTTTGGTGATCTTCAGCTGAGGATCAAAACCTTGTCTTGGTCTGCCTTTGAAAGATTCCCCCAAGAGATTCTTGACAGAACTCAAAGACAGCAAAGATAAGAGCTGGCTCTGGGGCAGATCCTGGTGCAGGATCTAAGCAGCCTGTTTGAAAAGGAAGAACAGACAAATCTATACTGACTTTTTTGTTAAATACTGCAATAGGGGTTGTTGAGAGATTTCAGGATCAGAAGGAATTCCTCTGATTCTTTAGAAATTAACAGTACCAATGCTCAGTTTGGACTGCAGAATTTAGTACAGGAAGTACTAGCACTGAAGTGGATATTCCTGTGTAGAGGCCAGTGAATGCAATCCTAATCTAATGGCCAGAACTGGAGTAGACAATAATATGCAAGAAAACATTAAAAGTGCAAATTAATCATTTCATAGTCTTACATTCAAGTTCCATTAAACAAGACAAACACATAAGGAGAATTTTTAAAGAAAATGCCATTGTTAGAAGGTAACTTTACAAAGATAAAGTCGGACAGACAAAAATGTTATTCCTAAAGAATCTAATGATTCTATGAGGGTTGGAAGAAACCTTCTTTCAGCCAGTACTGTGAGGTGCCTCTCATCTCAGGGGGAGGAAGGAAAACAGCTACAGTCAAAATTTCCTGGGATGAAGGGACACATAACACCACTGGGTGCTGTAAATGTCCTGCACATTAGGTCCCTTGATAAATCAATGGCTATATAATGCTCCAAACAGTCCACAGGTCAGCAAAAGGAAAATTTCAGAGCTAAAGTGTAACCCATTAAAACTCAAGGAAAAACTGAAAAACAAATCTCCTGCAGCAACATAACACAGATACCTGACACCAGGATAAATAAGAGTGGTATACCAAGCATCACCAGGAGCATTCCCATGTTATTGTGAGTTACTCATTACCTTTTAAAGATCTTATTTCGGTCACTGTCATGGAAGACAAGAAATCTGGAGTAGCCATTTTTGAAGAATATTTCCAAGGCGATCTCCTGGAAAGGTAAATAATTTAATGTGAGGAGTTGCAGAGCAAAGCCTAGTGCTGCAAAGGGTCCATCATGGCCTGTCCAACTCTTCAGAGCTTTAAAAACAAAGACCTAGAATTTTTTGACAAATGTGCAGAACTAAAGCAAAATATGTCTAAATTTCTTCAACTTGTAGGGATGGTCATACAAGGTAACTAGCAGTTCAAACACTTCTTTGAAGCAAAACCAAACTCCAGATATTGGTTCCATCACTCACCTTTTCCTTTTGCTTCTGAAACATTTTTATCATGAAATCTCACTGTGATTAATAACACAATAGTAGCATTAAGTTCCAACTAGATGATAAAGATAACACAAAGGGGATTCTAAATAAGAGTTTCTTTTAGAAAGCAACCATACTGCTTCCTAAATTAAGATAGAGCTCAACAGAACAGCCAAATAGTTTCTCCTAAGTAGAAGAACCAAAGGAGAAAGGGCAGTTTATGACATTTCGCACCAAAACTTCAAGGAATTGAAATTGAAAGAAAATTTCACTCCCTTTTCCCCATCTCCAAAATATCTCTCTACTTTATTTCGCTGGGCATTTGAAGATAATCCTCTTATTTACTTAGTGAGAGGTCCTTTTTCCCCCCTAGTCATTCAAGTAAAACTATAAATAACATGTAGTGTCTGGGAACCCAGATATGAATTTCAATCCAAATGTGGCAGGTGCAATACAAACCTAGAGAAACACTCTGATGGCATGTGGCCCATACATGATTCGCAAATAAAATATAAAGCAGAAAGGTAATATCAGAGCAGCTATGACAATAAACACCTTGCAGCATTTGCTCTGGAGCTCAGCTTTCCAAACCAGGTCTGCTCAAGTGTTGCCACATTACAGAACTGGGCCAGTGCTTTGCTCTGGGCTGGAGGATGTGCATGGACAAGGGGACACCAGCTGAGGCACAGTCACTGCCAAAACAGCAGATCTACCTGTCCTGCAGGGAAAGCACAAGGAATCAGCTTTCCTCTTTTTCCACAATGTTTTTTCAAAGAAGTTTTTGGCATAGAGTCCCAGCACAAGCCTGATACAGATACCTGAGTTTTAAGTTCATTAACTGAACAAAACCCTGGAACAACAACAAAGCCCTGGAACACAACAAAAGACTATGGAACAACAATAAAAAACCCTAAACCACAAAACCCCTCCAACCAATAAGCTCAGCCTTTGCCTCAGTTCCATTCAAAGACTGTTTCTACTCATCTCCACTTCTCACTTTGGGTCACACCAAAAATTTCTATTTTGTATGGTTGAAAAACCCATGCAACACTGATAGCCCAACAATTGATAAGCCAACCACTCCAGTCAGGGTGTTCAAACACTGTGGTGTGTATAGAAAGGAGTTTGTACCAGCAAAGGCTAATGAAGCAATGATGGGTCCAAAAGCATTTTGATACTCAAGTAAAGACGTATCAGCAGTCTTAGTGGAAACTGAGCAAGTGATTTTCAGTCACATGTCATTACTGCTGTTGCAGCTTTCCCTCAAATGACTAAGCATGTTAATCCCTACCTGCAGGAGAAAGCGCATCAGATGGATCTCTTTGATATCCTGATAGGAAAAACGGGAACACGTCTGGTCTCCCACAGCATGGTCTTTATGACATAAGTTGAAAATAAATGGATCACTGATTCTGGATGAGAAAAATAAATAAGAAAAAAAAAATTGAAACAAAAAAAACCTGAAACAAATAATTTGAAACAAAAAAAGCCCTCTTGAACATTTAAGTCCTCCCATGAAGAAAAATAACAACACCAAGAGATATCAAGGTCAACTGGGACATACATAAACTGAAAACAAAGCTAAATAAATAAAGCTCAACACTAAAGGCAGATTTTCTAATAGTTACCCAAATAAAGAGCCTGTGGAGGCTAAGGGTAAGTTTGAAGTTGTTTTAGTATATGCAAGTATGAAGACATCAATGTTTTGCACACATTGGAGTCTGAGAATCAGAAGGGAAGAAACTTGTTGGGAGAACCTGAAAGCCCAAGTCAAGGGTAAGCATCATATGGACACACAGCTATTGTAAACAGCAATTACTTGGAATTAATAATTAAGCAAATAATTAATTATTATTTTAGTAGTGTATATGTATTAGAATTGCAATCAAAAGCCTAGCCCACAGAAAATCCCTTAGAAAAACAACCTAAGCTTTTATCAGATCCAGTCCAATCGATCCTCGAGTCACCTGATCAGATTGACTGATATTAGACTTCGTAAGATTTGGATGCAGAGCAGACAGGGATTAAAAATGCTGAGCTTTTCACTGTCCCACTGGGCTTTGCACATGAGCACACAGCATGCACAAAGAGCTTGGTCTAACAGACTCATTTGCAATATTGATCACTCTCAATAAATCATGAGTCAAGAGATGATAGCAGTGTGCCAAATATTAATTACGATTCTGTCTTGGAGAAACAAACAAAAAACTTATGAGACAATTAAGCTAAAGACTCCTGTCCTAACTGTTCCATATGAGTAAAAGATGTGAGTTACTCAGAAAGAAACTTTAACATTTTAACATAACTGAAAACCAGCAATGTAGTTGTGAGATTGTCCAACATCTGTTGAAGATGGGTGTTCTCACGGCACCTCCAAAGCCTGTGAACAAGCATCTATGTTAGTTATGTTAAACAGGTTTTGTAACAAATGGGAAGGATGGAAAACTTTTTGCTGTGCTATTATTCTGCTTGAAATCCCCCAAAAATCTGTGCAAACTCAAGGGATCCATGTGCCAGTACTGAAGTTGACCAAGCAGATCTCTGGAAGGGAGGAAAGAACGACTCACCTGGACAAGCAGTGACGAGTACAATAGACTTCCTCCTGAAGGGATAACACAAAGCACTCACAGATGTAAAAGTGCTCTTGGCCAAAGAGCAGCACCCCTTCCAGTGCTGTATGACCCTGCACGACTGCCACGGAGCACTTGAATGTCACCTAGGAAGGAGACAAGCATAATAAGGCCAGGAGCTGCTAACACAGGAGACAGGGGCAGCAGGGAGCCAGAGCCAGTGATGCAGAAGAACACAAGTTTGTACCAAAGAAACTGCCATATTGATTCTAGGGTTCACAAGGGCAAAGTCACAAAATCACTGCATGACTGACAGAAGTCCAATCAGAATATAGGAATCTATCAATCTAATTGTCTTAAGGATTTAGATAAACATTCCAGAATATTTTTTTTATTTCCCTTGATATACTAAGACTCAATTTCTTGTTTTTACTCCCAAGTAAATTAATCTGGCCATTACAATAGAGGAACTTCTAAAACACAATTGAAAAACATGGGGAATTTTTCAACTAAGTATTTTGTTTATTATATATGCCAGTTGATAGAAAGTTCTTGGGAATTGACCAGTTTTGATAAAGAAAAGAAAGCCCTTTTTCTGGAACATTTTTTATGGCTGAGAGATGGTGCAGAAAGTAAACAAACCAATTTAGAGATCAGAAAATTGTATGGCCTGAAGAAAATTTAAAAGCTCTGATTTTAAGTCAAGCAGTAGTTCATTGCAAAGAACATCTCTTACATTTAGAAGGCATGGAGTTCCTTATTTTTTGTATGAGCATATTTTATGCTCATAAAATATTCTATATATACTCAGCTCCAAAAGCTGCATCCACTGGTTAGTACAGTCAACTGGGATGATCAAGGTCAACTCAGTGTTGTGCCCAGTTTCAACCAGTTTTCAACCAGTACCTCCTCTATTACTAGAAAGGGGGTAGTAGCTAATCATCCATTAGGCCCAGCCTCAAAAATATTTCTCCCAAAATTTCAAAACACTAATACTACCTTACCTACTAAGAAAACTGCTCACTGCTGACCTCCTCCTCTAAATTAGCACAATCCTGATTTACACAGGATCCAGAAATGAGTGTAGAATTTTGCAAGCTGAGTCCATCTCAAGCTGCAAGGACCGGAGGGTGGTATTTACATAACAGGACAACTTTTCTAATTCAGAAATGTAATGCAGTGTTCCTAAGAGAACAGACTGATAAGTATGAGAAGTATCACAAAATCCATTTTTCTCTTAACATTTCAATGATCTTATCTCTACTAAACTTCATAAGGACTAGGGAGGTGTATTATTTTATGGGGTATGCAAAATTGACCCAGAAATGGAATCAGTTTTACTAGACCATGTAAAGTCAATATGATAGTATGTAGAGTAAGTATGGTTCTACTTCACTGTTTGCTTTTGTTCCTAAACTCACTATTTCTGGAGTCAAATCTACAACCCTCCTTGCTATCCCAAACTACACATGATCTAGCTAAGGTCAGCTGAAGCAGACCCACACTGCTTCACAAGCTTTTAGTCTTTGATGTTAGGATAACATAAACATTGAATTAATAAGTAAATTAATAAAATCTTGTTTCCACACTTAAATGCTTTACTGAAAAGCCATAATTTTACCAACAAATGGGGCGCTTCATTTTGAAATCACTTATTGGGCACAGGAGGTTGTTTCCCTCATTCTGGGTTTAAGGGGAAAAAACAGCCCTGGGAGATTTCTGTGGGTAATTTTTCATGAAAATCTCTTCAATCTCTCTCCCCTCTAAATGATTTCCAAGAGGAAGGTAGCATTTTTCCATCACCTCTCCCACAGGAATGCCTGTCTCTGCAGGGATATGCCAACCACAGAACTCTGTAGTGGAGCGCCTGCCTTTACCTTGTTAGAGACATGTATGCTTGCACTGAGAATACTGGGGAATTCTGCTCACATTAGCAAACCACATGGTTTCCTGAAGTAATTAAATAGGTAAAAGATTGCTTCTTCCCAAAAGGAAAGTAACTGAATATTGAAACATCAGGCAGTTGCACAAAGCAGCTCCACAGACACAAAGTTAAAATCCAGACTTGTAAGAAATCCACCTCACCAAACCCAGAGATCATGTGTGTGGGTATAGGAGGCACATGGATCATGAAGGAGGTCTATAATCATTAATATGTTCTGGCACAAAAAACCACTCTGCTATTCTGCCTAAGGCAGAACCAGGGCATGTTAGTAGGTCTTATTGAGGGGGAAGAGCACTTAACTTCTCTTTCACAAACCTTAAACTCTAAGCCCAAGTACTGTGTACTATCCAACCAGAAACTGTCAACAGTAACAATCCCTTTCTTCAATTCTATACTATTCTTTCAAACTTATATTGTTAATTAAATCTGCATTATTTGAAATACAAGAGCCCTTCAGCTGAGTCAATTTTTTTCATTTGGGGAATGTGACTTCTATTATTGCTGATGAGTAACAAAGATCTGACTGAGTTGCACTGCAGAATCTCCACCAGGACAGTGCTGTACCTGCAAGTCTTGTACCTTCAGTCTTGCACTGAAACACCAAGCAGCTTGGCATTATTGTAAATTAAACAAAAACTTTCATTTTCTGCCAAAACAGATCAGGACCCAGTTCACAAGCTACTAAAATCATTAATCAATGAAGCAAACATGACATAAAATAATTGAATAATTACCTTTTAAGGTATTGCCCAAAGCCCTGCATCTCTTGATTGCTCTGTTCATTCAGATGTACAAGGGAACACATTCATTCAAACTCACACACTGACACACACACACACACTCTCAATGACTTTTCTGAGCAGTGCTGGAAATAAAATGGCTCCAGTTGCCTGCTTAAAGTGCAAAGAGCTCAGGAGTCAGCCACTGACAAGGCAGGACCTCTGTGCACTAAGTGAGCACAGGACAGCTAATGTCACCCCCCGCTGCCTTTGTTAATGCTTCTGTCAGCTCGGCGAGGCAGGGACTGCTGCTGGAAAAGAGCATGCCTGGCATTTCTGATGGCTTCCTGCAGAGTTACATGGAGAAGAGACAGACAGCCTGAAGGCTCAAAATGAGATCAGTGCATGGAAATCAGGCCTCACATTTTCATGCCTGTCTCCTTCAGCTGGGGAGAGGTATGGGGAGGAAGGGGCAAAAGGAGGAGGGGCAGAGAAATGAATTATGTTACAGAAACAGACTGCATCAAGAACTCTTAGAAAGTCATATTAGAGAGCACAAGTGTGACCCCTTAGCCAGTGGCAAAGCATCAAGAAAATGTGGTGATGGCATTGAGATATTTTAATAAAACAGCTATTTCTATACCTGTGTACAACTGTCACAGCACTGTGAGGTCTGAGTTTACATACTACAAGTATTTGGCTTCCACTATGGGATGCTAACTCCTGGGCCACTGAGGGAATGATGCCACTGAAAAAATCAGGTACGCTGCAAAAAGATCAGGGAATGAGGTCAGGTTGCCAATTTCATTGATGTTGTCTCAATTAAATTGACAACATCAAAGGTGCCATCTTCCTAAGAGTCACCCTTATTTACTCCACAACTCATTTCCTCTCCCAGTGTTCCCGAATGTTAAGTCTCTTCCTTGTATTGGGAAGAAACCTTGGTGAAGGGCATCCAGTCCAGTACAAGAGCAAAGGAGGAACAGAAATGTTGTGAATAGATAACACATGATGGAAGCACCAAAAATGAAACATGGAAAGTTTATATGGCCTTAGAGAGAAGAATCTGTCCAGTACTTATGGGGAGACAGAAAGAAAGACATGTAAAAGGAGGAAGGAAACATTTTCTGGTAATCTTCATGAAGACATGTAAACACCACTGAACTAATAACCCATATAAAACTGGCATTCTCTTCCAGAGTTATAAATAAATTTGATGTAGGCACTGCTCTGGGCATGAGTAAAGGTTGTAGAGCAGCACAGGAGTGCTGCTCAAGAGTCTCAGAATTTGCCTTGTCTTAGGCAAGTGTCTCATAAGAGAATATCTTGCTTGCCATGCCCAATTTTTTTCTCTTACTTCAAGGAATTAATGTTAATTGCTCTTCAAGAAAAGTCTGGAGTTCATACAGAGTCTGGAAAACTATATTTCCTGTAAGGCAACAGAGAATGATGTCTACTGCAGCCTGAGTCCACCTGAACCCTGAACTGAAAGGAGCACATAGACCTCCATATCCAATTCACCCTCTAAAACGCCATGACCCCAGAGAAAATTCTCTAGTTCATCTTTCCTACCTTTTCATTCTCTGCAAACTCCTGCAAGATAATTTGTCTCTCCACGCACAGTTCCAAGAAGTCTTCTGAATGGAAACTTTCATGTAGAGCTGGGAAGAATGTTAGCTGGTTACAATCCAATCCTTTCTGATCCATCTCCGTCTCTGCTCCATTTAACATCAGCTCTCCTATATGAGCATAAAAGAGATTGTGGTTTTAGTGGCAGCCAGATGACACCAAAAGCATTTGCAATTTAGTCTTTCACTCAATCTATTCTACTTTGGGAAATAGCATTATTTATCTCCAAAAAACAGGCAAGAGAATTAAAATCTGTGACTGCTGAAGAAGGATGCGTATTTCAGGGAACCAAAGACAGATGCAATCAGTCATAATTGAAACAAAATCTCTATATTCACAGAAGATTAGGAAATTAGGAAAAATTTTAAATGATGTCTTTTAGGGACATAGACTAAGCAGGATCTTAAGAAAACCCAAAGAGAGGCAACCCATTTATATCTTGTCCAAGCTGTGTCCCGAGTTTTGCAAGCTCATGCAATGCATGCAGATAAAAAAGGCACAATCAGCCTTCTCATTAAGGCTTCATGCAGAAACTACATAGTGCTTCCATCTTGTTTGCAGTCTAAAACAATAAGCTCCACTCATTTATTTGCTAGGCCCTATCACAGTAAAAACGTATATATAAAAATACTGCATATTTCCAACAGCCCTTTTTCCAAGTTTAAGCAATTAAGATCTTTCCAGGTCCTCAAAAGTGCCCAAAGCTTACACTTCAGAATAGCTTTTTTTCCTTTAGACCTTTCAGGTAGCAACAAGAGAGTAGAAAATTCTCAAGATAGTTGATATATCACCTATGAAATTTGCATCAGTTTTGTCACAGATGTTACAGTGACATTTTAGCCCAGAGCACCAACAGTAAGGGTTTTTTTCTGGATTAAATTATGTGACATAGAAATTAATACGCTAATTCCAATTATCTTTGACTGTTTATGTCTACTGTCTTGACGATGCAATGTAGCCCTAAAAGGTTACCTGGATTCACTTCAGTTGGGAAAGTTGTTTCCCTTCTGTTTCCTAGGAGAATCTGAAAAGAGACTAGGTGTGACTAAAGTGGAACATGCAGATAGGTAAACATAACTCAGAACCTTGCTGGTAGAGAAAAACACAGATTTAGAACTATGTTGCAAATAAATGCCTTGGAAATTCAAAGAAACTCATTGGAAAGGAATCTGAAGGAACAAACATAAACCATTATTATCTTTCCAAAGATGATCGTATATGAGGCCATTTATAGGATAAAAATCATACTACTCAGTATAGAGAAAACTGCCAGAATCCAAGCAGCACAAAAAATGTCTTAGGTATGGGAAACTAATATAAAAGTGTTTCAGTCTTTCATTGATGTGATTTGGCATTTTGACATTAAAGAAACAGACAGTAGAAAATACCCCACATTCACAGTTCAGTCTTAGCTTAAAACACTCTTATTTCCCCTTTTGGCCATTCAGCACTTTCAGCAGCACTAGTAACAGGACAGTGCAGCCTTCTAAGTGGACTCTGCTGCATACATGGGGAAGCACTGTAACATTGAGATACTACTAGTAGAAAATATGGACAACTTATATTGTCACCTATCTGAGGAGATTTTATCCAAGAAAAGAGGGGGAAAAAGCATTCTGTTACTGTTAAATACACTGCAGGCTTTCTTAACCCCAAAACCAAATCCCTTCAGTGGGTTTTCTACACATGGAGCAGCATAGTCACGAGTCAGATTGGACACTGCTTTTGAAGGTCTTTTCCAACCTTAATCTTCCTCTAATTCTATAAAGTCACCAGCAGCTGTTACAGACATTGTGCACCTCCTGCAAAATCTTTCTACCTCACTCTTCCTTTGCATTGCTGCCACTTGGGTGTTCATGAGCTGAATCCTCCTCCTCATTCTTGAGGGCCCCTCAAAACAATCAAGCATCCATCGTGGCTCGAATGATGGTGAAGCATCTCTCCATGGGCCCCCTCTGAGGAAAAGCTGTTCCTCGAGTGTCATCCAGTCCTTGGCTGCTTTGCTGTAAGCACACTGCTGCATCTGTGGGACACAAACACTTTGTGGTGGCTTTTGGACACTTCCCTCCTCTCAGCCACCGGTGGCACTGCCTCAGTGATTCAGAGGGATCTACCCAGCCCACCAGATGGGACCTCTGTAGAGGGAGTGCTGCAGGCCTAACAAACACAAACACAAGTCCAGCTGACCACTGGAAGTGTGCTGCAGGAGGTGTTACTAGTGATAAAATAGTGATAGTCTGACTACACAACACAGTGACAAATAAAAGCATGTCACAAACTTGAAAATGGCTGCTTTCATAAAATTTGCAAGTCAAAAGCAGGAGATCCACATCACAGAGGTTTTTATTCACTCCATTTTTTTCCTGGCAAACGTGTGTGAAAAATGGCAACAACAGGGTTCACTGAAAACAGTCTGAATGATTCAGTTGTAAGTGTACTATGCTCTCTCTGAGCAAGGCATAAATTTAATTCTTTCTACTTCAGTGTTGTGTGCAAGCAGTTAGGGAGCACTAACATATCAATTTAAAAGAAGAGGTGAGAATTCAAAAAGACAAAAAGTTTGTTGGTCCCTGATGGCCAAACCTGAAACAGAAACATACCTGTCATGTTTTACTGTCTATGAGCTTGAGAGATATTTAAAAAGTTTTACTGGCTACTAAAGAAAAAAAAAAAAGGTCAAAGTTCTCACTTTCATTTCTGACATTGGAAGAGTTGAATAATTCATTTAAACAAAGGGGGGAAAAAGAGTCCTGAAAATAAAGTGGGGAGTCAGATTGCTGGGTCACACTTCTGCAATAATGTCAGGAAAGGAGTGTGGATTCGTCAACTCTCAGCAATTCTTTAGGCACAATATTCCTCTCATTTCTAAAATGCTCAGTTTCTCAGGGCAGTCCAAGAGAACCCTTTCAACCACAGAAAGCTGTTGCCCAATATTTCTGTCCTTTACCTGCACATGGTCCTTGTACAAAGAAGCATAGAGCTCCTGCCCGACTCTTCGGTACCGTTCCATACATGACACAAATCCCTAGAAGAAACATCAGAACACATTATGCCAAGGTGCTGCAGGTGTAAATCCTTTTACTAGAACAATTTAGGAATATGCCTGTGACTGCAAGTTTGATGGCTCTGCAGGCAGTGTAGAGATGAGTCAACCACCTGGGTGCAAGTTGCACACTTACACCAGGAATATAAATATAGACATCATCTTAACAAGGGTCATTAGTGGAACTACTCAGAACTTTCTCAGAAGGAGAAAGAAAACACCAAATACAATGTAAGGTTCCTCTTTTTGCAGCTGAATTAGTACTGCAAATAGCATAAATTATAATCATCTTTTGTAGAGACTCCAACTGAGGTAAGGATCTATAGTGAGATGGTAGGAGAGGTGAGTGCTCCCAGTGCCGTATGAGGATTGTCACATCCAGATGAACTTCCCTGACAAATGTGAGATTGCTGTGAGTCACAGCACGAGGCTAAACTTGCTGTAAAGTCCCAGCCTCGTACTACCTAAAGCCATGGGTCAGGCAGGTCACTTTTAAATGCAGGGACTCTGTTCCACGCTGGCAGTGGTCCCTCACAGCAACCTCCTGGCTGCTGCTTGCACTGGGCTCTAATTAAGTTAACATACAGGGTCTGGGTGTTGTGCTGATTACTGCTGGCTGCCAGCCAGGTCTGCAACCCTGCTGTGAAGTCACATTTATTGGTGCTTCCCTGCAGGAAGCTCCTGTTTTACACTGATGAAAGTCATTATATTTTTGTTTGCTTAAAGCATCATTGAACCTGTAATCACAGTTGTGGCCTCACAAAACTATTCCATAATTCATATAAAACTCCCATAAAGGCTGACCTAGAAAGCAACAGCATCTCTGTGCTCTTAAACCAATCCTGGTATAGGAGAAGAGCTGAGATCATGGCTCTATGTGGACTTGGGGCAAAACCATTCAGAGTAGAAAAATCAGTTTCTGCATTTCAGATATTCAGAGACTGTTCAAGCCAAGTCAGTGCTCTACTGGCAGCTATTTCAAAGTTGCTCATAGTCCATATTTCACTCAGGGTCATCAGTGAGACCCCTAAAGTCAAAGTCCACATTGCAGATTCTCACTGACCCAGTTCCTAGCCCTTGGAACATATGAAGGGTCTTAAGAAGGAAAACTTCTGCTACCCACATCTAGTCAGCTGAAGACTAACCACTTTGGCTTCCAAATGAGCTACAGCTAGCCAGCTTCAACCAGATGAACATGTCCCTGCTGATCTCACAGGAAAACCATCTAGTTGTAAAGTAAAATGAACAGTTAAAATTGGAGATTACTATGATTGAAGAAAAAAAAGTCAGACAAGCCAGACCAACACACAAAAACAAAACCTGAAAGACATAACCAATAAACATGGAGAATATAGACCAGACTATTATTTAGTAAGTGTTCAGTCAAAACATTTATACTGTAATGCCTAATGAATAACTAGTTCAAACAAGTTTCCAACAAATAAACAGATTCCTACAATTAAAAAATGTAGGTGCTTATCTTTTAAAAGAGCAACTCTTTATGGAGTAGATTAAATACAGCAGTGCCACAGTAAAATCTGTCTTAAATATGAACATGCCAGCTTTGATAATTGCTAATGTAGTGTAACATAAGGTTTGAGTTTCATATGCAGAAAAACAGGTGTAAATGTAAGAACTGTAATGCACATTTTTGGGAAGGGCATCAATAAGGCTTACAAAGGACCTTATTGATCAATCCTTTCCTAAAAATCTAGGAAACCATAGTAGGAAATAGTAGGAAATCATGCTTTAAGTATTTTTTAATACAGATTTCTATACTTTGCAGCCTTAGGCAATCACATTGTAAGTAGAATCAGATCATTTTGCTGCCACATATTCCCCAGTCAATATTTAGAGCTTGAAAAGGAGATAGAATTTACAAGTTATTTTCCTATTAAAAAACCAAAACAAATCACAGACTCAAAAACTCTTTCTTGTCTTGCTGCATGGAGTCCTCAAAGAGGAGAGAAAATTATTAACATTGAGGAAACCCAGGGTGTGAATTTTCTATAATTTCTTTCAAGTAAAGCAATTGAGACACTGTTTGTAATGAGAAAGAGTGGAAAAGAAAGATTGAGGTGTGACTTGTAATTTAACAAAACTCGACTGAGCTTTGGAATGCTTTATGTCTCTCATTTTTTAAAAATATATATAGATCACTTAACACTCCTGCACCTCATAAATATTCAGGCATGCCATAATACACTTGAATTTCATGATACAGACAGCACACATACCACAGTTCTTTCCCAAAGAAACATTATGTCACTGGGGGTCTGCACTTGGAGGCTTTCTTTGTGTGTGTTGTGTTACTGAATACACATGCACACAAAAGTATGTGCCAAAACTCTCAATAAATGAAAATAAGCATCAAGACAAACTAATTTTGGACTTGTAAGAGACACAAGGAAAGCCCAAATGCTCAAATCCCTTGCTGTGCCAAGTGAATTATCCTGTGGATGACAGTGACAATACCCACATACTTGTTTTGAAGCATGTGTTTTAAGTCATCTGTTGGTAAGGGCTAAAACTAGTGATATTAGTCTATTACTTTAGCTCTTCTGAGCAAAATAGTCTATGTAAAATGTTCTAAGTATGTAATAGTATGCTCACTATGTAAACATACATAGTAAGAACATTAATGTAGCATCGCAGCTATCACCCTTGTGAGGTACTTTTGACCAGTACAGCTTAGAGATATTTATGAGAGAAGACAAAGTCTTTCGTTAACAGATGGGGAAGCAAAGAAGTGAGTTTCTGGAACATCACAGAATCCTACAATGGTTTGGGTTGGACAGGACCTTAAAGATCACCCAGTTCCAACCCCTTGCAATGGGCATTTCATTTCAGAAGAGGAAAAACTCTTCCATTACTCCCCAGGTAACAATCTGTAAGCTAAGGCAGATGATGTTTTCCTTAGCAGACTAAAGAGCAGTTTATCCTAGTCCTTCACATGCACTCTCCATACTGAGGGCTCTTTGCAGGCTCTTTTGAATCACAAAATTGTTATTGCTGTGTGGATTTTATTGTTGCTTTGCCAAAATTCATTTAGCTTTTCAACAGCCTGAGTTCCAGCAGTGAAGTGTTGCATGGAGGCTTCGTGCCTCAGCCCGCTAGGAGGCTAATGCAATGTGCCAACTGCTCCTAAGGATCATGGATGGATTCCTGGCATTGCCAGTTGGTTGGGGAATAGCAGACTTAATGAGAAAATCCTCCATATTTCAGTGCATCATAAATGTACTCACACACAGGGGTGGGTTTCAAAGGGTAAACCTAAAGTGTGGTGTGTTCATGTGATGAGACTTCCACACTGCATTTATCAGCTAAGCACAGGCAGTACAGAAGCCAGTCTACTTCTATAGCCACCATAAGTCCGTATGTGTGTGTGTATGCACACAGCCCTTCAACAGATGACACTCCTGAACAGATTATTTCCTGGGAGAACAGATAACTTGCCTCCTAATAGCAAAAAAGCACAATGAGAGTCAAGGCACGTTTGTTCTTTAGTCCTGTCTCTGAGAATGGCTTCTGTGACTTTGGGATAGTTCATTCAACCCCTTGAGGACTCAGCTCCCATCCTGTTACAGAAGCATTAGGTTTTACCTCAAAAGTGAAAGGTGAAGGTCAGACTTTGGCATTGCAGGGAACAGCAGGGGAGCCTCTTGCTTGCACTTGTTCTTACTCACTGTTTTCCTATTTCTATTTAAAATGCAGAAGCCCTACATGTGTATGTAACTTAGGGCTTTATTACACACTATTATCTAAATGCATTTATCCAACAGCCTCCTGTGCTGGCATTTTCTGATTACATTTAAATCATGGCTTTTTTTAGGAAAACTTGCCCTTTTATTCCTTTAGCTGATGAAAAAATTCTCTAAACATCAGTATATGCTATAGGGCCAGAGTAGAGGAAAAAAAATCATCTCTCTCCTGACCCATAAAAATAGGTTTTTCTAAAATGACTTAGATTTAAAGGTGACAAGACTACTTCTGGGTTTTTAGTGGATGTAGTTCAAGCTGCTCTGCAGAGAAAGTATAAATAGAACAAAAATAGACACAAGCAAACTTTAAGTTGGCTAGCAAAGATGAGAGCAACAAGAAATGAATGGTCACAGACTTCAGCAGAGGTAACAACCTATACCCTAACCTAGAAGAAGCATTTAAGTTAATCTTGCAGATATTTCTAGGACCTCACTTGATTTTCTGTTCTTTACTTTTCATTTTAAATTGACATTTCAGTCTTTTGAATGCAAACAACTTCTTTCTGAAATTATTATAAATAAAATTTTTAAAAACCAGAAGAAAACAGACCTATTTGAATCAAGAAATACGAAAAAAATTATTTGTCTGTTTATTCAGCAAAGAAAAGAATAATCTGTTTCAGTGGTTAGCGCAGGTTTCTAGGGTTTTCTGCAACCAGATAAAACTCCTCTTTCATCCACATTAACACCATTCAACTCATTTGGCATCAGCTCTGTTACATGAAAGTAAAACTCTGCAATCAGCAGCTCTTGAAAGATGAGACTTTGGTGCCAACAGCTTTAAACGTTAAATTTCACTTGCTGAAATCCAATATCCAAACTTAAGCCTGACCAGACACAATCTCTAGCTTGAAAGGCAAATGGATATTTTAAAACAATATGCAGGAGAAATAACAGACAACATTTTCATACAATGTGTACTTCAATGATGGAACTTCACTCCCACAGAAGACCACTGAGTTTAAAAACAGAAGAAAACTCCCCATGAAGAGCTAACCACAAAAAATTTGTAAGCCATATCTCTCATGTTTCAGGTTTTAAGATGAAACTGATATCAATCAAGAAAGAAACAATTGTGCTAGGATAGGTTTCCTACTGAGCACTGGGCTATCATACCCCATCTCCTGTAGCAGCCTCTGATGAAATTTAGGGGACACACAGAGGGGCCTGTGAATCTGAGCCAGCCTAAAGACTTGTATTCATCATGCAACACTGATTTTCCAATTCTCAGCTAAACACTTGCCTTCAATGAATGGAGAAATGATCCCCACATCTTTCAGAAAATTCAGTGATATTTATCACATAATATGAAATACTCCATATTTTATGTTTTCATGCAATTCTTATCTAACATTGGCCTGTTGAATGATTTCTTTATGATCTTGTGAACAATCTGAAAATGATAAATGAGCAGTTAGATATGTGTGTAGGAGGACATGGAAATTTCTGTGTTCAGAGTTAAAGAAACTTTTTTCAGCTTGCTACAGCATGCTGTAATTTAGCTTTGAGCCAGTTATTAAACAAGACAATAATATTATAATGGAAATTGTTTAATATACATCATTAATAGTAAAGTGCCTGCTTTCATTGAAGTAAAAAAAATGCGTGCTATGAGCAGTTTTGAAATGAATATTTGATTCCAAAGTTCCCTTGTGCATTTAATGACATGCTAATTTACATTTTAATTACTTCCTAAGAAATCAAAGCATTTGTTGACAGAAGAACATAATGTCAACTTCACGGTGCACTGTTGGTGGATAGTTAATGAACTTAATTAGATAATTAGTGATGTTAATTATCCTTCTATTATGAAGATAAACATGTTACACAAATGATGCTCTTTTCAAAGAAATATCATTAAATGTTTCCTTGTTTTAACTCAGTTAACTTGAAAAGCTGATAAAAGACCAACTGAGTGATTGGTAAGAACAAGATTTAAGTAACATTTCTGGCTTTGCAATTACAAGTTAGGAAGTCTCTTAACCTCTTCATTCTGAAGAATGGGATTAAAAAGACCTTATCTATTTCAAGGTATATGGGTCTTTGTCATAGAGGAATGCAATTAATCAACAAAAAGAGTAGAGGACAGGCACAATCAGATCTCCTGTAAAACTGAGAAGGCTCTGCATTTCTTGTAAAGACTAACAGCAATATCTACAGTTCTGAGGCAGTGTGTCTCACAGGAGCTACAAGTGTGGTGCTTGTAACCTTGCCAGGCACCCATCCTAAAGAACCTCAGGTCAGGGCATGGAGAAGCTCTGACTGATTTACAGTTGACTGAAACACAATTGCTACAGCGCTCCTTTGCTGCCTTTGTAGCTTTGTATGATATCAAAAACTGTCACAGTCATTGTTAACATAAAATATTTTGACAGCACAACTCGGTGGTGGAGGGAAAGGAGGAGAAGAAGCAAGAGATCAAAAGGCTCAGTTTGAAACAGGAAAGTCAGTGATTTGCAACCTTTGGCACTGTATTCAGTCTTACAGACCTTCCTGCCAGCAAATGTACCCAAGTCTGTCACCTGTAAGCATCAAAAAATCCAACTTTGTGCATTATTCCTCCTGCTCCTGCATGACTACCAAGAAGATACAATCACCACAGCAGATCACTGCCATTCTAGTACCAAAAGTGTAATTATACTCTCTTTTCTACATGATCACGCCTCCCAGACAAAGGCGCAAGCAAAGCATGAGATAGCACAGTGTATTCAGAAATATGCAGAAAACACAGCTGCATTTGATGGCTGATTCTCACACTTGCCACCAAACAGCAGGAAATTGGCTTTGCTGATGATGGAGAGCATGAGCAAAAGTACAACAGGAACATGGGGTCTGAGCTTTTGCTGAAGTGAACACTGAATTTTGCTGTTTTTTCTAGATTGAGGATTGGGTCTCAAAAGCACTCTTCCTATCTTATAAATAATCACAGGGAAGAATCAGAGGAGTGTTTTGCTGATTGTTTTTGTTTGTTTTAATCTGCAGCAAATACTACTACTGCTTCAGCATCTTTGTTTGTTTTTCAGTTGATAAAGGAATCAAGTTAATAACCCAGTAAACAACCACTTAGTTCTTTCTACTGGGCACACCTCTGAAGTCCTGAGTGAATTTCTGCACTTCTCTCAGTAACTTTACTCAGTCAGGAGCAAATATCTTTATTTTGCTATGGGATTTAAATTCTTCATTCCTCGCTATGTAGTTCATACTGTTATTTTTCCTGTAATCTCCATGTTTCAACCAAACATGGAGATTTCCTGTTGCTTTAGGACATAAGTCCATAACTGGCAGAAGTGAAGATAGAGGCCAATAGTGAACACAGAAGTCACCTGACACAGAAAATGATACAAAATTACATCACACCACTTTTTAAAGTTATTACCAAAGTTGACAAAAATACAAGTTAAAAATACAAATACCACTTACTTTTAATGTAACTTTTCTAATGTAAGTAAGTGTACAAAGGAAGAGGGCTGTTGAGAGGTAACTCAACATTTTCTTCCTCTTAGATTTCACCTCTCTAAAAAGAGCATTAAACTCTGAAAGACAGGCTGGAGGGAGAAAGGGGGAGAGGGAGAAAAGAGAAAAACATTGGGAACTGTAGCTTCATATCTCATTGAGAAGAACAATTTATCAGAGCTATGGAGCTGTCAGTGCTTGACATGATAAGGAATAACACCAAGTGAATAATGTTTCTTCCAAACCCAGCTCCTTTAATTACAAGCAGCTTCCTTGCAGAAGAGAGACAGAAGATGTAGAAACACCAATTTCATGCACTTGTGCCTGAATAATGTCTCCGTGCTGCCTTTTCCAGATGGCAACCTTTTCACTGGAGGAACTAATGATGTGGGCATATTTAGGGAAAAACCAATAACAGAGTCTTTAACCTTCAACAGCAAAAAGCATGTTGTACAAAATGTTCCTTGGGATACATTTACAAATATCAATTACATTGCTCACTGAGGTGTAATCAGCTGTAATAATCAAAATTAATTTTAAAAAATAATTAAACAGACCCCAGGGCAAATAGTCAACACTCTTGCAGTATGACATCACAGTATGCATATGTACCTGGGAAGAGCTTGCTCAATCTGTAAGCAGCAGTGTGATTTTAAGGAGTGAGAAGGATTCTGCAGCACGCTTAAAAAGCCTTGCAGCTTAGAAAGGCACTGTCAGACACATTAGCTGGGCGTCACAGTCTGCCTGGTCACCTGCAAGTGGACCAGGCACCATCAGACATAGCTGCAATCTCCTATAGCTTGAGCTAGAGGGTTAAGGCTCAGAACAGACTCATCTCCCCAGGGGGAAAAAAAAATCCTTTATATGTTGAGCATCACAGTAACACAAGCTTGGTTTAAAGCTCTGAATATTCTGTCAATGCACTTCTACCCTATCCTATAGCTAGTTACTCTACTCCTATTACACACAAAAAATAACATCTATCTAGTGTTTCTTATGTCTATTTTTGACAATGCCAAGCAAAAACATGGAAATGGCCCTCTCTTTCAGCAAAGGAGGATCTAACACATGGATAAGATAGTTCACATCTTCATTGCTGACAGGAGAAATTATGCATACCCTCCAAATCCACCCCTGGATTATATACCAAGGCTTGTTTCCCTATTTCTAGGGATTAAATTAAAATTTGGACCTTTAATACTTCATATCGAGTAGAAAACATAAGGATAGCACTATGATAACACCTGAGCCTTCCCTTCCTGCTAATTCAGAGACTGAAGGAGAAGGTTTACATGAGTGATGCAAGCCAACAGCAGCAGCAAAGCTGGCATCTCCTCACCTTGCTCCACCCCAAGCAGAGGCCTGTAAGCACAAACACATCTGGGCTGCTTAGGTTTTTCAAATGCCATAATAGGGCTCTATGCAGAAAATATGCATTATTAGACTGTATGGACAGGCTGCCAAGAAAAGTTCTTTAGGTCACTGTTTCTTTGTGATTATTTCTAGCAGCCTAGGAAAGGAACCTCAGCTGCTATAGTTGTCTAGTTTGCAATGGAACTTGACAACCAAAAGACACACTCAGAAGCCTCCCAAATCCAGACCCAGAGCTATATACAAGGTAGATCCAGAGAAGATGAAGAGCAAAATTCACCTCTGATTTGCATGTTTCCTTTGTGTTTCGGCCAGGTATGAACCTAATTGCTGAAGAGAGGCTTTCACTCCAGGAATTGTGCTTGCTCTGGGACAGGCTTGGCCCTGCTTTATTCTGGAGAAGCTTCTTTTCAGATACTGCATGGGAAAACAGACAAGAAAGCTTTTAAGATGAGGTTGAGCCTGTCAGAAATAGAGGTGTTCTATCCCCATTGTACAAGACAAGACAATGTGATAGTGTGTCACTCCAGATGAATAATGTTCTATTTTTATGAGAAGTGAATTAAGACATACTTCTCAAGCTTTTATTTAAAAGCCTCACAGAGGTCTGCCATAGATCAGTTTCATTACACAGACACGAACATTGAATCACTGCAGCACTACACACATTGCAATGCCCTTCTTTCAACCATATATCCTCCCTTTTAAATCTTCCTATGGGTTACAATTATCTAAGGTGATTTCTCTTTCTTGCAGTACAACATGGGCCCTGTGACCCCACCAGGTGATTACAGAAGGGCTTGGTTATCACACAGTAAGTAATCACATCCCTAAATAAGAGAAACTGAGAATCTGCTTTCTCAGCAGGTGAGGAAAGGCAGAACCAAGGAGCAGCAGCTTTCCACCAGGCACCCCATTTACCACAATGTTTTTGCTTGTTACAATGAGTGTTCCATAAAAGAACAGAGACCTAGCAAGTGTTGCCAAGCTTTTGTCATAATTTCTTCCCATAAAGGAGTGATCTCTGTTATCTTCATGTCCCTTTCTTTGTCATTTCCTTTTACAGAGAGATCCATCTTGTAAATGTCCTCCAGAGCCTGCCGCCTCTGAGAAATGAGCTGCTTCCAGATGATTTCTACTGTCCTCAGAATCTCCTGGTGGACTAGGGAACAAAAGTAACACCAAAAAAAGTTACTCATTTATGTTTTCAAGTCAATCAACTGCAAAAAACAAACAAAAAAAAAGCAAAAACATCTAATTTGGAAAAGCACTGGTTCAGAGTAACTGCTAGAGTTAGTGGAGTTGCTCCTTTTTGTCCATTGCCTCCACAGTTTCTGAGCTAGACTAGTTAATCTAATACAGAAAACAGCAGGACATTTCTTTTATGACATTTCAACTCCTTGAAAGAAACAAGTAGGAGTGACACATGTTTTTAACTGGTTTCTGCTTTGAAAAACCATTTAACCAAAATTTTGATGGCCTTATTATTGTGCTTAGAATGCTAAAGCACATAAAGGTATTCCTTTATGTTGCCAAACATCACTGGAGATGGACGGGCAAAGGTAACCAAGTTGTGAAACAATTTGACACAGCAGGAGGATATTGTACAAGAAAGTGCTGAGTTTTTCTTTATATCCCTGCAAACCAGACTGATTTGATTGCAGCTTAACCAAGCCAATATATATTTCAAAGTAAAAATTAAAAAAACAAAACACTACTCTGCTGCAGGGTTCAACTGACCACACTGAATCCAACATATTTTTCCTGTGTTTCTCTGAAGTACTCCAATACTTCTTCCTGCATACAATAGACAAATGCTGTATGGGCCTTGAGAAAAGAAACGGAGCAACAAATAGTGTATGTATCTCACCCCTTATACTGGGGTCATAACATGGAGGAGAGGTCTCCAAACTGATACCCACTACTCCTGAGGATGCTGGGTGGGACTTTTGAATAAAAAGACTTGATGCAAACACAAGTAATTTTTAGCACAACTCTCCTTTCTCTGTGCTGTGCCTGCAGTGCCGGTACACTAAAGAGGAATTAAGTGGCACTTGCACAAGCTGCTCTGTAAACTACTTAAGACAGGTATTCTCCTTCTAAGCCACCGGCAACACGTGCCATAAATTACCATCATCTGGAGTAGGCAGGCTGCCCTTTTCCTCTTCACTAGGTGCAAGGAAAATTTGGTGATGAGAAGCCAGCTTTGGTTTTGCATCCATCCCAAAACCTTCTGAGCAGCTGTGACAAAGGAGAAAAAAAGAAAAAAAGGAGGGCAGGTAAGGAAACCAGACTGAAAAAAACTGAGAACAGTGAAAGAACAACAGGTGTTTCTGCACATCCAGTCCTCCTTGATTCATTTAGTAGAAGAGTATTTTCAGGTTTGGATCTTATACCAGTTATGGAATACCACGGAATTTTCAGCAAGTGGGAACTTAACTGCCAGTCTGACTTTGAAAGGCAAGGAGCAGTCATCATGACCCTGTAATCACCCTCCTGTATGTGCCTTATCCATGCAATTTACTGCACTTGTATTCACTTCATTCACCCCAATTAGGTGGAGCACGGGGCTGTCCTGATGTAGCCAGTCTGCTTCAGCCTTCTTGCACCTCCCCCGGGCATCTGGCACTTTGTCTCTTTACTCTGAATTCCTTTGCTAGAGGTATCTGCCACTATGTGGAAGAAAGCGTCTTGCTCTACCCTGCACTTGAACTGCTTACTGAGCTTTTTGTGTCCGTGATGATTCACTCAGTTTCCGAAGCGCTCAGCACAAAAAAGCTATGAACTCAGCTCCATGGATACTATTAGCATGCAGATGTGGTTATTGAGAACATCACCATGGCCAAGAGGACTTCTGCTTTGGGATTGAGGGCTGTGCCACAATCTACCAGTCAGAAGGTAAAAGACACTAGGAACTTCAGTACAGCAGTAATACTTAAAAAAAAAAAAAAAAGAAACAGGCTTGCTTAAGTTATCCAGAAAATCTGGACTCTCTCACAGAACTGCTGTCAATAATAGCATTTATAAGCATATATAGCCACTAGTAACACAAAGCTCTTTCAGTTCTGAACAAGCCTGGCTATCTGGGAGAATCAAATCCTTGGGTATGCAAAGCTGGCAGCTGGCATTTTTATTTCTGATTTTCTTTAAAATACCACATTTCTGATTGCCTGGATTGTTTAGCTTTTGGATAACATAAACCCTTCTGTACTTTATGTTTTTTTTAAACAGTTTGTGCTCTTACTCCATAAAAGCAATCCTCATCCCATCTCAATGGGTTTGGCCTGGAAATTATTATCTGACTGGATAAGAGCATCCAGAAAAGATCTCAGGAAGTGCAGCTCATTTCTGGTGTGATACTGTGTTAATGGATTCCATTCAGATCATCAAAGCAGTACAGAAGGTTATCGTTGAAGCAAGAAACATTAAAGTGAAAAATGCACTTGCCAATATTTGCTTTTTTTCACAAAACTAAGCTTCCAAGGTAACTCCCCAGCTTGCATTAGCAAGAGTTCATCTTTTATATAAACATCTGTAAGAACAGCAAACAGTGAGTATGGATGTTCTAGCTCTACCCAGTGGCAGAAGGCAAAACTCCCAATGTCAGAACAACTAAAATATTACAGCTCAGATCCAACTAACAATAACACAAAGATCACAAGATCCGTTCACACCTCTATATATGCTTTAAATGTACCCACACACAAATGACTGCTGGATCAGACAAAACCTCTCACTGAATTACCCCATGCAGATGTCTCAGAGAATGGCCACCCTCATGATTTGGGAGTGATCCTAGCCCACATCCCAGGAAGATTTCCAGCTGCTCATTTTCCTGATGGGCTTGTGAGCCAGCGCCACTGAAATCAGTTCAAGCTTGTTAACTGCAGTTACTACTCTGTAGTGAGTAGCTGCTGGAAATGCTGGATCCAACTCATTCTCAGCTTCTATTGATCCTCCAGACTGGAAATTGCCTAAGTTAGGTGACATCTCCCCCTCTGCGCCCACTTCCACAGGTACAGCACAAAAATAAAGAATCATAATAAGATGAACACTTGTACCTGCCCGAGTTCAGTTGGCAAAGGCAGTACATGAGGCAGATGACAAAATTACTATTTGAGTTGTAAGTTGCAAAGATAATGTCCCACTGCTCTTGCAGGACAATGAGAGTATTCAGGACATTAAACTGTTCAGGCAGTGATTGTTGAGGTCTGGATAAGCAGTATAGGATGGCTCTGTTTAAGCAGCTGTACAGGGCACTGAGAAAAACTTCCTTTTGAGAAACAGAGCTTTCTAAAACCTGTGAAAACACAAAGCAGCAGTTTACTTGGCTTGCTCAAAGAACTTTCTCCCCAAGGACCCACTCCTCCCACTTCATTTAAACTGTTGGAAACTTGTTTCAGCAAAATTCCCCTGAACTACCTGTTACATAAAAACTCTAATTTTTTCTGTATTTCTGTTGAAGTACCCATAACTGTGGGGATTAATTTATTAATTTATCCTAGTTCAGCAATGTGTACACAGCCACCAAACAGTGTCACAAGAGAGTTAACTCTCCTTTCTTTATGCTGCACCATCTCTCTCTAATTATAATTTACAGCTGTTATGTTCTCACGCAAAAAAACAGGAATAAAAACAATCACCAAATGGATTACAGCCATCTTCTTCAGAACTGCAGTATCATGAACTCAGTGTAAAAAACCAGCACATTACATCAGGTTGATAGAAGTTGGAGAGAAGAAAAGTGACTCACACACATAATCTGTTTGGCAATGAAGATCAGGATTTGCTTGGGGTCAGCCACAAACATTCTGCTGCTCAGTTTCTCAACCAGCTTCTGAACAAAATAAGCAATATTCATCATGGATAGGGGTGCAGCTGATTCTGAACAACCATGAGGATCAGTGTTTGCTGGAGAGGATATAAGAGGATTGATTATTGCAGAACAAGAGGAAATTTAAAAAAAAGTGAAATGTGAGATTATCAGAGCTGAGAAGGAACAGTCTCATTCTATAATATCTCAGAGGTGGGACATGTCTAAGAAAACAAGTCTCTAGGTATAGCAGAAACACCTTACTCAGACTGGAAATGACAGTCCCATCTTAAGGATGAAGGCAATCTCACTAAAATGCTGTAATGAAGAACTGGTTTAACTAACAACTCAGAAAGGAGAGCAATTAACATCTAAGTTAATGGGGCTGTTTCCAGAAGCATTCAAGGATGAACCTAGGTTTCTTTCTATATATTCCCTTTCTAATACTCAGAATCTCTTCTCAAAAAGGAAGATTCTCTCCAGAAAAACTATAAAATTACAATAACTGATGCAAACTGGCTTGCAGTAATATAGAATGGACAGTGCAGCCTGTTGAGCTGGACTGTCATTCTAGCTATTGTCTCCAAACCTTTCTAGCAATGACACCTACATGCTAAATACCAGTTACAATGATATTTAAACAAGAGTTAAACAATCTGATTCTCACCACTCACCTCTTGGTCTCATTTTCCCCTCGCCTTGGCTGGCAACCTGAAAGACATCCATAGCAGACAGTAGAACTTTTGTCTGAAAAAGTCTCCTCTGCTCACTGGTGGCATCTTCTGGAGAAGCCTGTACAGTGATGGCACACATATTAGTACAGCAGGAAAACAGGAAATCTGACTCAACTTCACTTTCGGCAAGAGTACATATGTGGACAGCTACTGGACAACAGATGAGATGGCAGAACTTCATTCCCAGCTGGAAAACAAGGAACTCTTACACAGGACCACACCATCTAGCTGACAGCCAGCACAGTCACCCTCTGCACGCTGAACTGAAACAAGGTTTTGTAAAGGGCCAGAATTGCTTCACAAGTGCTTCCCAAGAGGTCCTGTGGTCAGGGGCACTGAGCTCCCAGGATTCAGACAACCAGAAACCCAAACTCTATTTTAACTGTATCAAACTTCAGGAGAGTATACGTAAAACTTTAGGGAGCTGATGCTCCACAAGAGGATTTAAGTCATTAAAATTGCAGTCAAGCTTATTCTAATAACTTAGTAATTACTATTCGTATTACTAAGCTAAGTCTGCATCAGAACCCACACCTGGGACACCTGAACTACTGACAATTTGGAGCTGAATCCTAAATTTTTAATTTTCCCCTTTCTTCAGACTATGATTCTCTAGAGTGCTTTGAGTAGTTGAAATCTATTATCCAGACTCAGCTGTTACAGCTTGTATTAATCTGTACTTACAGTGGAGACAGGATTTTTTTATTTGAGAACTGAGATTTTCTTATCTCAAAAATCAGTACACAGGATGCTCCATGTGACATTTTCTGTTCTCAAATTCAAGGGGTGCCCTGTTGACAAGCAGGTATTACTAAGGAAAAGCATATTTTTTCACACTTTTCTTCAATATTAAAGATTGCCTGAAAAATTTCTGTTTTCCAGGGACAGCATTTTCTTAGTTCACATTAGTGCAGGGGAATTAGAGAAGTCCTTTCCTTTAGTAACTGTTAGCACTTTTGTTACTAGGTCACTAGAAGGATATGTCCTGTCCTTCCACCCCCAGTGCAAGGTAGAAGAGCAAAGCCTGCTGATGAGATAAACCTCGAGAAGCAGCTCAAGGGGGTGTCCCTGTTTGCTTGCTGGGATGTTGAGAAGACTGTCCATCAGGAGGACTCGCACGAAATCCCACACTTGTTTCTTGGCAGGGTGTGGTAGCAGTGGGAGAGAGGAGGGATCAGCACAGCCTTTCCCTTCAGCAATGGCTGGACCATCAGGGGTCAGGAGGCCTTCAGATCCACCCTGTGAAAGCAGATAGCAATACATTTGCAGTCAGTCTACTGTACATTGATTTTTTTTTCCTCCTAGTGACCCATCTCTGGTCAGAAGGGCTTATGCTGGCTCCTGTGCACATACCTTGGGTGATCCTGAATGAAAAGCAATCATAGCCAAAGCTTTCAAGAAGTCAGGACAGTGCCACACAGGGTCCTGTGTATAACTGTGATAGATCAAGCACAGAAACTCGATAACATTCCCCGGATAGGCAATTGCCCAGGAGGCCTCTGCATCTGCAATAGGCTGAACAGACAAACGTGCATCTGGTCAAGGCGGCATTCCTCTCATTCATAAAAGCTTATCTATGTTCCTCTTTAGATATTCCTAAGCAAATGTGACACAGCCACAAACTCAGACAAGGCACCAGTAGCCAATCCCACCTTGCAGACTGAAGATACGCCCAACCAGAAAGGTGACATAGCAGCATCAAGAATGAAAAAACTGAGTGCTGTTGTGGGCAAGATCTGTGTCTGGTCTCTCAACCATGAGCCCATCACATCCTGTGCTACATAACCAGGGCAGCAGTAGTTGTGCCCCCTGTTAAGTGCTGCCCTCTGAGGGCAGAGCAGGACCAGGGATTACAGGGATTACAGATACAGGCTGCCATCAGCCTCTGTCACACCTGGGCTCTTTATTCAGCCACTCACACTGTACTGTCCTTGCAATGACACTTACCTTGTCCACAGTGAATCTAACCATTTCCAGCAGTAACACAGCTGCCTCTGCACACAGCCCAGATTTGAGGACATTCTCTCTATGGTGGTGCTGCAAGATCCACTGCAACATAGACTCAAGATCTTTCTACACAGGAAGAAAGGTTTCATTAAGAGATGGGAATTGTACATGACACATCAAGAAAAATGCCTGCTCTCTCTACATCAGAACAAAACCAACATGTGTCTACCTCCAGCAGTTCCTTCCTCTCCTATTAAATTTGTAACATTTAACACCTGCATGAACAAGGTTGTTCTGAACGTAAATTTTCTTAAATAAAAGTTAATTAACTCAATTTTAAAAGTATGAGTAGTTTTTATTGTTACAAAGCCCAGGTAGGGTTGACATGCCTGAAAATCATCTCATGGAAAAGGGCATAAAATGTCAAAAGAGTAATGCAATAGCAGCTTCAGGTGCCTGTCTGCTATTTTTTTTTTCATACCTTGACTGCTTCAGGTGGGTCAAACGGTGGAGTTGCCAGAAAGAGCTCTGCCACAACCAAGTAGATCTCAGGAATGTGAACATGATCAGTGAGACATCTTTGCAATACAGAAAATCCAAAAATCAAGAAGTTGCCATTGTCAGGCACTGGAGGATGACTTTTTAAATTATCTTTAAAGGAAAAGAAAATGAAAGTGTGTAAAAATGAATGTCATATCAGCAGAAGGATTACTGACACAATTTTATCCTTGTCTCTGTCCCAGAACACAGTAGTCTGTTAGGCTGCAGTATCAACAGTCTAAAAATCACCTCCAGACTAACATAACAATTTTTATCACTATCACTTTTGTTAAAGGGCTTTCTCCCTGCATTATTCTTCTTCCTTTCTCCTCCCTTTCTCAGAACCCCAGGTCTAATTATCAAAAAGCAGGCTGAACAAATCTTTAAGAAACAATTCAGAACAAGTTGACATCTGAACACCTTACAGGCTTATCAGGTAGCCTGATTTTGTACAACACAAAACAGCCCATCTAATCAGAATTGCTAATTACCTGCAAGGGAGAAGTAATGCCTTCCACTTTTCAGCACAGAAATGCTGCAGTACCAGGACAAGTTTGCCCTAGAAAATGATTTAAACTCTTGGTCTACTGAGATCAGTGGGAATCCTCCTATCACGTGCGCAGTGATTTTCTATCACTGAGCTGGACCAAGGCAGTGTTTTGGGAATGTTCAACCAGCACATACCCATTAGAATGTTCAACCCTGCAGAGCTGTTTTCCAGCCAACGCCCAGCCACTATCCCCTCCTTGAATTTGTTCAGCAGCAAACGATTGTGGAGGAAGCACAGGAGCAGTTTGATTCCCAGGACAACTGTGCTGAAGTGCAGGTAGCTCTGTGTGAACAGCAGAAACCAGTCTGGCCCCAGCGCCAAAAATGTCTTTTCTTTTTCCCTAGGAAAAACAGGTAAATGAAAACTCATGGGAGGAAACACGATGGAAGACAGAAAGGAGATATTATATAAGATTGAAGTGATTTAGAACCTCATGTTTCTCTAGAAAAAAAAAATCTCATTAAAGGTGTGCCCTTAGAGAATCACAAAGATGTAACCACAGGCTCATCCACACAGCTAAAGTCATTCAATTCCTGCTACATCTAACCTTCTACGGCTGTCAGGCAAAACAGTTTATTAATGTGATGCCCCTTCTGAGAGTGTGTATCAATAACCAAGGCAAACAACGTCACAGACCAGATCTTTCAAGCTATGAAATTCAAAATTCTGGTTTAAATTTTCAAGTCCAAGATGTGCTATCTAATGAAAATAGACAATTACAGCTCCCAGCACTATGAAATCTGCCTTTCAGTTATGAAAGGCAAAATTATAATAATGGCATTCTCATGGTTAAGATATAGCTGTGCAAGTAATCTCACTTTAGATTGACTTGATTTTCAGAGACAGATTTCAGAGACAGGGGTTTCTTCAACCCCTGATATGCAGCAGAAGCATCAATATCCAAGCTCCCCCTTCAATGTATTTTCTAAAAATATGAGACTTTTTCCAAAATGGATATAAGATGTGTTATCAGACCACACAGCTGTGTGAATGCCAGATAAATCACTGACAAAAAAGTCTCTGAATCCAGTCGGCTCTTACTTAGTATTTGTTGAAGTTCAAATATTATTGGTGTGTTTAGTCCTGGTTAAGCACTAGGATGATGAAAAATCTGGGAGACAAAGACACTTCTTAAACATTTTTACTTACTCAGAGGACAGCTGAAGTTTGTCTGAGCGTATTACATCTAAAAGCATCCTCAGTAGCTGGTTTCGAAGACAGATTGTCCTTCCAGATGTTTGGTTTAAGGCTACAAATATCAGAAAGCAATAAAGAGTTAAGAAGAGACAAAAGATGTTCCATTGTTCCATTGCTTTGATGAACAATTTTGTTTGCACCCAATTAGCTCCATAGAAGTACTTCTATCTGTTTTTTTGCAGAGTAAAAAGATGCAGATGTCAAATGTTAAACAAGGATTCCTGCTAACATAATAAACAACCAGTGCTTACATTGCCTAAGTCCTCCCTTTTAAAACTCATTAACACTGCATGGTGAACAATATCTCAGGTTAACTAGAGAGAGAAATATAAACAGGCAATCTGACTTGTATTGCCCAGCTGAGATGTCTATATACAAACTGCAGTTACCACTGTCACCTTAATATGGTCTGTTGTTAGAGGTGCAGTAACAATAAAACCCCAACTGAAAGATCCCAGTGAAAGGGCCAAATGACTGGATGTTCCTCCACATGAACCTGACAAATACACAGCCACTTTAAGAGGTGCAGAGCTCCTCATTATTATTTGCTACAACTCTAAGTGTTTACAGAAAATCCAGCACGTCCATTGAAATTTTATTCTTTGTAACAGCCTAGTAGGTTGGTTTGGGGTTATTTCAATTTAATGTCCTTTCTCTCTATGTATATCTGAAATCCAGCATTGTGTTGGCTCTGGACAATGCAGCAAAAGTACTGCTGGTTTATTGGCAGAGAGAGAGCAAAGGGTCACCTCTGTGCAGCCCGTCCCTTTCCATATGAAGAAATCTGAATTTTGCCTTTTCCTGCAGCAGAAGGCAGAAGCACTAATGGTGCAATTAGGGTTGATCAGGTCCTGGGGAAGGAGGGAAATCCTGTAGTTGAACTATCACAACACATACCCCAAAGGCAGCCCCTCACCTTCAGTGGGCCTCTCAGCCACACTATCCATGTAAATCTGATTTTCATCCACAGAAGAAGGTTTCAAGGTGTAAACAAGGAACAATCCAATCCTAGCAGAGAAAGAGTGAAGCAGTTGTGGTCAACAGAAAGATATTAATTTACTTAATTGGAGATTATATGCAAAGCTGCATACTGGTTAACAGTGACTAAAGAACCACGATTAGAAATTCTAGCCACTTCAGACATAGGATGAAAACTTCATAAACTAGGAAGTAAATTAAAAAGTTAAAGACTGTGCTGTGTTGGAAGGTATCCACAAGGATCATCAAAGCCCAACTCCTGTCCCTCAGCACGACAATCCAAGAGTCACACCTGTGCCTGAGAGCATTGTACAAACACTTGCTGTTCTCTGTCACACTGGTGCTGTCACCACTTGCCTGGAGAACCGGTTCCAGTGCCTGACCACCCTCTGGGTGAAGAGCCTTTTTCTGATATCCAGCCTAAACCTCCCCTAACTCAGCTTCAGGCCATTCTCTGGGGTTCTGTCACCCCAGAGCAGAGATCAGTGCCTGCCCCTCCTCTTCCCCTCAGAGGAAGCTGTAACTGCAGTGGGGTCTGTCCTCAGTCTCCTCTTGTCCAGGCTGAACTGACCAAGTGACCTCAGATCTCCTCATCTGGCTTCCCCTCAAGGCTCTTCATCTTCGTGGCCCTTCTTTGGATGCTCTCTAATAGTTTATTTTTCTTATATTTTGATCAATGAAACTATCTAAAAATCAAAGTAAAATATATTCTGCTATGGAAACATTTTCTCCACTTTAAATGTCTTTCACCAAGAGAAAAGGATTACTGAGTAAAGCACTCAGTTTATATGAAAGATTCTGAGCAGCCTGTGGCATTGTAATTTCACTGTTATTACCACTTGGCTTCCAAGCATATAGAGGAGGACAGAGAAACCTTAGCAGGTCCACAGTGAGGGGGACTGGCATCCTTTAATCACCTGGAGTTTGCTTTGACACATTAGCTGGTTCTAAGGATAGAAAGATTAATGTGAAATATACACATTTAGCAAAAGTGCACAATCTCCTCCTGCCCACAAGAAGGGTATTTCTTAAGGGACAGACACCAGTTGTTCTGCAGGAAAAGGCCACACAGCAATTCCCTCCGGAAGCCCAAATCTGGGGCCAGCAGAGGCTCCAGCACCTCTCAGTGCTGCTAAGAGCCTGTTCCAGTCCCTGCTGTCCTGGGGCCAGAAGGACAGGGACAGAGGGCTGTCTCTGCCCACTCTCAGCATCCATGGGCCTGACAACTAATCATGTTATCATGGAATAATAAATCATGATTATTTATGAAAAAATGCTCATTCACCTCCTTACAACATGACAAATTTGATATACTAAATCCACAACTCTCACCTGTCTCACCACCTATATGAAAAAAGAACAGGCTAATTCCTAGAAGCCCAGGGTAGGAATATACATACAGATAACATATATCCAGGAGCACACAGTTACAAAAGAGCTGGAAAACATCAAGTTCATGTATTAGCTTACTCCACAGTTAACTTATTAGAGGTGCTCATACTCTCCAACAGAGCAAAAGGCAGAGTCCACAGATTTGACATGCAACTGTTTTTACACTATTAAAAATGGAGCTTTAGAAACAGAGCTTCCGTCTGTGCAGTGCATTTCCCTGGGAATTAGGTGGCTGCAGACAGCACTGTGTGGACCTTCCTCATATGGTCTATGCTGTGGGTTGATACAATTAGGCTGGGAATATAAAATGAAGCAGTGCTTACATTCTCTGAAGAGCAAACAAGGATTTAAATGCTATGCTTCATGAAATCCTGACTAACATAACTGATTGAAATTCAGGAACAAAAAGGATTGTTACTGGGATATAAGCCAAACCAACTGGATTAGGTATACAGTTCTTTGGGGCCAAATTGTAATACTGTAGTGATACTTTAGGGACAAGGCTTTAATGAAACCAAATATTAAGTACATATTTGAGTAATCCCAGTCATACCTACAGAACTGTGCCACCATTATAACAAGAATCACCATATTTATCTTCACACAAATATAAGGTTGGAGTGAATGAAAAAGTTTTTCATCAGTTTTTCACCGGGGAATCCCGCAGTTGCCAAAGATCTGATGCTCTACCAAAGACAAGGTAAAGGAAGCTCAACTGTCAAGCTCTCTCCAACACTAGCAGAAGTTTGGCTCATCTGCAATCTGAGGAAAAGCTATAGACCTTGAGGGTTACCTGAGAACATCCCTTGTATTAAAGTATCCTTGCAAGAGATGGGACAGGATAGTGCAGGCCACAGTGATCTTGGAGCTGCTGATTTCAGGATCATTGAAAAGGAAAACAAGCTTGGGCACCATTTGCACCTGGTAGGCAAGTGCAATATTCTGACATGCATCTCTGCAAAAAAAAAAAAAAAGCACAGGGACTATTAAGGTTTCTACTGGAAATGACCAAATTTACAGAGTTTCAGCTAAAAGTATTCTCAGGTTGCACTGATACTTTGCCCTTTTGGCTTCTAATACTGTCTTTATAACATTTCAAACACTCTCAGACAAATTGAACATGTATCAGTGATGGAGATCAGAAGACTACTTTGTGTGTTCTACTTTTCTCCTCTGCCCTCTCCCCCAGAAACTGCTGCATTCCAACAAGTTCAAAGAAAACATTATTACATTTCCAAGCAGCAAGTTGGCACCAAAAAATTCTATTCCTGTAAAACTTAGCAAGAGAACCAGACAGCTCTGCACAGAGCTTTCTGCTACCAAAAAGCAGGAATCTAGCTTTACTGAGTCCCTCTGCCATGCATTGTCTCTTTAGATGCATTCAACGCCAGTCCAGATGATTAAGAATATTGATAAAGGGGTTGTGTTTTGCTTTTAAACACAACTTCAGTAATGTAATTTTAAAATTATTTCATAGTCAATTCAAACATTAAGATTTCTCCTCCCCAGCAGATATTCAAGCTTGCATTGTACAGTAGTGGTTCCACATGAACCAGGTAACCAAATATCTTTTCCTGGACTAGTCCTAAAAGTCATCTCAGGAGCTGATCAAATCACTAACTTCAGGCTTGAAAGAGCAACGCATGAATGATTCACTCCCAGAATCCTCTGATTCCAACTGGGATTAGAGCCTTCATATCCCCCTCAGAGTTCCAGCTTGAGGTTACAGATGAGTTTTCCCCTCAGATTTCTGATTCAAACAGAAGTTTATACCTGGAGGACTGCAAGATCTCCACAAGATGGGAAAGAAGAACAAGGTCAAGATTTTCTGGTGCTTTCATCCAAAGCTGAAAGACAAAGGAAAGCAGAGGTTTTACTGCTCTGCTGAGCTGCGAGAACAGTAGCTGCATCAGAGAAACAGTTAGAACTAGTCTGGGGAGGACGACACCATAAACTTTAGGTGTTTCTGTAATGCAGCCTGCAGGCACTGGGAAGTCCCTGCTCGTGCAGGGAGCTGCAGCTCCAGTTCTAGCCCTGAGGAGCAGACCCTCAGGAGTGTTCCTGCAGACCTGGGGGCCCACAGTGTGAAAAAGCACAACACACAAATATTGGATCCAGGAGATGCTGTGAACAAACCAAATCTTGTATTATAAAGCCATCTTTAATACAGCCAAACCCACAGAGCAACATGAACAGTTGTACCTCAAAGTTGCAGAGAACATACTGGAATGCACTATAATTCTTGATGACAGAAGACTCAAAGCCCAGCTCAGCTGTGCCCACTAGGGAGAATATTAACTGTAAAATCCTGTTGTTTAGCAGCCGAGTTTTCCTCTTCAATAGGTAGCTTAGCAACTGAAAAGAGAAGACTGAATAAGTATCTGCCAAGTATAAATCTCTATTTAATTCAAGACCAAACATATAGTTTAATCACATGTACCTGTCATGCATGCATGCATTTTGCATAAGAATCATAAAGAAAATGAAGATTTCAGTCCAGACATAAAATTTCATGCAGAAAGTCTAAGGATGAATTTTTGAAGGAGTTGGCAACTCTGTGGCATTCAACAGGAGGAAAATATGTGCCATATTATGTTGAATGTAATTTAAAAAAAGCAACAGACAAATACAACTGTAAATAACCACAGTAGGAGTTCTATGTTATTCTATTCTTAATAGATGTATTCTTAATTGCTTATAAATAGTGTTAATTTTAAAAATACTAAATTTTACCTCCCCAAATGAAAAACCTTAATGAAACATGGCCAGTTTCTCAACTGAGCCTACCTTTGATTATCCAACAATTTCTCCATACTGTGAGAAGAATGTTCAGAAAGCCATTACATTTTGAGCAGGTTGGGAAAAATAGAAATCAATTTGAAAATACATATCAAGGCACATATATTACTTGGCTGTTAAAAAAAACTTCACTCCATTGCAATATAATGATAACTTGGAGAGAACTTTTTTATGTAGCAAAAAATGCTTTTTTATGCATTTTTATGTAGCAAAAAATCAAAATAACAGCTCATACCCAATACAAAGACAGGCATTGACCTACAGGAAAGGATTGGGCAAGCAGTAGCTAAGTAGGACAAACATATTCATAAAAATTGCGATCAATTGATGAACAATTTGCATGTGGGGAAAATGGAAGGTTTATAATAAATCATTAATGAAACTCTAATGTTGAGGGTCTTGTTTGGAACCTTCTATATTAAAGAGTCTTGTCTGTTCCTTCAGAGCTCTCTGCTTCACCTACACAGCACAAAGTAAATGATACTAAACTGAAACTTCATACTTGAGCCTCAACCCATCCAATACTACATATTTATACATTACATACAACCAAAATCTTCAATCTGCATAGCTTTCAGGTTTAAAGATTAATTTGGGACCGACCTAATCGATGCAATTCAGACAGCACTTATTTACATCAGCACAATTGCTCATACAGAATGAAGACTGAGCCATAGGAATTCATTGTCAGCCCTGCTCTGGGCAGTCTGTAAAGAGGAATCTTAGGCTGGATGAGCCAAGGGGAGAAAGAAAAGCTGCCTGAGAAGTGGTCTTTTGTGTGTGGGATCAAGTGTGTTGGTAAAAGATGAAGAGTGGGTCAGTCACAAATCTGCTGCTCTGGCTTGTTTAGTTTACTAAATCATGCCAAGAGGCATCTGTCCTCACATTTCCTTCAGCAGAAAACTGTTAGAGAGGCTGCCAGGAACTGTGAGCACAGGATGTAGAGCACCATCCTATATCCCCCTCCTAACTTGCCAAGTTCCAACCACATGTGGCTAGAGTCAGGATATGTTTGGTTCATTCCCATTGACAGATTTGGGGGTAAATATCTACAAGGGAAAGACTATAACCAGGATGAATGAACAAAAGTGTGTCTACCTGGTATCCGTGGATGTGCCTCATCAGTTTTGCACTCAAGGGGCTGCTGTTGAGGATGGAGTTGAGGACTTTGACAGCTGCATACATGGTGTGGTCATCGTGCGCCTTGGCAATGAGACCCAGGAGAATGGCAGGGCCCCCAATAAAGTTCAGGCTGGTGGCTGCTGGGGAGGACTGGAACACTCTCACCCCTAGGAAATTGCACTGTTACTCTACCAGGAGGTCACACAGACAATCTATTATTGGACAGAATAAAGCTACACTCTTAAAAGAATATTAATCATTAAGACAAGTGCATTTACCATATTGGCCCACAGCAACTGACCCAATGGTCCTTAAGGAACCGCAGAGGTGTCCAGCAATATTCTTAGCCAGGAATATTGGAGTTGAACTGTCCCGAGAATTAATCCCAATCTGAAACAGATGAAAGGCACTTGAGGAAATTTTTTATAGTATCAGGGATGCTAAAAAATGAATGCTCTAAGAGATTAAATTATTTTAATAATTTTAGACTAATAAGTGATAAAAATTTGATTGTAAGGACAAATATTCACCACCAACAACATCCTTCAATGCCACTACTTTCATATATCAATAGACCTGGTATTAGAAAGAACAATAGAATAGCATGTAAAAAGTCCCTGTGAAGACATTAAGAAAACACAGACTGAAACAAATTATGCTAAAACCTGAAAATTACAGCTTCTGTTCCTGTTTCAAAAAATGCTTTTAATATGTGAAAATTAACCTATGAGTAGAACAAAGTTAAGGAATGGAAAAAAAAAATCTCTGAAGGTACACAGGTAAGACAAAGTCAGAAATTTGGCTCTAGGAAACTGATTAGAAGCTAGAGAAAGCATGTTTAAGAAAGGGAAACTTGTGACCTCTTTGGCAATCAGCCGACCATCCACTTCATTGTAAGAGTTCTTTATATCTTGGACTGTAGTGAGAGATGAGCAGACAGCATTGATTCCAAAAGAAATCTTCTCTTCTGCCACCAGAGGTGCGATGATATGATCACTGCACTGGTCCTCACCTAAAACAAGAAAGGCTGTGAATGTCTGAAGGAACTTCACTGTGCCTTATGCAAGAGAGGAGAGAGGTAGGTGAAAAATAACTGGAGGAAACTGATGTTTATGAAATAATTTTACTTTGTCTTAACTATAACCATGAAAAAGCATTCATCCTTTACCACACAGGCCATGGCAGCTTGCATCACCAACACATGGCTGTGTTCCCTGGTAACTGCTTTGCCTTGATTCTGTATTCCCTCATAACATCTCATGGAGCTCAGAAATGTCCGTAATAAACCTCTCCCTCTGTCCACACAGTATAAACAAACTTTCTGGACACAGAAAACATTTCAGAGGCCTTCTGTTTCTGAGAACTTTATTGGGGTACTCAAAGCAAAGATTTGTGTGGAAGGAGAGCAGAGGCAAAAGTTCAGGGCTGCCAACTCACAACATTTGGGAAACTTCTCAATAGTACCAGGTTCAGCAGTTTAGTATGAAATTCTCTTATGCATTTCTTTAAAGAATTTCCTATTCATTCTCACACTTGGAAAAACTATATGTATCTTTATACAAAAAAAAGTCATGTTGTATTTTTGACAGTTTTATAGACTGGGAAAACAGCTGACTTACAAAACTGTTTACTAATGCTGGTAACACTGCCCTTTTAGACAAAAAATAAGTTCACACACCACATGAAGATTAACTATAAATAAAATGCCTCAAGACTGTGTCACCATTTCCCTTCCAGCAGCACTTGGTCTGCAGACAAAGCCTCTGTACAACTGCAGCTGATTAACAAGAAGCAATGAGATAGTGGGGAGACAGACACACCACTGCCAAAAATTCCCACTGCTGTTTGCAACAAGGTCAAAAACCCATTTTAAGGGGAAAAAAACCTCATTGTAGTATTTGGAGGGATTGTGTAAAACTTTTTAGTCAAAATTTCCATTTGCCTGAGTTTCTTTGGATGTTTTGATGGAAATAGGGAGAGTGCAGAGAGAGTGAGATAATTTCACAATAAGGAGATCACATCTTATATGTTGCTCAGTGATCTCCCCTAAACAGGGCATCCCTAGAGTCACATGGCCACAACCTGTGATTAGTACTGAAGCCCATCTGGGAAGAGCTATGCTGAAAACAAGCGCCCAGACTTCATAAAGTCCCAATGATTCAAAAAGTCAAATCCTTCTGACTCCTACAGGTAATGTTTTTATTTCAGAGCTGTATTTTGACACCATTTCTCTCTCAATAACCCCTTCCCACACTTGACTTGCAACTTTTTGTGTATATTTACAGCATTCTGTCAGAAGGAGTACTCTCAGACAGTACTGGAGTACTTTAGGCTGGAGCATGACCAAGAAAGATTATTTTGCTGTTTTCAAATGAGAAATGGCCATCCCATTTCATCCCAAGCTCTAGCATGGAGGGGAATGCACTACTTGTTGGACAAAGAGTAATCAATAACTGAAATGTTTTGTCTGTCTGTTTAATAATTGAAGCTAACAGCATACTTTAGTTAAAAAGCCTCTTCATTAAATTGAATGTAACTTACTCCCCTGCCCCTCTCTCTTATTCTGCAGGCATTTGCAGTTAAGCTCCATAGTTCTCTTTCTGCCTTTTCCCCCCCGTTAATACAGAATGTCTCACTTAAAGCTTCTGCTTTGTTTGTCCAACAGAAATCACAACCTTGCAACTCAGAACATGCTGCCCCTCTTTACTCTTCATCTCTCTCTGCTGCTTGATTCCTACCCTTCTATCCAATTCACAGAACATTACAAGATCCTCATATATCTCACTACAATCTTGTACAACATTCAGTAATGCCATTTTCCAGACTTTTGAGTGATCTCTAGACACAGTTGGAACACTAATAGAAGATGAAAAGAATAGAAAGAGCACTGCCCTAACAAACAGTGGCAGATATGAGAATTGTGACATACCTTGAAGCTGTACTGCTTGGAAGTTGCTACAATACTGAGGGCCAAGCTTAATAATAACTTCCATGGTTTCCACAGAAATGGCTTCTTCAAACAAGTGTGAAGGACCAAGGCGCCAGGTCAAGAAGGACTTGTGTTTCCAAATGCGAGGAGTGGCTATGTACCCATAGACATCAACAAAGGAAGAGGGTTCCATGGAAATGCAGCTACCTGGTAAAGGCTGGAGATACTGCATCTGCAACAGAGGAGGAATTCACTGGGAGGATCCAGTACACTCAGGATGCCCTGGGGTCTTATCCCTGCAAGGTGCGGCCTGCCACCTCTTTGCTCATTGAGGTCTCAGCTATGTAACACAATCATACTGGGCCTGGCTCAGCTGCAGCTCCTTCTCCCACGGCAGCCTCACAGCACTGTGCTCTGCCCTGGCAGCTACACAGCGGTTGGTAACACACCAGAGCTCTGGCTCTTACTGAGCAGAGCTGGCAGCACCAGCTCTCCAACATTCCCCTCATCAAGGGGCTGGGTGTGGGCAAAATCCTGGGAGGGCGCACAACCAGGCGAGCTGACCCAAATTAACATCAGAGATATTCCATACCATATAATGTCAATGTAGACATATAAGCTAAGGAAAGGAGGAGGAAGGGAGGGAATTCATTATTTACAATGCTTGCCTCCTATACCTACTGCTCCATGTCCTGAAGATCTGCTTCCCAGGAAGTGGCTCAACAGCAGTCACTGACGGGAAGTAGAGAATAAACCTTTTTTTTTTTTCTCTTTGCTTGTGCACATGAAAACTCACTTCTGCTTGAATAAACTCAACATAGAAGCCATTTTCCATCTTATTCTCCCTCCTCTGTCCAGCTGGGAAGGGGACTGATACAGCCGCTTGGTGGGCACCTGGCATCCAGCCAAGGTCAACCCACCACAACAATTATTAACTCTTGTTCAGAAATTGGACTTTAGGAAGTACTGTAAACATAAGCATTTTAAACGTTTAAGCCTAATTTTTGTTCCAAAAACAGTCAAAAGAATTTCAAGTATTGACAAAGAGAAACCCTGTCTTGACTCCAGACATATTTCCTTTCCTAACTTCATAACCCTGACTGTGACATTCAACACAGAAAGGCAAGTTACAGTTACTTTGTACTGGCATAAATGGAGAATAAGCAGTGTTTGAAGAGTGTAGATTGTCCAATTGCATCAGTAAGCTTCAGTGGAACTAACATTGTTTAGAAAACAGGGCCATTTATTTTGTACCAGAATAATGATTTGGCCTCCTAAACTGAGTCTATTTTATTTAACTGTAGAGGAAGTAGTTGGAATTTTTTGGTAAAGAGAAACTATATTGTACTTTAGGGCTTAGCCCTGTCTTTAACAATTTGTTGCTACCATGGGAGACTCCAAGCATTTACTGGTCTCTGACTACTGAGATTTAGAAACAGGGATGGTCAATATTAAGAGACAGGAGTGAGTTGACACTTCAGTGAATAATATTAGACTTGTTGCAGCACAGTAACACAGCCCACTCCAGCTCCACCAACTAAAAATAGCCTTTAGTATTGTTAACAGCCTTCATCCATTTCTAACTTCTTAGGCCATCTTTTCTTCACTGTACATATCAAGATGAAGACTTACATTAATCAGTGAGCCCAACGCTGGGAACAATCTTTTGTTTGCTAAAGGATTATTTTATTCATATGAGCTGTTTCACTGAATGTTAAACACACTTGTTGTGAATTCTTTCATCATTTGTAATGTTTAGGCCTAGTTTTATTGATGACTTTCAGTCTCATTTGAAGGAAGTCAAATTGAATTAAATTTTCATTCTTGAAATGGATATAGGTCCCAAAAGGCATTTACAAGACAGATGATTTTTCTCAAGTATGGGAAAGAGAATACTTGGAATTAAACAGGTTGTGTTTACAACAGTGAGCTTTGCACGTGCTGAGATTGAATTGAAATATGGGAACAAAAAGAAGGAGACCAAGGTTACAAGTTTCAATTCATAAAAAGATTCTACTCAAAAACCAAAAATCCACCACACCAATCAGAGATATAATAGAAAGAACAGGTTGCATTTTCTACACTGCATTCAAAATCCAAAAATCAGATTTCTGAAATTTTATGAGATTAACTGCAAAACCAGGAGCATGATGATATTAATAATAGAAACCAGGGGCTATTCTCATTTATATTGTAGATTATGAACCCTTCAGGTGCATTTGAATTACTTTTGCCTGCTATTTCATCCAACTTGAGAATTGACTGCTGTGTGACAAAAATCACAAGAAATTGCATATTAGGGGATCTGCCAGTACGCCAATATTAGCAATGAACTCATGAATTGATATCATCTCACACACTGAACAACTAACCCTGAGGAACACCTATCTGTTCCTGAGTGCTTAGTGTGCTAGTGAGGAAAAAGACCACTGACTGATTGTTCAAAGGGTGTAGGAGAAAGAGGACAGCTTGACCAAATAAGATATAAAATAATACATGGCCAAATAAGATGCTTGAGGAAATTCCTCCCACCTTTGGATTCTTGAAAAGAGCTGACCAGTCTCAGCAGCTTATTTTTGTGTGACCTTTCCACTTTCAAGAGCTTTCTTGAAAAGAAGGAGTGGAGACTCTCTGTGTAACTCATCATCTTTGCAGGTCTTAGCCTAAATCCAAGTCATCCTTGATTTAAGGCTCTCTGGCCACACCTTGATGTGAAGTACTTTTTATAGCTGACAACCTCTGCAGATGTTTGGCTTAAACTGATAAATCCTCTGAATCACTAGTAAACTCAGAAAATGTTCACCTAAGGGTATAACTGAATTTCAGCAACATAACCCTGAGCTACCTGCAAGCTAGTATCCCCAACTCTAGAGGAGCATCACCACACAAAGTGCCCCGGTTATCTACATGCTGAAGGGGGAGAGAAGAGCTAGTTCAAAGCATCAGTATGAGCTGAGAACATAGTTCTGAAAAGCAGCACAAGTACTCCCTGTTTTGTACAGATTTCTGACTCCACTCACATCCAGCACAGCAGCACGTGTTAAATGTGTAAATCACCATGCTTTGAGTTTCTCAGATAATTACTGAAATCTCATGGTAGGTGCATTGGGAGATGGAAATGAAAAGCAAAGCAAGGCCAAAGCCAGGCACAAGATCTATGCAGAGAGCCTTTACCTTTGCAGAGCCAAGCATCTGGCCATTTATATAAGCTGACACAATGCAGTTCTTCTTTGCTTCCTTAGCCACTGTCACTGTGAGATGATGCCACTGGCCAGTGACCAGAAGTTTACCACAGCCAAACTTGACTTGCCTTGGAAATGGGGAGGGATTTAGGACCTCAGTCTCAGGTTCCATAATATCTGTAACAGCAAAAAAAGGGATAAGTCAACAGAAAGTTTCTCATCTTCACCTGCCTCTAGAACACAACTCTCAGATGTGACAGGAAGAACATGACGCACTGTGTATACAGTGTGCTTTGATGCTATTAGGTCTAAAGTCTTTAAAACACTGCCCAAAGTCTGTTTCAGGACCTACAACTTGCACAGCTCTCAAGATGCCTCCAGCATAAAACATGTCACCCTTCCAAATAACACCTGCTGTCTGCCTTGATGCTGCAAACCTTCCCTGAACTAGGACAAACCCAACATGTTCACTAAGAGGAGAACCCCTCTGTGTATTTAGAGAGTTAGCTGGCACAGAGAAAAAATCCCTAGCAGATCCATGAGATTATAAAATCTCCATATTAATTTGTAGCTTTTATGAAAAAAGGCAAGCTGGAATTTTTATCATTATCTAAGGCCATCAGAGCACTCACACTATGTCAGCTGTTCATCAAAGTCCCAGCTACTATTCTCACATCATTTCCAACCTCCTCTGGAATACTCAATCAAATTTACATTTGAAGCATCTACTCTACTCAGTAAGGAAAAAGGGATAAATATCAACAGGGAACAATATTAACAGACTGGCAAAACAGAAAACATTCTGAAAGTAAGGAGAGGAAATTAGTTGTTTCATTAGGATGCTAGATCACTCCCCAAATCCTCAGTCCTACTCTCCAAACCTGCTTAGTGTCATACAGAACTGAATGGTTCATACCCAGTCTCCAAAACTGTACTCCACAATATAAGTGACACTCAAAAATTTTCAATTGAATAGTGCAGTAATTCACAATGCCTACAGCAAACTTGAAAATTAGACACGGGCAGCAATTACAATCATGACTGTATTCAAGAAGAAAACTGAAGAGAAATCTCATTAATATCCTGGGTATTTCAAAGAGGAAATTTATTAATGAAAAATTCCAGATAACAAGAGGACACTGCACTGCATCTTAACTGAAAAGAGCCTTACCAAGTGGCTGGAATTCTACTTCTTCTGTAGAAATGACCAAAGAAAGGTCCTGCGGGAAGAAGCTTACAGAAAAGCAAACAAATTCTTGCTCTGCTCTTGACATGTGCCTGACAATGGTAAGGAAGCGGAGTGGGTGGCTGCTGTGCACCAAGCCGAACTTGCTCACCAGGAACCAGCAGGACAGCGTCAGGCCACTGGTGGGAGGGAACATCCTGCTGCCTGTAGACAGGAACAAAAAAGCAATAAGCAAATTGCTTTCCTTGTGCAGCCATTAGCAAACTGCTTTTCATTCTTCCATACCAGGGAAGAACCATCATTAGATTATGGAATTTAATTTCTATTCTGTTGGACTCCATTGCCTGCATTCAATATCACAGAGATTGCACATTTGACTCTGTGGACATGTATAAATGGCCTAAAGCTGACTGATGGGAAATGAGCACTAGATCTCCATGCTATGGAGCAGATGAATTAGCAATCTCTAAGGTAGAAACAAGTTCTCAAATTTCACAAAAACTCAGGAAGCAAAAGGTTCAGCCATATCCCAGTTCACCCAATAGAGTATTTTGTTGTATAGGAGAATCCCATTAAGTGAAAGATACTATTCCTTCCATAGATCACCCTAAAATCTGGTGACTGTTACTGGCTAAGATTGTTTCCTTAGAAGCCTGCTTTAAATTTGTAAATTTGCTAATATTCATTCATCACAGTACGAAGCTGCACCCAATTCCCCATTTTGCTGAGCAGTACAAGCTTTACAGTTCAGAGCTGGTCTGGGACACACAGACACAAGTGTTTTGATGCACACAGCTTATGTGCTGCCCTTTCATACAGCTGTTGAATGTTTTCATAGTGGCTGAGAGTCAGTGCTCCCAGAAGCTGTAGGTGTGTCACAGTGCTTACCTGTGCCAGTCCCTCCCGAGACAGATTGGTCTGCACTGGATCCCATGACAGTGGCCAAGGTAGGCAGGTATAAACACCTATAAAAAAGCAAGCAAGAACCCATCATCAGAAACAAAATCATCCCTGAGGGTCACCAGTAGCCTCTGGTACTGCAGGATCATGGTAGCAAAGCAGAGAGGAGACTGTCAGCAGTAAGGGAGTAACAAAATATGTTGGCCACATTTCTGCATGGAAGGCAACCAGAGGGTACATAGATTAAGATGAAGAGAGAAGTGAATGGTTAGTATGCTCAAAGTAAGGGTTTGGAGACCCAGAGCAGCTAAAATAAAAGCAACAGCAGCAGTACCCATAGCCTTCCATGGACATGTCAAACTCCACAAAGGATGGAGCCAAAGCAGTGCTGTGCAGCTGGAAGTTCCGAGGGGATGTCATGGAGATGAGACTCATGGCAGTCTGGAGTGCCAGTGCAGATCCCTTAGACAGCCAAGGAGAACTCCTGACTGGCACAACAGTCTGAGGATCAGATTTACTGCCCACCACACTCTCTTCTGAACCTGAAAGAAGAACACAGTGCCTAACCAGATCAATGTCTGCAGGTCATTTTCCAGTCACAGGTATTGCCCATATTCTAGGCATCCCTGCTCAGAACAGCACTTCATGCTCTTGAGACAACACAACCTCAGCAGCCCACAGAAATCCTACAGCAATACAAAAAAAATATTGCACTGAAGACATTTTTAAATTGGAGGCTTTCAGGAGAGCCATAGCCATATTTTGGCCATATTTTCTTCCCACACATCTTCAGGCAGCTCCAGAACTCATTTTATTAAAAAATATCCCAAACCCGTTGGTTTCATTTTTCTTAACGACCATTCATTCAACTGTGCTGTAACAGAATAGTCCCAAGCAACACATGGTAAGGATTTGAAGAATGACTGCAAAGAGCATAAGACTCAAATACAGACTATGCTGTATCAGGTGTCTCAGACATGAGACTGGTTTAAGCACCAAATACTACTGTATAAATACTACTGCAAATACTATTGTAGCCTCTCTTCTATAAAATACATTAGAGCAGAGAAACGACTCAGACTGCCTGCATAAGCAAGGGAGATTACTAGGATATGCTAGGGACTACAAAAAGCAGTGCTCTTTATTCCCATGCTTATTCTATTTCTGTCTGTAAATCACTAGAAAAATATGCTGCAAGACAAAGGAGACATTCCCCTTGGCTTGTAGAATATTAGTGTTTTTATAAACCATGTCCATGTCTGATTCAGCAAAATCTGAGTATATACTCAGCATCTAACTTGGGCAAAGATTTAATTTGATCTCTGCTAGCTATTAGATCAGCTCTCAGTGTTGGTCAAGTACCATCCAATTGGGGAAATACCCAGTGAAACTCTTCTAGGCATACTCCAGCTTCCCAGGGACTGTCTTGGAGCAACCTACCCAACAGCAGTTTCCTGTCATTGCAGAGACGTCTCTAACTCAGCCACTGTTCATTGTGTGCTTACCTGCATTAGCTGAATCACTCCCCTGACGGGAAAGGACCTTCGTCTTGTTTGTGCTGGGCCTAGAAGGTAGTAATGGAGAACCTCCCAACGACAAAAATTGCCTAAAAAAAAAAATCCATTTTAAAAAAGGAAAACAATCTAGACACTTAGAGTCACAGCAACCATGCAAATAGAACTTAGACTTCTTGAGAACAATTTATTTTTCTAAACACCGAATTTTAAAGTCATTCCAAATAGAACAGAAGGAATCTTTTCCATTGTAGCAACACAAATATTTTGCTTGCTTTATGTTTCCTTTCAAGGTTTTCATGTTGAAAAAAAATACCAAAGATTGCTTTCCTTCATCGATATTTTTGAATGGCCCTAATTTTTCAGGAAAAAAAAAACAACTACGGGTCAGAGATTTTTATGGAGTTTTTTTTTTTTTATAAATCTTATTCCCTATTTGACTGAAAGAAATACAGTCTTCCACTGAATATTTATATTCATCTCCACTCTGGTAGCTGTTAGGTACTGTAATGTTTAGCACTTGTCAGCATTATTGAAGAAAATGCAACCTCGAACAGGAAACAGCACATGAGGAAAAAGGATGCACTTTTTATTTTTGCATCTGTCATTGACATGAATCTGAGACATGAGAAAGTAATTTTTACTCTGCAGAAAACAGCTTCTCCATATAAATACCAGGAGAGAATAACCCTGTTTGTTTTACAGTGTCTTAATTGGTTCATTCACAAGTGGCTTTATAACCCCTGCAGTGATGATGCAGAACACTACAGACTCATACCATCTTCAGGAGTCATTTAAGCATATATCCTGCAATCAGTGAGGAAGGAGAATTAATTGGGACTTGAAAGAAAAGTCTGAGTCTTGCTGAATTAGAGCACTACGTGAAGCATGTAATTATTTACTAAACTTTGCCAAAAAAAGCACCACTAAAGCAAATTGCTTCCATTAGATATAATCTTATACCTTAACACATGTGGCTCAACGGCCTGTGATGCCAGCTTCTCAAACACCCTGGTGAGGGGCAGGTGCAGGGGGTGGCTGTCACTGCAGAAAGCATCCTGACAGGAGGTGATGACTGTGCTCAGCAGGCCACACTCACACATCACCTGACGGCTCTTCTCTGACTTCACCAAGGACTGGATATGATCAACCAGAGCGCATTGGATCTCCTGGGAAAGCTGAAATGGACACAGAAGTAAAGTCAGAGAGCTGGAACTAAACTGTATAGGAAAACTGATTTATTCTGTTTTAATTTGTTTTTCAATTGTCAAATCCCTGAGTGTAAACATCTGGTCCAGAAAAGAAGCCCCTGAGGCAAGAGGCTCAAGCAGAACTGCATGGCTGTTCTATCAAGCTCTGCACTAAATCAATGTGCATATATTCATCTGAGCAGCTGCCTGGCCATCCACAGCTCAGCTTTCCTGCCTCATCTCTGTGGCAGTGAAGGAAGAAAACAATCAGCTGGCACTCAAAAACAAGGCACCACCACCAAGGACAGGTTATTGGGCATAAACTCCAAGACCAACACAGGAATTCAGAATATAAATAACAATAAGCCCATGGAAAGCAATATTGATATGATCTACTCTTCATTCTAAAAGCACTGTTCTTAAAGAAAACTGTATCAAGCAATGTCATGAAACAATTTTAAACACTTCTCTATATGTTTTGCTGAATTGAAGCTTTGCTTCATTATTGCATCTTAATGATCTTTAAGTCGTTCCATTCTCCTAAATTATCTTTAGAGCAATTTGTTTCCAGTTAGGAATGCATTGTACCCCATTGACCTAACTAGATTTCATGTAAAAGTAACTGGATCATATATTTAAACACAAATCTTACAAAGATGAATTATTCCCTATTTCAAAGAGCTTTCAAACTTTCTCCCATGATGTTCCAGGAAATAGACTCGCAAACTTTTAAAGAAAAGGACAACAATGGGGACAGACACACAAATAAAGGCAATGGGATTTAATTTTATAACATGAATGAGAAGCAACTGGATTCAGAATAAGCTTATTAAGTGGAAAGAGGAATTGAGCTCTTTTTCATTCAACCAGACAAAGCCAACACAGGATAATTTCAAAGCCAATACAGGACAATTTGTGTTCAAAGTGCCCCCAACTGCGGCACTTAGAAAACAATACATCCGTTGTAACATACATACTGTTTTTGCGAACTCAACTAAATTTGTCATATCTGAAGGGTGTGTTCTTTGTATAACATTTCCTAAGGGTGAGTTCTTTGGATAACGTTTTCTTCTCTCTGAAGGACTATTCATCGCCAGGGACATACCTTTCACTGTGAATCGCATTACACACAGAAAGCATCCACCAGACTAAACTACATTATTTCAGAGTGCTTACAAGTTTCACAACTTTTTAAATCTTTTAATTAACATTTTACTTAATTTCTGACTATATGCAGGAAAGTATGTGTAAATAACACTAAACAGAGGATGTCATGGGTCTTGACTAAGTGAAGCAACCAGTTTATTCCAAAATAAATCCAATAAAAGCATAATGGTGTACAAAAAGATTGATTGTTTTCATTAGCCTAGCTGCTCTGTCAATATCAATATTGCTTTGTTTTGAATAAAATGAGCTGTTTTCATGGATTTTTGTTCCAGTAAAATGAGATTTTAGTGGAAATATTAAAGGTGGCCAAGAAACCATGCTGTGTATTTCTGTGCGCATGGATTTATTTTCTTAACACTTATTACTTGCACTGTGAATCAGGATATTGAAGGTGCGGTTAGAATGCAGCTGAGCTTTGCCTCAGAGTTTTAAGGGCAAATGTCACCTAGCAATTTGTCCAATCTGCTTAAGTAATTCCCAGATTATTTCTCCTAAGAGCCCATAGTTTCAAAACTTGGTAGCTGAATTTAATTCACTGTTATTCATCTTCAGGGTTATTATGCTATTTTCAAGATATGCAAAAATGATGAACTTTTGTCACTGTGCATTCACTTCAAAAGGATGCAAATTCCTTAAAATGAAGAACAAAATAGCAATAATTATGTGTGCAGAAATACTTGAAAAATTTAACGTTGTTAACATCTAAAGGGAGAACAAGTAATTTAGCCTAAATTTAAAACAGGGATAAGCGTCTTTTTACAAATCCTTATTGATATTGATTTCACAACAATGACTATGACAGCAGCTCATTATACAAGAGACCTGGATGAAAACAAAAGGGAAAAATCCAGCTGTGGAAGCAATAGTATTACTTAGTAGAAGTATAAATAATTTACATAATGAATTGTGTGAGGATTATTTTTGTCTGTATTCAGAAGAAACCTGCCAGGATGATGAGACAGAACATAAAAAAGCTCTTATTCTCTTCTAAAAAATTCTTTCCTTTCCCTTACCCACTTTTGTCAGATCTAGACGATCTCTGTATCTGACATTACAAATGGGAAAGATTTGTCATGACACTTTGGAATCTTAAAATTTCAGTCAAGGATGACATGTCTCTGAGAGGAAACTTCTTTCTTTTCAAGGTAGAAAATACACTGTGAATACCCAGGGCCACATATCTGAAGTGGATGGGAACCTGTCTCAATTTACAGTGTTTGAAACATGTGCAAGGCTATCTTTCATCACTGAACAGACAACATATTAATGAAAGGAAAATCTATCTTGTATGTTGTCAAAAACCATGGAGTCTGATGGAAACTGGCTTAGTTCCAGTCATAGGCATGAACATGAGCAATGTCCTCTAAATACAATTTACTGACTCAAAGACTGCTCACTGACTCAAAACTCTTGGTCAGTTTAAAAGTTTTAAGCAAGTTTCTGGACCCATGAAATTCAAATTATTTTTTCCTCATGGCTAGCAATGACAGGAATATACATCCACAAATCTATTCTCCTCAGCTTTGAATTGTCATTCCATTCCATAAGAAATGGCTGAAGTACAAAATCACCTGTTTTACTGTCTGCTACTGGATTTTCTACACTGACAGGTTCAACATTGCTTCAGCCCATCATTTCTAGGGTCTGACAAAGGTCATTGAGAAGTTGCAAAATTGGCAGGAAATTGATATTATTTCTGAGGGTCGGAATTGAAAGTACATTAATTTTATTGAGTCCCATTAAAGTTTCTGTAAAAGCAGTGCTTTCTCATTGCTAATTCTGTGAAAGCAAAAGAATCACACATGACTTGAACTGATTCTAAGATTTTTCCAGATTACTCTTGGAGACTTGGACCTAAAATATCTATCATGGCACTAAAACAAGCACAAAGAGATGAGTTATTGTCCCTTCTTCTCCACATTTGCTCCCAAAAAGGGTACTTTTTGATTCAGTCTTAAATTCAGAGCAAGAAGCCCCTTAAAGAATTTTTTATCAAAGTCTGTAGTACATCCACAAAGCCATTATTTCATCTCATCTAGCTGTTTAGTACTGTAGCACTAGAAAAGGAAATAGTAACCTGTTTGGGACAGAACATATCTACCCAAAGAGTAATTCCTTCAGTTATTTTCCTTCTAGCACATAGCTCCCCTTCGCTAGCCACTGAGGTTAAACCTTTTGCATCAGGTCTTACCTGACTCCTGTGTTCCAAGTAGAATCTCCTGGCACAAGGATTCATGTAGTGATGTATGTTATGATCAAAGCTAATAAAGTCCAGCCTTTTAGGTCTCTACCTGGCAGCCTCAGTGAGCTCCCCAAGCTCTGAAATATTCCGTTCATTCTCTCTCTCATTCAATGATTTTTCAATAGAAATAGCCTGGAAAATTCTATTTTTCCTTTAACTTTTTTTGCAGGTTATTTTATGAGAATTTCTCAAGACATTTGTTAACTCCTAGGTAGGGTTTGACTCAGGACTTTGCATAATAGTGGTCCAATTTTACCTGAGGCAATCATATGCCCAACAGAAATACTAAAACTCTACCAGTAATAATTCCTTATTGACTAAGAAAAAAGGAATGAGAGAAAAAAAGAAAATATGAGCATACTTAAATACGCAACTGCAATTTATGCTCTAGTCCTTCATACTTTTAAGAACACTGCCATCTACTGAGGGTCTCAGAGACTCTCCTTCTTACAGAGCTCAAGTCCTGGAGCCAATTCCAATTTCTTGATGACCCTCTCATCCAATTAACCCTTCTACTTGTTTTTCAGATATTAATTACTGTAATTAACAAAATTTCACTAGCTGGTGGCTTGATTCCAATAAACAAGAGCTGGAATGTGCCAGCAGTTATTTGTTCCTTTCAGAGCTCTGGATGAACAACCTGGGTTTATTTCAGTCCCTTCGTATGAACTTTGACTGCATTCAAGTATGTTAGACCAAACAGCCAATACAATCCAGGCAGTATATTTATTCAGAGTGGGTGTGTATACATATCTGGATGGTTTGACAAAGAAAAACACATTCTAAGCTGCATTAAATGTTTATGGACCATTAGTCTGAAGGGTCAGACTGTTCTGGTTACTTGGTCTGTTGGCTATACTTAAAACAGTTTTCAAGGCACTTCTACATTATGCCTTTGCAATAAGTATTCTGGGACCAAAATCCATACACTGCATCAGGCAGGCACAGAAATGCTTTAGCAAACTGACAGCCAATAGTTTTTGTTGTTCTTACATCTACTGACGCAGTGAAATTTGTGCTGTTCCTCCTGACAGTGTTTTAGGTAAATTGCCACATTTGCAAAGACTAAGCAATTTCTGGAAATGAAGCTACAGAGAAATAGAAGACACTGTTTAGATGGCATTTTGATATGTTCAGACTCACCTGAGCATATCCTTCTTTGTACAGCCTTGGCAACAACCTCACCATGACACAGACAGCACCTGGATGTACAATGGTGCAGTCTCTCATTTCCAACCTGCAGTAAAGGGACACATCATAATAATCATTAGAACAGCAAAGAGGTTCTAACCATGTTCCAGCAGAGCACAGCATTAAATCCTCCCAGCAGCAACCAGGCTCAGCATTGGAAGCTAAGCAAACAACACAAATGACCCAGAGCAGCTGAATGCCTCCTGAGAGTAACAAAGACAGGACATCACCTGCTCATGAGCTGACATTTCAAGGACCTGCACATTCAAAGATGTGAGGCAGCCTCTTTAAGCAAATTTTGCCTTTGAAGGTATTTGCAGAACAGAAAACTGGCAACCAGAGGAATCTCTGATGCATCAATCCACAACCAATGTTATCCTTTTATTTTCTAGAAGTTTATAATTGGGTTATACAGTAACCTTAGTACTTTAAAATAAAATGGAAATAAGCAAAGGTGAGACAGTCTTGATGAAATAAGTATGCCCTCCTCCCCTTCCAACACTAGAATTTGCCTAAAGTAGTAAAGTAGACTTGAATATCTGCTTTCCCACCAGTTTTCATTTTTGCCACTTAGGACCTTTGTATGTTCAGGCACAGGAAGGAACTGAGGAATCAGAAACATCACAGAGAAGATCTGCTAATGCCATGATGCAGGCTAGAGGCCAGATATAGCTCAAAGATGAACCCACAGCACAGCAAAAACTCTAGCTTAGGTACTACAGGCTCATCCTGTTTAGAGTATCATCAGCATTGCTGGGTGCACCTCTGAACTCGAGCTGCGATGTGCACTGTCAGAAACATCTGTCCCAAGCAGATCTCACAAATAAAGCAAAGGCAACATCTAATGGCTGTAATTAGACTGACAAAATAAAGCACAATATACTTTATGAACTGGATAAAACACAAGGTACAAGGATAAGAGTAAGCATTAAAAAAAAAAAAAAGTTTTACAAGGGACATAAAGGAGGGTAAAAAGGCTGCAATTAAACATGTTTGTCAGCCACTCCCAAATAGCCTCATCTGATTCAGCAGAACAGGGAGTAGTGTGTAGCACACTGCCACACAGTGACAAATAATTTTTACTGCACTCTCAAGAAGGATAATTTCAAATTAATTGTTCTTTTGCAATATTTTCTGTGCAACAAATCAAAATCAGGTCTGGTATAAAGAGTTGCTGCAGCAGTAGTTTCAGTGTGGATACATATGCCTGTACTTGACATGAATGTGGGCAAGTTTTGAAATGTCACAGAAAAAAGTACAGTGAAAAAACACTCTCCTCCCATCTCCCTGAGAAAACCCACACCATTTTAGAAGAGAATAATCCCAGCTCGCTAAAATCAGGACGAAATAAAATAGGGACGAAATCATGGCTGGAAAGCTGCCTGGCTGGAAACAAGCTTGGCGTGCTGGCCTATGCCCAGGTGAGCCAGGCTATGCCCAGGTGGCCAACAAGGCCAATGGCATCCTGGCCTTCATCAACAACAGTGTGGCCAGCAGGAGCAGGGGAGTGATTCTGCCCCTGTACCTGGCACAGGTGAGGCTGCACCTCAAGTGCTGTGTCCAGTTCTGGGCCTCTCACTACAAGGACCTCGGGGTGCTGGAGTGTGTGCAGAGAAGAGCAACAAGACTTAAGAAGGGTTTTTAAGAATAATATTCTGAATAATAAGAATTCTCTGTGCTCCTCATGTTATGGCCTATCTTAGTACAAAAGCTGTGTTCCTGTACTCCTCACCTCTGCAAACAGCCCCTGTCTCTCACTCCTACCCCAGGGCTATCCAATCAGCCCTGGGATTCCACTCCATCTATCTCACCAGCCTCATGGTGTGAATTGCAAATCTGCTCTGCACTGGTGCTACTTAAATAAGATAAATAAGAGGTTTTGGGTACAAAATGAGATGTCACAAAGAACCTGAAGAGCCATTAGCACAGTGAGCTCTCTGTGGTAACAGCAGCTGCAGCAGCCATGCTGCTTGGGTGGGCACAAAGAAGGGCTTCCCTCCCAGAGAGATCAGCCTCAGTTAACACAGCTTGGATCAGGCTATGTCCAATCACCAGGAACAAAAGGAAAACCAGAAACCCCATCTGCCACAAAAGGTGTTTCAAACATCACTGCGGGAGCAGGAACACAGAGGGCTGGTTTTGAGATGGGAAGGACAGAGCCAATTTCCAGAAGTTTGCAGCATCACTGACCACAGGACAGTGGAAGGGGCTGGAATATTATCCAGCATTAAAATACTAACTTTGCTATGTATTAGCAACAGGCTCCTGCAGGATCACCTCCCTTCCCTGCCTCCTTGGGAACACTTAATATGTGTTGCAAGATGGGGCATCACAGGCCACCTACACTGATTGCATTCAAGTTCCTCCTTTCAAGCTGCTGCCTGAAACCTTTCAGGAGGAAGTGTGAGTGTGGATTAGAGCTAAGAGGAAGCTGCACTAGGGGAACAACAGGCTTGCAGAAACTATGGGATTTCTTATTTTTATTTTCATAAAATTTACTGGTGGAAAAGGATACAGGCTGTATAGCTTGAAGATTGTCAGCTTTCCAGTACATGTTCCTCTTTTGTGTTTGCATACACTTTTCATGGACAGTCTCCAACCTCCCCTAGCTGATCTGGCTTCCTTTTGTGCCTTCACATCCCAGAACAAACAATCCCAAATCAGACAGACACTGTGAACTGAAAGGGTCCCAGTTTTCAGGATTAATATCTCCACAGTGGTCTTCAGTTACTGCACAGCATCACATCTCAGCAGACAAAAGAACATGAGATAGGAAGCCTTGCTCATTTCTTCATTTCAGTCCTAGTAACTTCAGAAAGACAGACAGAGCCACATCCCTCCCAGCATTGCCCCAACCTACTTTTTCTCCCTTAACATCCATACAAGAGAGAGGGTACTTCTCACAACTACCACCCTCTATGCACATGGACCCATGTTCTTCCAAATCAGGCTAGGAAGATCTGCTTGGCAAAGAGCATTTATTCCTCCTGAGCTACCAAGTCCTCTCCCCAGCACTGAGTACTAATCAGAAACTTCCAGTGTAATTTAAAGAGTAAACATGGAACAAACATCTCCATGACTACTTTAAAATCTGCTGCACAGGGAACAAAGAAACCCACCACACGTTCTTTTACTTGCGTCAAACAAGTATAAATATAACCAGAAATGCTTATTCAGCCTGCTTCAGTACTCAGGGAAAAGAGTTCTGCTGACTTCAGTGACTGATGCTGTGAGTGGCAGACATCATGTCTTGGTCTGTAAATTGGAAGATGACTTTGCAATAATCTACAGTAAGGGTTGAAGAAATCTCACACTTATCAACTTAATCTTTTTAAGCATAACTCCAACCAGAAACAAATTTGATAAAAGAACTTATATTCAAGATAAAGCTAGAGAAAAATGAATAGACAGAAAAATCTCATGAGTTACAAAATGCAGGTGCTTCAAAACAGATTCACAGCTGACAGCTATGCTGATTTCTGGTATAGTCTTCCCTTCCTACCAAGGATATATGTTTTGACATAAACCTTTATTCAATGAAGTAGGCAGCATGACTGTTCCTTTCCCAATTTTCTCTATTTCAACATGAATAAATGAGAGTGTGTCTGCACACGTGCTTGGACACACATGCATGAGGGAGCATTTAAAATACCTTAGTGTAACTTCTGTTTGCATTGTATCAAGTGACTGGAAGCAGCTTTCCACATAATTGAAAAAGTCAAAATTGATCAGAGCAGGTTCAAGCAGTGACTAAGCACAAGATTTAAGTCCCACCAACCTTCTTCTAAGACTCCATTCCTGCTCCCAGTTTGCAGGTGTCAATCTTCAACATAAACTCTGCAGCTCTTGGGGCTGTGTGTCCCACTGCTGCACTAAATCCTTATACCCATTTATTTTCATCATTTACCTTTCCAAAACCTTTCCAGATTTCTGCTGCCTGGAGGCCTGGGAGTTGGGATTGAACTGATTTGTTTACCCTTGGCAGGTTATACCATACCTTCCCTCAGTTTACTACCATACAAAATGCACATATAAGCCTTAGTACTCTGTTTCCTGTAGTAAATAAAGGCTTACTTCTCTTCAGGATTCCCCCATAGCATATAGGCAGAGGCAGGTAATTTGTTGACTGGTCTTTTGAAAGCAACAGGATGCTCTTCTTGAGCTTGGGGTGCCTCCTGATCATCTCTTGCTTCTCCCATCTCTGGCTTCCTCTCCTTAAAGTAGCTTTCTTGATGGAGGGTTCCTTTGACCATATGATCAAGAAAATTCAGAATCCAAATGCAGTTTTTTAGCCATTCTGGGAGAGGTTGTGAAGAACAGAGTGCTGCATCCAAGAATTCTGCAAAAGTCCTTGTCTTCTCAAGGCTCACAGGAATTGGCTTTTCCCCTTCTGTCCAGAAGCATCCAAGTGATCCCAGATCCTCTGCCATCTTTTCAAAGAGGCCATTCCTCTGGAAGAAGGTGCTGTTGACAGGGTCTAGGTGCAGGGCTGCAGTTATCCCCTGAAGAGCATGGAAAATCAGCTCCAAGATGCAATTCTGCCCAACTGCTGCCCACTGCCCAGGTGGAGGGTCCTGCAGTGCACCCTCCATGTCTGACAGGAGGGACAGGAGCCCGTTGAATCCACTGCAGGTTCTGAAAGCTGAATGGCTCTTGGGACTCTCCAGTATCCTCAAGAGTGACTACAAATGTTGGGAAGAAAGAAAAAAAGAGAAGCACTTAAATCAAGGCGAAAAGAAGCTTTAGAATGCTGTAAAATTACAAGTTTGCACCAAAATTCTTTGACCAAAATTTCACTCTTTGACGGGGAAGGTGGTCTAAATAAAGGTCATCACTGCACAACTTCTCCCTTTCCCCATATACCCAGTGAATCATACAACCAGCTCTTGAATGCACCCTTAAGAGCCACTAAAGCAGTCAGGTACAGAACAGTGCTCACAGGAGGAAGCAAAGAAATCAAATTTCCTGCTTTACAAATCCTAGTCACTTTGGCCAGCGGTAGTTTCATATCTTTGATGTTCCTTTACCAGTCTTCTCAGACTCTCTCAAGAACCCTGCTTTTACCCTAGATAAATGGAAGTAAAGATTAAATTGTAAATACTCTCACATGAAAACTGGCAGGAAGGGACAGCTCTCTACAGACAAGTCTTCCTGCCTGAATGCAACTGCGAACCCACACTAAACTTTTGCTCATATGACTGAGAATGCCCTTTCCAAAAAAAACCAGTGACACGGGATGGCATAAAGAATATTGCAAGCAGCAGGCTCTCCTCATTAAGAAAGACAAGAATATCTTTTCTCAGCTAAGGTATTTTTAAAGTTTGCACAACACTTCAGAGGAAAAAAGCCATAAAAAGTAAGATCTCAAGACAATGAAGTAATTAGATTTTATCTAACTTCAATAGGATTAAAGCACGTTATAAGTGAATGCCACTTGACAATATAACATATATAAAACCAACTTAAACTATTTTCCAATTTTGAATGTTATGGGCTTGCCATTTTAAAGCAAATCTGGAAAAGTTATTAAGAGCTGTGGAAATAAATTGGTGAGAAAAAGGAGCTTGCAAGGAAACAGTCTATTGCATTTGAATATAATTGATCCCAAGTTTTTGAGGTGTTGCACAATTCATTTTGTACAGGGGCTTTTCAAATTTGATGCTGTACCTTTGCACATTGGAAAGGGTTAATTTCACATATAGATCTCCCCAAGAGATATCCAATGGAAAAGCTTTACTTCACAGCCTCCTGAGGAGAAACAGTTTTTAAAATAAGTATATCTGCCTGTAACAGGAGCTAGGACTGTGAGAAGGGGCTGTGAGAACTGAAGGGGGAGGGGGCACTCCATTACTGTCATTCAATTTTGTATGATAATGTATCAAACCAGGCAGAGACTTCTGAACAGGGAGTAAATTTAATAACTTAGAGTTGAAGTTATCATGGTGGCTTTAACACATTCCAGAGTAGGTCAACAGTAAACACATTTCCCACAGCTTTAACTAAGTTAGAATTTAATCACCTATGAGTTAGTATTCCTCTGTCTTGAATCTATAAAACTGATGTCTGCTGGAAACCCCCTAACTCAGTTACTGCTAACAGAATTTATTTTGCACATTCCATTATTTGTTATTCCTCATAATTGTCCACGTGCCACACTGGAATACGGCAGTGCTAATTGCATTTGGGCTCAGGCTTTAACAGCTAAATATACATTAGCAAATCAATCTGAATTTGTGTGTAACACAATCACAGTCCCAATGGATAAAGAAAATAAATTTATTTGCTTACATTATACTTTAATACAGTTATCATTTGTCAAAATTAGACACTGAAGTTGCATTTATTTTCATATTAGTTTGGACATCATACTCAACTTTTCCACAGGCATTGTTAAAGTTTACTATTTCAAATCAAAGCTATAAACTTCATACTTTTATTTTTTTAATGGTTCTTTTCATTTTTTAATGGTTTTAATTTTTTTTACATGGTTCTTTTGTTATAGAAGCAGTTGTTATATTGTACAGAAAAATTAATTCCATTGACACTTGACAGAGAAGGTAGAAAGAAATTTTAAAATCAATGCTTACAACAACAGTGCTGCTTTTCAACTGGATGCCTGTGACCTAAACCAAAATAAAGCACTGTGATTCTTTGCTTCATTGCTTAGGGATCAGACACTCTGGGGTCAATAGAGGCTATGACTAGTCCTAGTTTCTTTCCCCGAAACATTCATAAAATTCTTCCTTTCCATTGCCTCATCTCTTTCTACATGTGTTTACTCTCGTGTTTGTGAGAAATGACACAATTAGGGACATCAGAGTTTCAATCTTGGAAACTTATCAGAATTAAGCTGTTCATCTCATGCCTATCCTGGCTCTTCCTATCTTGCTGCTTCATATCTTGTATCCTCTCTCTACAAATCCACTTTCATTCACATTTGTTTCTCCTTTCTCTATCACAATATATAGAACTGCTCATACAATTGTGCCTTTAGCATTTCCATTTTTCCCTCTTGCATTACCATTGAAGTCTTCAAAATACTTTGTAATCTGATACTGAGTGAAGGTATTGACCACACAGGCATTGCTAAAAATCAAAGTGCCCAAGTTACCATAATCTAGAGCTGGATTACAGCTCTTTCTTCTGCTCTTACATCTTGAAAACAGATAGTTCCCAAAAAACAATGCCCAAGTGAAAGTCACATTATTACCTTCAGAAGATCTAGTTTCAGGTGCAGTTCCCATTGAGTGGAAGAACAGAGGGCTCCAATAATAATGCTCATATATTCTTCATAATTGATGACTGATAACTGCTCCAAGATGCTGAGGGTAGCACTCCTGTAGCACTCATCATCCAAAAATATCTTGATATATGGCACCATTCCATAGTCCTTCAGAACAACTGGGGATAGACACATTGTCATTTTTCAGTTAAAGTACCCTTTGCTTGTAATTTTTACAGGCAGATTTTCACTGTTGGTGTGAAATGCCACATTTCTACAAATACAGCAGGACAGGTAAGAAGAGCAGCTGGTTAAGGTAAACATGACACAAACTGAATGGCCTAAGAACAACTAGGGATAAAATAACTGATGACCATGTTTCCAATCATCAGAGATGACAGGTTCCCAACACAATAATGAATAAAAAGGAAAAGACACATTAGTTTCAGCTTAAGCATCTCTTTCATTTATGAAGGGAAATTTTGATGATTTCCAAAAATATATTCACACCATGCAAAACGCTGCAAACATGATGATTCTAGGATTCCATAGTGAATTGAGTGGATTCCTGTATTCAGTAGCATTCACTCCTGTGCTACTGTGTTCCACAAGATTCCCTACAAACAGGTATAAATTCTTAGGTATAACACAAATATAGGAGTGTTCCTCAGCATGCACCTGATCCAATCAAGATTTCAAATAACAAATATAATGGCAGAAAATCTGGATGAACAAACAATACAGAAGAGTCAAGTACACACACTTTTTTTCACAAGCTAAGTTAGTGCATCCTATATAAACCCTTCAGGAGTATGCACATGGATGAAGGAAACAAGCTGACTACTGGGGGAAAGCTTATAATTCAGGATGAGAATACCTTTGTCACATTTCCTTCTAGTGTAACACTGTTATCCCTACACTTCTTGCTTTTTTCTTCCATTTTTGACTGAAGCACAAAAGTCAGAAAATTTGTTGGTGCTCCTTAAGACCATGGCCACTTATCACCAAATATCATGAGGATAACACAGTCATGTGTATTTCCTTACCCGTGTTCCTCACAGACCTTGCTGTAAGAGCAGCCACCATTTTCAGCATCACAACATTTAATTCCTTCTCAGTGCCTTCTTTTGGGTTAGGCAGAGGAGTTCCAGCTGTCAGCATATTAAAAGTTATGTTACAATATACAAGAAAGGGAAGGAAATATTTTTCTTGCTCCAGTCTCAAGCTTGCATTCTAGAGAACCCCAAATTAAGACTTGTTTAAAAATGTGGGCTGAAGGGTACCACCCAGAAAAATTCAACGTTCACTAGCAAAGAAAATCCCAGAGCTGTTTAGGCTAGTGAACAGAAAAATAAACAGCAAAGATTTCAGAGAGGACCCAGCTTGTGTGCCAAATTTAGGCCAACTGGTCTGAAGACAAAATCTAGCTACTCTGTATTAAAAAACCCACATAAATTTACTGTAGAAAAAGATTATTTATTCCTGTTGATCTGCCTTCTTCAATGGTTGTTGTGAGTGGCTTTAAGCTGTACCTGATTTCCTCAAGATCTTGGCTTCCTTCCTCAAGAGTGCCAGCAGTAGGCCTAAGAGCCCAGAGTCACGGAAAATGTCACTAAATAACAGGTCCTTCTGGGTCATGCTGAGAAGGCACTGGAGAGCTGTTAAGGTGCAGAATGGCACTATGTTTTCCTTTATCAAATACTGAACCTTCTTCAAAATCTCATGGGGAACATAGGACAGGCCCAGGACTATGGACTCCACCAGTCTGAAGAACTGGACTTGGACTGCTGGTGGTTTGAAGTGAATGATGTCAGTGAATTGGTTGATAGGTTGCAGTGTCCATTCCAGAAGAAAGAAGTTCACTCTGTCCCAAGCCCATATGGTACCAATTGCTGCCAAGATTCTTGCACACAGGTGCTGATCATTACTTCTCTGGAAAATGGATTGCAGCACCTGGAAAGGCTGGAGGTTTTTCACTGTCATTCCTGTGTGGAAAAAACCCAGGAGAGATCATTTTTACATGACACTCATGTAAAAATTATCTCTCTGCAAGTATCCTAATTGTAATGTTAGATCATCTGAAAGTGGAAATGAGAGCAACAGACATGAGAGATGTGATGGGGAGGTATATTCTTGAGCTTGGATGAAATGCTAGAGCTAACATGGTCAGTTCAGTTTGATGTAGGTGGCATTCAGGCTCCAGCAGCACTGACACATAGATCTGAAGATGTCACATCATACTCCTTTCTTCCATATTAAGACACAAAATTAATAGAGTTTTATTTTCCTATGACCCCTCTACTCAGTGACATGTGCATATATAAATATATTTACACACACATACACTCACATATACACCACCGTACCAGAAGACTGTGTCCGTTCAAAATCAAAGTGTGGCAACTGTGGGTGCACAATATTGCCAGAAACTTTCAGTTCAGTTTTTCCACAGGTTGTAAGGCAAGTCAGCATGTCCAAGATCTCATCCAGATAAGGGTCTCCTTCATTTTGCTGCAAACCCTCACATCTAGGAATAAAACTCAGGACAGTCATATATCCATGCCATAATTATTAAACACTTTGGGTACAGCATCAGGCATGGAGCACATAGGAGTTACACAGAATAACCCACACCATGGTGGCACACTGAATCAGAACAAAACCTCCAGACTGAAGGAAACTGAAGTGACACTGAAAGAGTCTCACTAACAAATGGAAGATAAATATTTTAACTTAGTCCCGTTATATGTCCTTTAAAAAAAAGCTAACTCAAAACAAGTCTGATTTGGAGGATAAACATTTAAACTTTGTGAGAATTCAAATAATTAAAACACACAATATAAAAAGGTGGACATATGGTTGGCAAGATAAGGGACTTGCTAACTGAGATAAATAACAGAAAAATCTCATCCCCGAGGAACAGAAAAACATTCTATTGCCTGAGTTTTGTGAATCAGACATGAAGACAGCAGGTCTCTCCTAAATAAGGAAATAGTTTGAAATGTAATCCCCGATTTGCCATGGTTCATAGACTGAAGTGACAGTCTGTCAAAGGACAGAGAACAGTTTAGCACATCATCTTATTCTGCAATTCTAAAATGGGTCAATTCTTCAGGAGAACTGCATCATCCAGGCACAGGTTAGTGGCAGAGAAATAGACTGATAAAGTTAGGTTAGAAAAATCTCTGAAGAAAACAACAAAATATTCTGGTTTCACCTAAACATGAAAAAAAACCAAAAGAGCAAATGCTCTTTTTCAAAGAATGCTATTAGCAAGACTCTTTTTACCTGAAGAAAAAGTTCCAACCATCAGAGAAGACGGTACCTGCTCACATGAAACATTCCGGAAAGAACTCTCAATTATGCCAGCATATGCTGGGAATGAAGACTAATCTGAAGCCCTGAGCATCTGCTATTTCTGTCTCTTCAGCCTAGTTACATCAGTTGAAAGGGACGGGGATAGTCATAGTCCTTATGGAAAAGGATTCCGTGTTTTCTGCCCTAACATGGCTAGAATTTAATCAGAAATATTCATCTCAATGCAGTTTATTTACAAGGGAAATCTAGACAGTGTCTGGTAACTAAAGAAAACACTGCCAGAAAAACACAATTTTTTTTTCCAACCATAAATTAATAATTTTTTGCCATTCAAAAACCGTGAATTGACATAGTCATTCACAGATATCTTTGACTTCATGATTCAATTTACAATCCTCTAGATCCAAATTACAAAATACCCTCCCCACTCCAGTCATTGTTCAGGGATAAAAGTTTTCCACAAGTGTTGGATGAATACTACAAAAATAGGCAAATCCAGAATGGAAACAAAAGCATCTGGAAATGCTCTCTTTTGACGATGGTAAACAAACTCAGCCTGGTGCAACAACACAAGGTGACAAAAGAGAACAACAGATTCTGCTTTTTAATTTGGATTAGGATAACTAGTGGGGATTTTTTCTGATGTGTTGATGCTCACCTGTGTTCTGAGGAATGTAAACATCTCAGATTTAAGTTTGGGTAGGTTTTGTTCACTTGTTTTTGCACAGAAAGGAGATAGGTGTTTCCTTCTCTAGCTGACTGCATTCCTGGATTAAAATCTCACCTTAACTGAGACAAATGTCTCTGACCTACATCCTCTGTAAACTAATTGATGAAGAACCTTTGTCTTGTGTTCAAAAAGTCCCCATCACACCTGCAAACTAACTTCCCCTATACTGTTCTCCTTCTGTTATGGCTAAAGTAGTAAAAGTTATGCACTGCTTCCCTTCCTAATATAGCAATGCTTTGCATCCACACAGAGTTACCTATGTGATTGATATTTTAAGAGACCACTATGCATTCTGAAAATTAAGCTTTACCATGCTCTAGAAGCCTACCAAAAGCCTCTCTTACCCGAGTAAAATTTTTAGCAGGAGCTGGTAGCCATCATTATTTTCAAATTCTGTCAATAAAGCTGATGATACAGGATAAGAATCTTTCACAAAACACAACACAATGCTGGCAGCTTCACACACATCACAAGCAGGTAGAGTATCAGCCAGTGTAAAGAGATTCTGAACAGCTATTTTAATGCAGTCAACAGCTGTGAAAAAAAATACAGTAGGTATTTAAGAACTGAAAGTCAAACAAATTTAAAGTTACTAACAAAAATAAAACAAATTTGAAGTTATTTCCCTATAAAATAGGAGTCAGATAACTGTTTTTCTAAACAGAAAAGAGGACATATGAATATCATACTAATTTCAGAAGCATTGTTGGCTTTAAAATAGTAATGCATTTCTTTGCTTTACTACCAGAAATTGATTTCATCTCAGGAGTATAAGCTTTCAACCCCCCAACTCACCCAAATTCATATATACTGAATCCAGCTGCCTGAGCACAAGGTAAGCAGAGACTAACAGATTTAATTGTCTCATACTAAATCAATCACACATCCTGTGCAGAGTTCACAGATTCATTCTTTGCTCAATGAAGCATATACAATGGGGTACACACATTTTGCTTTGAGAAATGAAGCCTAGCTTTCTTGTCTAATCTCATGGCCAGTCCTTCCAGGGCAGCTTCAAAATGCCCAAATAGATCTTTCCATCTCACTCAGGAAGCCAAGTCTTTTGATTTAAAATATAAAAATATCTGTATGCATTTACTCCATGACATGGAATACTGATGGTAATTTGTGCATCATAAAGCTACTTTTTCACTTCTAAGAAATTGAGCTTTGTGACCTTTGTACTTCTTAATAAGAAAAAATAATTGCTTGAACTAATAAAGCCTAGAAAGAAGAGAGGGCTTTACCAACCATGCTGTTGTCTATCAAGACACCATTACTCTGACCCCATCTTGTATTTAGTGTTCACGAGGCTCAGACCCATAGACTGAGTCACACAACTTAAAAAAAAAACATACTACATCTTCCTCTTGCCTATGTCAGTGTGATTAAGTGGGATTGGCTCTTGCCTGTAATTTGGAGGGTTTTTTTATGTTACAATCCTTCAGTTTCCAGATGACTATCAGTACTAAATAAAGCTCCTCTCTACTAAGTCACAAGCCCATGCTTTGCAGCTGACTACTGGATGATGTAAGGGAGATTACAGATGAGGTAATCTGTCCTGGGGAGACTCTTTTTGGTAATTCATTGTCAGGGGAGCAATGGGGAAAGAAGAAGCCAAACCTTGCAGATATACAATGCTGTTTTTGGTCTGAGCCTTTGAAATTGTTCTTAGCACACAGCCTGTAGGTACTTTCCAAGAGTGGCTGCACAGGTCCCACAGAGAAGAAGTTGCTATAATTAATGACTGAAGCTTATCAGCTGCCAGCAGTTCCTCTATGCCTTGTTCCTCTTTGTACATGTTAAGCATTATCTGAAAAGCAAACAAATATCAGCTACAATAAACACTCTAGAGATACCCAGGAGATGAAGAAAAATCCATTGGGGAAGGAGATGATAACTTTGATACTAATGCCAGGAGAAAGGATGCAGTGAAATGAAGAAGTAAAACTACCACCAGGACATTCTTAATGGATTTTCCCAGTTAAAGTAAGTTTTTTGTTTAGTAAAAAAAGATGAGACAGTTTTTATATGGCTCCTGATGCTTATTCAACATTTTGCAGTCCAAGTTTACAGATTTTTTTGCCAGCTTGAATCAAATTAACAACTAGGAGCCTAAGTGAACATCTGAGTACCCAGGGCAAATAAACCCCCAAATGCACATCTTACCTTAACAAGCATTTCCTGAGTTTGGGCATCATCCTCACTTGTCTCCCTGTCATTGCTGGTTTTCTTCAGAGGGACAGTAAAGAACAGGTACAGGCACTGCATCAGAGCAGCTGGGAGTCCAGATCCAATAATGTTCCACAGAGTCCTCTAAGAAGAAAAATACAATCAGCTCCTCCAGCAGCTGACCACAGTTTTCTTGTGTTCCTCCACACTGAGAATAGCCATGGCAGGTGAAAGATCCACTGGGGCGTTTTACCCTCATGGGTGCTCTAGGGCACACAAGGCTGGCAGTCACACAGCATGGCTGTGAAGTCCATTGGCAGAATTAAATACGCTTTGTGTATTTATACAGCTGCTCCCAGGACTTCCTGCTCCAGCTGAACTCCAGCTTTGGCAGTGCTCTGTCCTGCATATGGAGACCTGCAGTCAGTGAAGTACACAACCTGCAAACTAACTGGCAGCTGGGCCAACAGCAAGGCCAGGGACAGACAGAGCCCCCTTTACCATTACTTTCCAGGACACTCTGCAGCTAGAGAGGCCTGGAATGCTGCAAACATGAATTCTCCACTCCCTCCTGATTCAGAATAGCAGCAATTTACCTATAATGCCGTCATTTTTTCAACATATTGAATAATTGCACACACCTCTAATTACAGGTTTTATAAATGCAAATGGCAGTTTCTTCACAGTGTTTCTCAGTATTTAGTTTCCTCTCATCTTCACTATGGCTGCACAGAACTTCCAGAGAAGTCCCAGTGTGTGTGCTTGGCACACAGCAGTCATAACAAAAATCAGCACCAAACTAACAGAAGAATGAGGTTTGTGATATGAAGTTTTGTGAGTATGTGTGCTACAAAAAATGGCAACATCTTAAATCTGTGAAAAACACATCAGAAACGTCATGTTGTGACTAGCTATATATATATATAATTTTATAGATCTCCTTATGATACAGAACATATCCACTATAATCTGACAGTAAGATTTCATTTTTGTGTATCTTTGAACAAGAAAGACTAACACAAACTGTTTAACTAAATGTCATGGATAAGCACACCACAGATGCCACCAGCAGGCTGTACTTCTGATGCCAGTCTGCATTTGGGAGGGCTCTACAAGTAGAGTTTGTGAAACACTTCAAAGTGAGAGACTATCAGGATTGAAAAGTAAAGTCAACCATTCTATTACCAGACAGATTCTTACTATTCATCTTTTCTTATATATAAACTAGACTAAAGAATGTGGTAAAGAATACACAAAATGTGGTAAAGAATACACAAAAAGATACAATGGGGAGGGGAAGCAGTGAAATACTAGAAAAACCAGCCATCTGACAACCAAAATTAAAAGGGTATGAGAAAGCACAAAATAGTTACTTCTATCTTTTAGAAAAGACTGGCCTACAAACCTGGTGGTGTGTCCTTTAACTGTATACCTTGGGCATGCTCAAACTCAAAATATTAGGGATAATGCAAATACTGAGACTTGGGTGTTCTACTGCACCTACAGAGCTTCTCTGAAATAAAATGGAAAACATGCTTTGTGGTATTTTCTCTTACCAAGTCAGTCTGTGAGAGCAGATACACTGATTTCAGGAGCAAATGGCCATCTCCTGCTTCCCCTTTCTGCTTCAGCAATTGCTCCAAAGCCAGACGAGCTTCTTCTGTTATCACAAAAAAATTAAACTTTAATTCCTTAGTGAAAGATGAAAATGCTGCATTTATGCTTTATCCATGCATTATGCATTTATCTATCACAGATCTGACAAATTTAACAAAATTACAGTAGCAGGAGTCCACTAAAGTAAACAGAAAAACTAAATTATTTTGATTCAGCATCAAGCTCAGTTCATGCAAACTACATATTTCCAACTGACAAATTTCACCAAGAATACCAGCTCAGTTCATGAAGCCTGGCAGCTGACAGCACAAAGAATGTACAAAAGACACCAAGAAAGCCATATGTGGCTAGCAATGTTTTTCTCATTTTTAAGAAAGCTCCTCAGAATAGTGTGTAACCTACTCTTTCACTCTTACCTGCATTATACATTACACACTTCCAGCTACAAGAGTTCCAAACTAAAGACCAGCACGTCATACAAGGCCAAATACTCAGTGCAACCACCTCAAATCAGTGCTAGCTCACTCCTACTAAAATATCTGGCTTGCTACACAGCATTTTCCTGCTCCCCCTTTATTTCCAGCACAGAGTACAACTGAAAGACACACATTTCTAGAATAACTGGATCCAATGGAAGTTGTATGGGATCATTACCTGCAGGTTTTCCATTGAGGTTCCTCTTAATTTCTTTAGTCAGAAGCTTGGAAACCTCACTGGCTAACAGCTGAATGTTGGGGAATACAATTGCTCCAGCAGATTGTTCCCAGGCCTGAAATCCAAGTGCAACTGTTAAGTCTCTGACACATCATGTCTTTGGTAGGCTGACAAAAATGAATAAACATAAATAAAGGAGCACAAGGCTAACATTCCTCTATAAAATTCAGTAGTCAGTATAATCCATTAAGCAGTATTTCTCAGACAGGCAGGAATATGACACTTTGGATACAGAAGTCAAACTGGAGCTACCTTTTGAATCATGCAATGCAACTACTAGAGAACTTTTACAGTATTTTCTACACTGAATACCATCCAAACACAATGTAAATGTTGGTCATACCCTGTGTCACTAATTATTTGTATCAAAAATTATATGCTAGCCCCTTTCAAAATATGACAAACACCCTGAATAAGCACAAAATTATAGACAAGTGTATAAACAATTTTATAAATGGGTTTATAACTTCCTTGTTTAAGAATGGATAAGCAATTAAGTACAAAACCTACTAGATAAATAACAGGAAGATTTGTTGATTCCCTGAGTCTGACAAACCCTTTTTATGTTTCTTAGCCCTATCTTTGGGTGAAAAAAATCAACATCAATAAAGAAAATATTCCAGTAGAATAATACTACTGCACACAACCAGCCTCCAAGAACCAGGTGCCAATTCTTTTCTGTAAAACCTCTGATAATGCACACATTTATGTATTAGCAAAAGCTCAGCATTCAAAAGACCAGTCTGAGATATTTCTGTCCTCAGCAACCTTGAAAATTTTACTTTACAAAAGTCTCCTCCTTTCAGAAGCTCTGAAATATCACACTATAAGCCCCAATAATTAAAGGAAGAAAAATTACATATGTCTTCCTTAAAAAATTAGATCAGACATCCCATAGTACTTTCTGCCAAGAAGTCAGTGCAACTTTTTGTTAATGAAGGTTCTCCACAAATACTATTCCCTTCCCTACCATGACTTTCAATTTTTTCTTTCATCACAGATGGCAGCTTGTGGACAAAGTGTCAGTCACCTCTCAGTAATCAGGCAAGCATCTACTTTTTACTTCATTTTACTGCAGTCAATAAGTAAAATGCACCCAAATCATCTTTCTGTGCTGCAAGAGTGAAATTCAATTGCATAGTGTGCCTATTATTAATTTTCATAAATCGGTCAATAATAAAAGCAAATTATCTTTTTCAGATTTTGACCCTAAATTACTTTCAGAGACACTCAGTTGCAGAAGCAAAATCCACCAATTTGTCCACTTCTGATGCAGAAGGGAGGGAATATCTGTAAAGAGCAGAAGCAAGCTGCGCAAACAAAATGACAAGAAACCTACAGTAATTTAAAAATATACAATGTTTGTCATTAAGCTATGCCCTTTTTCAGAAGAAAGCAGTGCAAGAGTTCTGCCCCTCTTCTTCAAAGAGGAACATCCTCTTTACACTTCAGAAAGGCCTCACTATAATCACTCTTTTGCTAACAGAATGAGCAGGATAAGTTTTAGAAGCTTGGATCATACACAGCAGAGAGCAGTAACCAAAGTTCATAGCAATTGATGAATGGAACAGTCTGTCTCCCTACAAAACAGGCCACTAATGTTCTGATTTGATCGTGTCAGTGCTCTTCCTGAGGGCTAAAAACCAATCTTCAGAATACACTCTCCTTTGGGAATAGATTTCATTAATTTCATATTCATGTCTGAGCCTACAGAAGATCTATATCTGGGAGCATATCAACCTGACTCCATTGTAGGACGTCTGCCTTTAGGTGAAACTCAAATAATATGGTATCAAAGTAATCTAATTTTCTTTCTTCCTCCTAAATCTGTTTCTACATATTTAAGATTCTGTCACAAGTTCCCTGTGTCTGCTGTTCCCATCTGCCCTTCCTATTCCATGGTTCACGGAGAGACGCTAGCTCGAAACCAGCCGTGTAATAGAACGTTCTGATACTCTCTGAGGCACCAAGAGGGAAGATACAGAAGGCACATTAAAATGACTCCCAGCCCAGGCCTGAATCACGAGCAGATGGCTGACATTTCCCTCCCACACCTTCTCCTTCTACGTCAAGGAGCAGCAGTGAGTAACAAGCCCCCACACCCCAGGTGTCTCCTGTTTGGTGACCCCTCTCTTCACCCAGCTGAGCAAGAGCTAAAGCACTAAAACAAAAAGGCAGAGATGCATTGGCACCTGCATGATCAGAACAGGAAAGTAAAAGCAAGAGAAAAATCTTCCAGGGAGGGAGAGGGCTCACATAGAGCCCATTGTTAAACAGGGTAGTTTCTGTAAGAACTTCACAACGTGTACCACCCAAACTGAGATGCATTTCCCCAAGCCAGCAGAAGGCAGGCATATGAAGGGAGTAAAAGTCATGTGGGGAAGGACATGATGATTAAAAGCTAAAGGGCAAGATCCTCCAGAATGTACTCTTAAATGAATGATGCAAAGCCAAAAGGCTCTAGTCACACTTCTGGACCTAAATGCCTGCAAGGCAGTGCAAAGCTCCACTAGCATATCTAAGAAAAGTGGAGAGGAAGAATCTCACGCCTAGGGCATAAAATCAAGTGTTAAGCTAATGAAAAATTCACTTCTCCATTATGAATATATTCAGTAGCAAAGTTTCCTTTGAGAATTTAGAAGCCCCTTTTTTCAAGCATCACTGAAATTCAGTATTGGGATTTTACAATCCTAAGGCTTGTGTAGTTCAGCCCTACAAGAAGGAAACACCTCATGCATATGCATATGTTCAAAATTGCCAGTCCCTCAGCAATACTCATCTTGCCTCCCAGGAACAACTGTTCTTTGACCCTAAAGTACTGGTACTAACATTTATTTGCTTACTTACCGTCACATGTGAGAATTTTCTGCTATGTGGCCCAATTTTTAATTCCTAAGACTTCAAGATTTTATAACTTTTATCACCCTTGTTCTGCTTTCTCAGGTCTTTGAAAATTTCATTCCAAAAATTATCAGCACATTAAAGACATTCTTTCTATTCATACTTAGTTAAGAATCAGTAAATATAAAGAAGTTGTATATAATTTCATCTCACACAACTTGTTTCTTTCATGCTCACTACATGGTATTCAAAAACTAAAGCTCTAATAGAACTTAGAAACTTTGAGATCTAAGAATTTTAATTGTAATTGTAAATTTGAGGTTGGAAAACCTCAATGGAAGAATTTCATATAAAGCCTGCAATACATTTCCTATGAAGACAGAAGGAAGCAGTTGAGAGAGGTAATCTTCTATAGCAAGGCCTGTTCATTGGTCTGAATAATACCCTAGAAGCATTAAGGATGTGTTTTCCACAGACCTTGAAGAGGAAGTGTGCTGGTTTGGTCTGGGGTAGAGGCTGGTCTGGTTTCAATAGGGCTGTTTTGGATTTGTGCTGCACACAGGGCTAATAATAGAGATATTGCTGTCATTGCTGAGCAGGGCTCACACAGAGACAAGGCCTTTTTGTGCTGCCATGCTGGAGAGGAGGCTCCCAATGGAGTAAAAATTTATCACCTAAAGGGATCCTGCTTCAATTAACAATGGCTGTTTAGGTGACCACAGAATGGATAAAGCAAAAGAAACTCAAATTGTTATCTGCACCAAAGGCAATAAAGAGAACAAACCTTTAAGAAGAGAGGAAGAAATTCTCGCAGCCTTCTCTGTTGCTCCTCTGGGATGAGAAATGGAGCCACTTGTTCATATTCTACAAACTGCTTGCCCAGAGTGTCCCACAGGAGGGTATGGCTCTGGGGTGGCTCATCCTTGCTGTGTGGTTGCTCATCCTTGCTGTATGCAGGCTGCTCCATCCCTTCTGCTGTGTCTCCATCATCAGGGCTCTGCTCCTGCTGTCCTGCATTGTCAGGTGACTCCTCCAGCTGCCACATGAGTTCAGCTGCTTTGTCCATGCTGAGATGAGACCAGATAAATATACTGTGTTATTTACACCTCTTACCAGTCAACTCCCAAGAAATGAGACACTGACAGTTTTAAATGTTGGAGGTAGAGTTTAGAAATATGCAAACATTCTAAGTCACTGACTCTTTTCCAATTTAATGGCAAATCAACCTGCTCCTGGACAAGAACATTACTGCCCTGCAGCTGCATGAACAAGCTCTCTTCCATGAGATGTATGCATGTGCTGCACAGCTCATCTGGGCTTTGACAGAACAAACCAGTAAACCACACAACAAATCTGGATTCCAGCCCCAGCTTTGCACTGAGGCAGGTCCTCTCCCTTATTACCTCAGCCATCCCAGCTGTAAAAGTTATAACTATTACTATCAGCAGATCTGCAATAGAAGAACACTAACTAAGAGCCCAGTTACAAATTTCATTGAGTGTGGATGCTAACCCTAGCTGCACATTACTGATATATTCCCCACCTAGAGTGGGGCTGAAGCCCATCTAGAATAGTAGCTGTGTGGAAAAGCCAAAGATTGCTCACAGAGCTGTTCTGGCCCCAAGAGGAAGCAACATTCAGCTCTTTGTGGCAGATGTAGAGCTCTGTACAATAGGTATTTTCACAACAACACTGCTTGTTTTGCTAATCCTGTAAACTGAAGCACATATGCCACAATAAAGGAGCATGGTGCTCCTGGCACTCTCATTTCCATCAAAATTAAAATAGGATTTTAATTTCATCTTACACTACACATCGAGGAATCCTTCTGGTACCCTTATCTCAATCCCAAGTTCTCTTATCTACTTTACAGCCATTTTTTCATCCATAGTGCTCTGGGGGCTCACTCAGCCCCACTTTGCCACAGGCTCTGTGAGCTCACCCTGAGCCTACATAATGACAACAACGGAGATCAGGCTTCTCCAGTTTGCATCAGTGTCATCCATCTGCTTGCTGGAGTCTAGGTCATTGTCTGGCTGCTCCTGAGACTACAACAGACCAATTATGACAGTGTGGGTGGGCAGATAGGAGTGGTCACCAAGATGAATGTAGCTCACTTTGCTAACCATATATATCATTTTTTAGGAGCTCACAAGAATTTCACAAATCATTACCTCTCAAAGAAAAACACTAATCTACCTTCATTTCTGGGAAATAGTTTCTTTCTCTACAGTATCTCTTTGATTGCCATTCCACCATTTAAATAAAAATGCCAAAAAAAGCAAATTTCACTAAGATTCTGAGTCAGATCTGCATTACCAACTCATACAGACATGAAAATAAGTTTTAAAAGACAGTATTATGAGCTTGGCTTAGAATTATGAGCCTACACTGAAACACCATTTGGGATTCTCTTGCTTCTTCATCCATCAGTTACACAGCTAGCTCACTGCTTGCATTGTGTCCACTCCGTGCCAGATGAACCAGTCTCACTTCCACACTCTTGCAGTGATGAAGGGCAGGGCATGTATCTTGTCACTGTGCACCACACCACCTGCAAATGATGGTCCTAGCAGACATCTGTGCCTAGATGCAAATGCTGGTCCTTCACACTGCACCCAGGCTAGCTTATTTTACCACAGCCCCATACTCTGTCCTTAGCTAGCAGATGGAGGCCTATATAATTTTGATCGGTCCCCAAGGAACTGTCAGTCTGGAACTTCCTATCTCCACAACATTTTCTGTTTTGCTGCTGTTGTTTTCCTTAATTATCTGTATTAAGACAACAAGCCCTATGAAAAGAAAAAGTGTGGTAAGGTCACAGAGTAAACAGGAAGACTCTGTTCCTCATGACTGTGTGGGAGTTACATTTGTCATATGTTATACTTAACTCTGGTGCGGGATTTTGACCCACTTGAGTCATCCTGAAGCTGTGAGTGTGTTGGTTGAGAAAGCCTGGGTGCTGTTCCAGCAGTGAGCATAGTTCAGTTATGTTTTCAGTGAGGCTCAACTTGCATCCCAAATAGGAAAACCATTCTCTTCCTCAAGGAGATCCCTCACCCAGGAAGCTCCTCTGCTAAGCCTAAATCAGTGTTTACAAGTAACTCACTCCAGTGCCTACACTCACCGTGGTCTTCTGCACAGAGAACCCCAAAGTGCTTTGCAGAGGGATTCTATAAATGGTGAAATTAGTCATGGAGAGGTGAAATGAAGGGCTTCCACTGGCCTCAAATGAAGGTCGGTGACTGATGAGTCAGCTCCCTGAGCTGCACTGCATGGCCCTGGAAATGTGGTTACCAATTTTCTCTTTCTATTTATACTTGACTGAGAAGGCCTTTCCTGTTGGTGGCACAGTTAAAGCAAGCAGGGATAGCCTCTCAAAGTGTTCACTCTGTGAAACCCTGTAATGAAAGAGTTCATCCCAGTTCCACAGAAACTCTTACAACCAGTTACTCACAAACATCTTCCTTAGTGAAGATCAACTTGTAACAGGCTATGTAAGACATTTAAAGCGCATGTGAAACACTTTAATCTCCAAAAGTACATGAAAGCAAAAGGAAGATTATGATATTCCTTGGTATTTTCTCCAACTATCTAGACTACAAAAGCCATATCAGACTAAATATCAGCACTCCAGTATCAGTCTGTTGACTCTACTTGCATGATATATTTTATATTTTATTTCCACTAGAAGCCTTTTCTTGCATCTACAATTTGATTAGGACTTTTAAATCCTTTTAATTTTCTAATCATCTGGCAGGATAATTACTCTCTTAGACCTACCACAAAATCACATAGTTCATTATTCAAATATCTTTGGTATTAAGGATAAATTTGATATATTGAAAAAGTCTTATATGTTGTGTCTTGTACACTCCACCACTTGTTCTTATCCTCAGTGTAAGTTAATAGCTTATTTGAGTTTTGGTAAATTTTTTGATTCTTAAGTTTGAGAAGATACTTTTTGATAAGTATCACAATGATACAAAAAGTAAAATCTAAGTAATAAATATTTTAAAATATATAAAAGTGAAGACTAACCAAATAAATCTGATAGTATCATTCAGAATGCAGTATCAGGTTACAGAGAGAAAATGGAACTTAATCATGTATTTTCCCTTTTTTTCTAAATAAAGCTTGTGTGAAGTCAAACAGCAATGTGGTTACATCTTTACAGACTGAAAAGACAGAAGGGAGGAAAGGCCTGACCAAAACTGGCAGAAGGACCAGCAGAATACTGTTACTAACAGCTTACTAGTTGAACAAACATTATTTTTTAATAACATTTTAATTGTATTTATCTGTGATTACCCCCTTCAGCAGTTCATACAAGCATCCCATTCAAGTAAAAAAATCCCAGTTTGAACCAAGACCAAAACAGAATCAAGTCTCATACCAAAATTGGTCACCTTTTTACAGTAAGTGTCTTTAAAAAATGTTAGTTCAGTGTACATGGCAATCTTTAATCTCCAAAAGTACATGAACAAAAAATAAAGACTGTAATTGGCCTCCTTATTTACTTCAATTGTTCAGATAACAAGAGATATACTAGAAAAAATATCAGACCCCTAGTTCTAGAACTACCAGCTTTAAAAAATTCTTTCTCTAATATACTTTTCTTGACTATTAAATTCCAGGATAGTGTGGACTATCAGAAACACACAGCTCAGATAGTCCCAAAAATCCAGTGTGATATTTTTTTACATTTTTTTATACTCCCTTCCTTTCATTGGCAGCCAGGATGACTCTTGAATGAACACAGTTATGACAGCTAATAATTGTAAATGCTAAAACCAGGAATTCCACTACTTCCTAAAGAAAACTGTCTTTGCACTGCAGTTTAGAGTGAACTTCAACTGAATCTTTTACTAATTGAAAGTAATCCTATCAAAATATACCAGTGGCAGCCAATATTGCACTGTGTTCTGTCTGCTTTCACAGACAATCTCTCGACATACCTGGGCTCCTAGATGTGGTAGCTCCTATTGCAGTCAATGCCCATATCCAGAGAAATGAGTGCTGCTGCCTCTGCCCTTCTAGGCATGCTGGTGCATGCAGTAGCTCCCACTCTGCTCTTTAAACTTTCCACTGTGAATCACTTGATTGGCTGCTGCACTTACTTCCTGAGGAAAGCAGAAGTGAAAAGCAAATGAGCCACAGCTCAGGAGCCATCAAGCTCCCAAAACAATTTAGAACAGCTCAGCTAACACACAAACCTGGGAGGCACAGCATTCTTCTCCCTGCATCAAGAGTAACCAGGTATTTCCCCCTCTGTACCATATTCACAAGAGGGAAGGGGAGTTGGATTTGTTTCATTTTGGTTTTAAATTTAAGGATTACATAATTACTACTGGAATACAGCACCACAAAGCTCATGATCTCTGTGCAACAATCTATGGCCGAAGTCAGGCAACTATTGTAGTCCTTCCTCAAATGCTGCACCCTTAAAATAAATACATTTGAATGGCAAGGGGAACTCTGTGACCCTGACTTCTTTACTGAAATGGTCAAGACAGCTACTCAAATCAAGAGGCAAACAAGAACTATAAGCTCACTGACAACATAAATGAACCCTGATTAGATAGGGGCTTGGGGGAAGATTACTTCTCAGTTGTCTAGCTGCTTTTTTGTTCTCACTATTAACACATTTGAAAGGCTTTATAATGTTGTGCCTTTTTTTTTTTTAAGGGGAGGTGGAGTTTAAAGATTTTTACACAGGACATTCAAGTGTTTCCAATTGCTTCTCCCCAGCAATTTTATGGTGACTTTGAGAACCAACAGAATCATGACCTTACAGTGACTGAAACCTGAGGGGACTCTACCCTAGGTGGTTAAAGCCACCTGTTTTCTGCTAACATTTGCTTCATTCAAATGCTTGGAAAAGCATTCAGAAGGAAAACTAACCAACTTTCTCTTCCAACCAAGCTGCAACTTCATTGCATAAAGTGCTGCTAATCCAGGCTGAAGACTCCTAGTAAGTCATAAGCCAGGATAATTGCCTGTACTCCACAGGGACCTCTCTTGATGCAGTGGTGTTCCTGTTCCTGGCACAGAGAAATCCCAGAGGACAGTTCTCATCCCTTTCAGGGAATGTATTGTAATACAGGCATCAGAAAAACCATGGGGGTTCATTTCATCACATTACACATTATACCAGGATTTAAGCACAGCTGTAGCTTTGCAGCAAACAGAAATATACTTTAGATCCCAAGGAAAAGACTCTGCACCAGTCTATACACACAGTAGCCTCTAAACTGACCATGCTTTGGAAAGCATTAGCTAAACTAAGTATAATTTAGAGAGTGTTTTCCAAGAAGATGCAAGGTCGCCCAGAGCTGTGCACATTTGGGGCAGCTCCAGTGAATGTTGCGTTTGGCCACTTCAGTGTTCCCCAGAGCCACTGACAGCCCCTGCTGCACTGCTGTGGCTGTGGGGCCTCTGGCAGTCTCAGCACAGGCTGAGCAAGCCCCTGCACCTTGTGAAGCTCTGTGCCAGCACATCTGCTGCTTCCCTGCTGTAGGCCATTCACACAGCAGCTGGTCCACTTTCAGCTGCAATCTAGACCAACCCACGCTGCTGAGATGAATGGCAGAAACACAGAGATCCAGAGAGAATATAATAACAATCCAGGGAGAACATCACTCTTAGACTTCCTAACTCAGAACCAAGCCTAAGTGTGCTCCATTTCCATCCTCTCACTACCACTTTAAAAGCACAGATGGTCATTTGCAGCAGCCCCACCATGTTGTTTGGTTAAAGAGATCTCCCCCAGTCCAGTGGTACCTCCTCACTAGATGATGTCAGGACTCCAGCAGACACACAATCGTTAGGAGAGTCACAGCAGAGGAAGTTCCATTTCTCTTTTTCATACTTCACTAACTGTTGATGGGCCCGAAAGTCCAGTTTCAACACGCCCACCCACTCAATTTCTGCTTCACTGGAGCAAAACAGATGTAACCAAATTATCTGTAGTAAAAATAACTCAAGGGGTAAAGACAAACATAGAGTTCACATAGTAAGAAACAGTGCTACAACACCCTTTGTCAGGGTGGGTTGTTTATACTAAAAACCCCTTTGCACAAAAATGGGAAGAAAAATCCTTCTTTGTCCTCTTCCCTACAGTCTGACAGAAACAACAACAACAACAAAAGACGTCTCCCACTTGCATCTATGTCAGGGCACCTAGTTCAAAAGAACCTGCACCTTGAGGGATCTAGAAAGGGCACAACATCTCCTGGTCCCGGAGCCAGCTGTACCAACACCACTGAAAACTGCCATCTGGCTGGGCAGCACTGTGGTGTGATCCATGGCCCAGTGGAGATGGTGTCCTGCCTGAGCCAGACCTACACCTGGCTTTCTGAGACAAGGAGCCAGAGATAACTGCAGCTACAAGGCCCACCTGTCTCACAGCATCCAATACTGTCCCTCACATTGCTTCTTGTCAAAATTCTCTCTTCTTTGCCACTCCAGTCTCCACACACAAGTGGAAAAAATCAGATTCATGCCTTTACATCTATGACACCAGACACACCAATTTATCTTAGTGGTTAAAAATGCCAAGAATCACAGCACTTCTTCAGTCTGAGTCTGGAGGTCAGCTAATGCAGATTTTCCCAAAAACACAGCTTGAACTATGCTTCAATTGTATCACATTGACCAAATGGCTGACTGGCTACAGCAGGAGCAGACACATCCTCTGGCTACTGCTCTGCCCCTGCCTTTGCCTGAGGGCTCAGACTTCAGCCCAATTGCAAACCCAAATGGGATGAGGCTTTGGTGAAAAGCCTGTATTTCTCCCTTCAGCAGGTTTGTCTCCTTGTAGATATAAAAAATAAAATTCATCTGAATTTGCTGAGACAATAAATTTTTGTGCTGCACATTTGTTACCTTCAATCTAGAGAAAAAAGCAAGTTAGACATGTGTTCCTTTCAACATTTCAGTGTCCAAAAGTTGAATTAACTGCAAGTTTTCCCCCACTCTTTGCCTTTTTTGCTAAAATCCATCATCTTTTCTCGATAAAAAGAAAGTTGATTAAAAATGTGCATAGAATGATTATTCATTTCTTTAGGGAAGCGGCTGTGTTTCATTTTCCTCCCCTCTTTTCAGTGGCAGAACGGAAGCTGACAGTGAAACCACAAAGAAAGGCAGCGCAGAAATTTAAACCATCTGCTTAACCATCATTTTCACTCATCATTTTTCTCAGCAAACCTTGAAATATGCAATGAAGGAGGCATTCAGCTCCCTCAGCACATCCTCCCAAAGAGGCAGAAGCAGCAGGCACAAAGGAGCTGCAGACAGGGGCTCTGAGCAGCTCAGCTCCTCTCCTCGGGCACAGCACAGGGGAGGCCTAGGGCAGCACCTGTACCCACCCCACCTCGTGGGCTGGGTCTCCTCTGGAGGTCAGAGCCCTGGGGAGGTGGAAGGAGAAGACAGTTTCTGTTGGGGCTGGCAGGCAGCCCCAGCTGAGCCAGGGCCCTTCCTGCCCAGCCCGTGGCAGCACCACAGCTTGGAGGGGAAGGAGGCACCATGAGCCGAAGCACAGCCACAGCGGGCAGAGTGCCAGGTAACTCACCTGTCTGTGCACCTGCACAGAGACTAACTGCAGCTGTTAATGCAGCTCATGCTGAGGAAACCATGAGAGATGGCTGGTGAAGACATTCAGTTTATCCATAAGGAGAGTATTTCCTGCCTGCCAGCATCCCTTGCACCTGAGCACTCTCAGCCCGTGCTGGGAGCCCCATACATCCCACACTACCCTGTGTCAGTGTTCACAGGGGTTCTTGGATGAGGGAAGAGATGAGAATGTTGACTCCATGCTTCAGAAGGCTTGATTTATTATTTTATGATCTATAGTACATTAAAACTATACTAAAAAAATAGAAGAAAAGGTTTCATCAGAAGACTAGCTAAGAATAGAAAGGAATCAGAAAGAATGATAACAAAGCCTCTGTCTCAGACAGAGTCCAAGCCAGCTGTCTGTGATTGGCGTTTAATTATAAACAAACCAACATGAGCCAATCACAGATCCACCTGTTGCATTCCACAGCAGCAGATAATCAATGTTTACATTTTGTTCCTGAGGCCTCCCAGCTTCTCAGGAGGAAAAATCCTAAGGAAAGGATTTTTCATGAAAAGATGTCTGTGACACTACCCGGCACCATGGCTGTGGGCTTACAAGAACATGGCAGTTTGCACTGGTCCTGTGGTCAAGCTCCTAATTGTCTCAGGAAAGTGATCCATTTCCTTTGTGCACGTTTCCACCTGAGCAAGGTCAGGAGTTCTGCAGCTGCTCCTTTGTGCCCCTGGCACCCAGCTGGCACCTTCCATCAGCAGCAGCAATGTCACGTAGTAAGGATAATCTGTCACTTGAATTTTGCTATTTCAAAATGTTTCATTGGAAACAAATTCCCTCCATCAACACAAATCTGTTAATCAAAATGATTTTTTTCCAATGTTTTTATTTAAACAGGAACCAACAGAAGTATATCCAATGGCCTGCATCTTACATGTTGGGCTGCAACAATGGTTTTCAGCCTTCCAAAATCTGTGCAATCCTGATGTAATTTCCTACAAACCATTTTGCCGCACATGTAAATCAGCTGCTTGATAGCTTCACCCTTTGGTCATTTTTTGCCTTTGTAAAAATTAGTCAGGGAGACTCACAGGATGACATAACTACAGGAGTGCACTGAATAATTTTAAGCTACACTTTTTAAAAATTCTGTGCCTAAATAAATCTCAAAATTATTCCAGAGTCAATAAAATAGCATCAACTTTCAAAAAGACAAGAAAAAAAGTGCCTCATTGTAAAATGGGTATGTAATAAAAGTGAAAACATTTTTATTTGGAATTGTCAGACTCAAAAAGAACTGTATAAATGGAATATTTTTTCCCAGAAGGAAAAAGGTATCAGAAAGAAAGTTCCTCTGGGAAGCTGCTATTTTGATTAAATGTCACCTACTGACTAGAAAAGTGTTGTGCAGGAAAATTTTAAGGCAACTTGACTGAACACATGATCTCCACACAAGAACCCATGTGTCAGTCTAATGAGATGGAGGAAGTTGAAAGGCTGGTGCAAAAAATTTAATTGTCATACCAATGGTAGTACCCCTCCTGTACCTCAGATTAGTTCCCCACTACAGGACACAGGAATTCATTGTTTTCTTTTCAACACAAAAGTTGTTGAATTAAACTATCATGATACAGAAGTTCTGCATGATTTTTTTTAAATACTTACAAAGCAAAGTTAGACTTTAAGACAGAGTCCTTATCAGAAAATAGCTCTCACAGACAGCTGCATGTAAAACCACAAGATATAATTACAAAATACACATTGACCAAGATCTGCTCTTCTTGGAAGATTCATTCTTATGTTTTTCTTAGAATATTTACTCTTATTCTCCCTGCAGAAGGATCATCAAAATCTCTGCAGACAACATCACTTCCTTCAGTTTCATAAATGGGTCCTAGTTCCTGTTTTACACCCCCTTTGCTTTCTGCAGGGATGTTTTGTAGCTTGCACAGCCTACAGCCACACTCATCATCATAGAGCAAATTGGGAGCCTGAAGTTCAGGCTAAACAAATTAAACAAGATCCTTCAAACACAAGTGTGAGAGCAGACATTTCTCCAGCTTTGATATGTCCCCTGCTAACTACTATTTTTCATTCTTTGTTGGTTGGTTTGGCTTTTTGGTTTTTTTGCAGTTTCCAAGTCTACTGCTGAACTCCAGCTCTTTTGGCCTTGTTCTTCAATAAGCTGTGCTCCCAGAGAGACTCTGCACATATCCAGGAGGGCTGCTTCCCCACAGTCACACCTGCTCAGGTACCTGCAAGTGCCTAATAAGCCAGGCTCAGTAAGCTGTCACACCCTACTCATGGATAAGCCTGGTTTTGCTATAGATATTCTTCTAGCACAGTGCACTAGACTCAGGTATCTTCCCTTTTCTTCAATTCTTTATTTATAGAACCAATACTCCAATTGAATTTGGTTTGCCATGCCATACAAAATTCTGGACAAAAGGAATGGGGATGAAAACAGTGGTTTTGCTATCTGGTATGTTCTGATTTAAAAACAAAAAAACCCCAACAATTCTTGAAGCTGAGTAGCTTCCCTGGGGGCTGTTGCCTTTAGGGTGTTCAAGCAGCCCTGTTCTAGGCTAGTAAATAATAAGAAATAAATCTCCTTCATCAATACTTAATTTATAGCCAGATTCTACATTAGTGTTTGCTTTTTTACTAGGAACTGGACCAATATGGATACAAAAAAATGCTGCTGCTAATCAGAGAGGTATTTTTCGTCCTGAAATTAAACCTGAGCACTGCACAAGTAGAAACTACTTTGTTAAGGGGGTAAATTATAGCAACAAGGAACTAGTCATTGGCTGTGTGATCATTTGGAGCTCAGAGCATTCAGCAGAACTTGAAAGCAGAGCTGTCACAGCAAAGGTAGCTACCACATGCAGCAAAGGAGGAACTGGTACAAGAATGCAGTCCTTACCTTGCAGGGGGGCTCACCACAAGAGGGAAGTGCAACAGGCCCCTCAGCAGCTCTGTGTCACACAGGAGCCCCTTCTGCTGCTGAGCCTCTGCAGGGTGCAGAGCTCTGCCAAACCAGAGAGCTCCTTGTGCAAGGCTGCACGTTGGGATGCCAGCACAGACACAGGGGCTCTGGGATCACTGCCCCCAAGAACTGCCTGGCTGTAAGAGGGAAATGTGAATGGCAGGCTTCACAGGGAGGCTTATTCACTAACAAGAGTTGCTAAGCTGTCTAAAAAACAGACAGCAGTCATAAGGTGAAGCTTAAACAATTGTTCTGTATCTCAGTACATCGGTCACAACACAGATGCCTCAAGTTATTGAAGGAAGCAGAAACCTACCTTGTCAAAGTCTGGGACCTGCATGCATTCAGAATGTAACCTGCAAGGTTTGCCCCCTTC